ATGTAGCTAGAGGCAACGATTTAAAGGAAATAGCGAATGAAGAGTTTTCTAAACTAGCTAAGGAAATAAACGAGAAAGAGAAAATTTTGAGAGAAAAGAAAATAGAGTATGATCAAGCAGTGGAAAAAAATGATAAAGAAAGTATTACAAAATTAAGTTGCTCTATTAATAATCTGGAAAATGACCTATATTTACTAAGATATAATAGTAGAAGAGCAATTTCGAAATCGCGTGCTATTCATGCAAAATCATTTAATCCGTTAGATGAATTAAAGCCAATTCAGGAAGAGCACATACTCAAAGGGATAGAAAAATTTGGAAAAGCAAGGAAAATAGAAGTAGATGGATTAGAAGCACCGCAGGTATTGGAAGTATCTAAAGAAGAAGAGATAAAAGAAGCACCGCAGATATTGGAAGTATCTAAAGAATCAGAAGTAGTTCTAGAAGAGTCAAAGGAACTCAAGGAAAGAGAAATAATACAGATGCAGAAAACTGTAATTCTCATAGTTTTTCTTATATCTCTTATAACATCTATAGTATTTATCAGTTTTTCTAGAAATGTAGCGAAACTTGCTAATAACTAGGTGATATGAAAGTATAAAGAAATACTATACCATGCAGTGGAGTGTAGATAAGAACGCAAATAAACCTAATATGCCTCAGCTATCAATTTTGATCTAGCGCTAAATAACTCTTAATCTTATGCATACTTATACTAATATGCTATTAGTTGAGTACTGCTATCACATGCTGATACTCTGCATGCACTCTAACAGAGCTAGATTTTCATTTTAACCTTCTTACAATACTTCTTCGATGACTGTATCTTGAGTGTATTCTTGTCTTCTAAACAGCCTGCTAAACATGAATAAAAATAAAAGTAAAATAAAAAATAAAAATGTACATGCTAGTTCTATAGACTTGGTATTTATTTTATTTTGTTTTATTTTTTGTACACTATACAATTATTTAAATTAATTTATTTGCACACTGCACTCTGAGCCTGCGCATGCTGTAGCCCACTGCCATAAGTCCAGTGCAGAACAGATAGATGCACAGCAGTAATCCCACGCATCTGTCTTTGGTCTGTCTCCCTTACCGACACATACACAAGCTAGATTAGAAATAGAGTTTATGGCACATTTATTCTGCAAAGGAGAAGGACTGAGACCCAACAGATAGCTGGTATTGACAGAGAGGTGATAAACTTGTCTCTATCTCCAAGCTATATCTATCTGATCAATCACTGCACAGATATACTGGCCAATAGAGCACTGCAATTAGCTATTACCCAGTGGACCAGTCATTCACTCTTGAAATACTCAGCCAATAGCTGATAATAATGGCACCAGTAGAATAACTCAGCAAATTAAAACATTTTCTGCAATTAAAACTTTTATAACTGCCATGAAAGAAGTTAAACTAAAGTTCGATGTAGAGAGAATAGTGCAAGCATGCCAGGCCATCGAGCCCACCGATGATCTCCTGAAGTACAGCACTCCAAAAGACTACACAGATCTGATAGACCATATCTTTGATGAGAGTATCGAGATAGTAAATGATGCAGATGATAGGATAGAAAGTGATGCAAATGGTAATATAGTAAGCGATGCAGATGATGATAAAGAAAAAGGACTGGTCTTGAGCATAATTACCAATAGAGCACGAGAATACTTTGCATACAATACATACGGAGAGTCTAAAATATATAATTTATATACGTCACTACAAGATAAAAACCCAGGGAAAATAAGAGAATATTCCATCGACATAATCAATGCACTTACACAGCCAAACACATTTATATACAATCCTCAGGATGGGATACACATACAGCATAGCAGAGATATAACTCAAGAAGATGTGTACACTGGTAATAAAGCATCAGCTCTACAGCCGAGAACATGCACTTTGAAGATAGATTGCGCCAGCTTTTCGAGATTGAAAAGAATGCTGCAGCTCACGACAGAGAGCATGGACAGAGAGATTTTTTGCCGTTTTTCATACCTGCTCTTCTCAGAGCACTCAAAGAATAATCCGAGAAATAAGAACAAAGACACAAATATTTTAAAAAAATACTCGCCACAGAAAAAGAACTACTCTATAGACAACCTGTACACCCTGCAAGCAGACGATGGCACACCGCTGGTAGACTACGGGCTGATGCTTATGTACAGCAAATACTACAAGATTAAAGAGCTATGTGAAAGCGTTGAAAAGATGGAGGCTAACTCTAGTAAAAGAGAGCTGATATTTGATAAAATTGGCGATGCACTTTCTGAAGAAGAGCTGGAAATAGTCACCTCCATAATTGACAACATATATGAAATAAAAAATGAAAAGAACACACAGAAGGGCATGATTGATGCAATAGAGTACATGATAGATAATAATATCCTTCTGGGCGAAAAGGATATGCCAAAGATTCTGTATATAAACAGTGACCTAAGCAACTTTAGAGAAGACTATTTAGACAGCCATAAAGGTTTGAGGGAGAAAGTAAGTGAAGAAGATAGTCTAAATGCAGAAATAAAAGCGAAAAAAGCAGATCTAGATACTGAAGAGAATGTACTCGCACAGGCTAAGAGAGAAAAAACGAGCAAAAAAGAGATTGAAGAGCTGCAGCATTCGATTAGTAAACTAAACTACGAAATTTATTTGTTAGAGGATAAAGTAAAAAAACAAACAGTACAGCTTAGCAATGTTAATTTCAACATGCATTTCTCTGACTCCATGGAGCCAGTCCAGCAAAAGCATATTCTCAAAAAGATACAAGAAGTAGTGCTAAGAAAGAAAATAGAGCTAAAAGTAAAAAAGGTCTCCAAAACAAGACTAACTCACAGACATTTGGCTTATATTTCTATAGTGTTGCTAGTAGTGCTTATAACACTGGCAGTACTATTCTCAGGCTATATTATAGATAACAAAATAAAAGTTGGCAATAACTGACAGCCGGCTAGTGTACAAGTAAATAAACACACTTATACTTATATTTATAGAGTCTATCTGCACACTTTCATCTCTTCTCAGCAGCACTGCACAAGAGTACTTGATAGCTTGCTCATCTACTCATAAACACACTGTAGTATATGCAGTTATACTGATCAGTGTTTGTGCAGGGATATAATTAATTATTAAGTGATCTCAGTCAATCACACAATGATAATAGATAGCCAGTAGAACACTTGCTCAGCACGCGTAAATACACTATTTAGCAGTCTTCAGTGCTCAGCCAGTCAAATACTCAGCCAATGAACTGCAATAGAGACATCAATGGAATAGCTCAGCAAATTAAAACATTTTCTGCAATTAAAATTTTTACAATGAACACGAAAGAAGTTAAAATAAAAATCAACGTGGAGAAAATATTCACAGCAATTCAGAATATCAGTTCTATCGATGATCTTCTGAAGCACAGCGCTCCAAAAGGCTACATAGCTCTGATAGACCGTATATTTCATGAGAGTATAGAGATAGAAAGCGGAGCAGATAATGCTAGAGAAAAAAAGCTGATTTTGAATATACTTAGTAACAGAATTAGAGAATACTTTGCATACAGATATGGAAAATGTGATATGCGTGGCCTATACAAGGCACTGCAGGGCAAAAAAAAAGAGGAAATAAGAGAATATTCTATCAGCATAATCAATGCACTTACACAGCCAAACGCCCTCATATATAGCCCAGAGTATGGAATACACAGATGGGATGACAGGAATATACAGATAGAGGATATAGACATAGATGATGAAACACCTACTCTACATCCGAGAACATGCACTTTGAAGATAGATTGCGCCGGCTTTTCGAGACTGGAAAGCATGCTGCAGCTCACCACAGAGAGCATGGAAAAAGAGTTATTCTTCCACTTTGCAGACCTGCTGTGCACAGAGGGCAAGGAGATAGACATTCTGAAAAAGTATCTGCCAGAAAAAGAAGAGTATCACACCATAGACTACCTGTACACTCCATTCAAAGGTGGAAACACACTGCCTGTGGACTACGGTCTGCGGTTCATCCACAGAAATTACGACGAGCTTAAACAGCTAGTTGAGGAGGTTAAAGCAATGGAAGGTGCTGCTCGTAGCATAAAACAAATTACTGCCAAAATCATTGACGTAATTCCTATAGAAGATCTGGGTATAGTCACTTCCATCATCCATAATATAGATGCAATAAACAATGAAAAGAAGGCGCAAAAGAGCATGCTTGATGCAATAGAGTACATGGCAGACAATAGTGTCTTTCTGGGCGGAAAGAATAGATCAAAAGTACTGGATATACACAGTGATCTGAGCAATTTTAGAGAAGACTACATATCTGAGAGCAGAGGCCTGAAGAACATAATCATCAGAACAACAAATGGACTAAATAAGAAGTTTGGAGAGCTGCGTGATGAAGCCCAGAATAAGTCCAATGAATACGAGCAGACAGAGGAAGAAGAGAAGAGTGAAAAGGAGCTTGAAGAGTTAGAGCATTCGATTAATAGGCTCAAGTATGAGATGTATCTGTTAACGTACGAGATAAGAAAAGAAAAATCGCACCTTGACAATGCTAGGCTTCTCAAAGCAGACTTCCACTGCTTCATGAAGCCAGTTCAACATAAGCATATCCTCAAAAAGATAGGAAAAGTAGCGCTAAGAAAGAAAATAGAGCTAAGAGTAACAGAAATCTTCACCATAAGACTAACTCGCAGAAAGTTGGCTTATATTTCTATAGTGTTGACAGTAGTGCTTATAACACTAGCAATACTATTCTCAGGCTATATTCTAGATAACAAAATAAAAGTTGGCCGGATAATCAGCCGCTGAGAAACAGTGAATGATTCAAAAATAAACTAAACATACACTACACAGTCTATACCTTCATCTCTTCTCTGCAGCACTGCACAAGAGCACTCTACAATCCAGTACTGCACAAACCACCTAAAACACGCTCTAATGGCAATAACCAGTGTCTGTGCATGGATCTAATTAGTCACTGAATAATCTTGATCAAACTCACAATGATAATAGATAGCCAGTAGAACACCCGCCCAGTACATGAAAATACACTAGCTAGGGGTGCTCAGTACTCAGCCAGTCAGCTGCTCTTCAAATACTCAGCCAATGAACTGCAATAATGCACCAATGGAATAGCTCAGCAAATTAAAACATTTTTTGCAATTAAAATTTTTACAACGGACATATGAAAGAAGTCAAATTAGTGATAAACATAAAAGGAATAGTAGAGGTATGCCAAGCTATGAAAAGTATGAATGATATAAAAGCAGCTATTAAACACAAAGATAATATAAGTCAATTGACTATTCTCAAGCGCTTACTCAAAGACAATCTGAGAATAGAAAACAGTCCATATACTAATGATGATGACAATCAGTATATCATAGAAACAGCTGAAAATGAGATCTGCCAATATTTTGTATACAGATACCCAGTGTTTCCTCGGGCCATAAGTGAATTAAATGATGCAATAAAGAATGAAGAAGATGAATCGATCAGATCGCATGCCATCGAGTTGGCCAATAAAATCATGGAAATGAACCCTCTTATATATAGGATAGAGCACGGGATAAGTAGGAAGAGTGAAGCAGTAGAGGAAATAAAGTCAGATGTCAGCAATGATAAATTAGGCACCAGAACATGCACACTAGAGATCAACGATGTAAAGTTTCCCAGCTTGAAAAGGATGGCTAAGTATAGTACAGAAAGTTTGAACAGATATGTCTCACAATCTATATCTCGTTCACTAGACTCAGAAAACCTGCTTTTTTTAAACGAATCTACTCCTATAGGAGAATACCACACATTGAATGAACTGTACACTAACACATGTGAAGGCACTGATGTGCTATTGATAGAGTATGGAATGGATCTTATTCACAAAAAATACGTTGAAATTCGAGATATAGTTCAAAAGGTTATGGAAATGAAAAATAGTATGGATAAAAAGCAGTATATAATTGACCAAGTGAATGCATTATTTGCCTCTAAAGAAGACTCTAAAGCAGTCCTTTCTATTATCAAGAACATAGGACCAATTCTAATCGAAAAAGAAATACAGAAGTATATGATCAATGCAGTAGTATATATGGTAAATAACACAGATCTCTTAGGTGAAAAAGGTGCGCCAAAGACCCTAAAACTTGAAAAAGATTTGAGTAATTTTGCAAAAGACTATATAGATATTGGTGCTGTTTTAGAGAAAAAAGTGGAGACAGAAATTGATAAATTAAAAAGAGAAAAAAGAGAATTAGAAAAAGGAAAAAGAAAAGAAGAATTAGAAGCAGCAGAAAAAATAAAATTACTAGATTGGAAGCTAAAAAGAGAGAACTCACAATATGATGAGATTATTCTTCTTCAAGATAGCTTGCAGCATTTAGAAAACCTAGATCCAGCCCAAGTAAACTACTTATACAAGAAAATAGGAGAATTTTTGAAAGCAGAAAATGTGAAAGCAATAGAGCTAGAAAAGCCAGAAGAAGCAATAAAAGCACCAGAAACAAAGCTCAATGAAAAAGAACAGCCGCCATTAGAAGAACAAACACCCCCACGGCCACTACTTGATGAACAGCCAAAAACAGATATGCATGCACAAGCATCACCACTCAACAACCAGCCACCATTAGAAGAACAAGCAGCACCGCATCCAGCATCCACAAAAAGCAAGATAGTTTCAACTCTGAAGATTGTAGTGTCTGTGTTCCTAGTTGTTCTCTTTATAGTATCAACAATAGTCTTTGGCTACAGAATAGAGAACAGAATGAAAAGCACTAACAACTAGCTAACTAGTCACTATCATACAATGATCACACTGCATATTAAACACTCCTTAGAGCACTACTATTTGTGCTCTCTTGAGCTACCTATATCCCTAACTGACTATCCAGTCAACATCATGAATAAACTACACTTACTCTTCATTCTTTCTCCACTCCCAATGAGTGCATTCCTATATCAACTACTGACACCCTTCATCTTCTCCCCCTCAGCTCTGCTCTACTCTATTTCCTTTCCAAATACAAAATAAAATAAGCAAGTAAAACTCTGCAAACATGTATACTTTTATTCTCAATATTATTTATTTATTCTATTTTCTCTGTTGTGCACTTAAATACTCCGCTCACTAGCACAGAACAAACAGCAGCACTTGCGCCCAGGAGGAGCACAAAGCAGCTCTCCCATTAGAGAATGCGCATTGATTCATTGGCCTGTGCATATGTCAAATAGCCTATACCAGTGGTGCTGATCTGTGCGCTATGCTTATCTGGTCAATCAGATGCTGCTGCTAGACTAATCACTGGACAAATAAACTGATCAACGGAATACTTGATTTAATGCATGGATGATCCAATAGACAGTAGAAATCACTGCTTGATGCGCTAGCTGGACACTTCTACAGAGCTCTTCAATAAACTATGCTGAAAACCTAACCATATAAATAAAAGTAAATACTTTACTTTAAATATTTCTATAATTTAAAATTTTTATACCAGGAATGAAAGAGGTAAAACTGAAGATAAAACTAGAAGAAATACGAAAAGCATGCGAGCTTACCATAAAAACAGCAACTATCGAAAGTGCTAGTGCAAAAGACAGTTTGGATATACTAAGGAATATACTTGACAAGAATATAGAAATAGAAGGCCCGTTTAGTGAAAAAGAGAGGGAAGGCATTGAAGACATAATTAAAAATAATATGTGCCAATATTTTACATACAATACATATGGAATAAGGGCTATGGATAATTTAAATGATGCGTTAAAGTCCAAAGACGAAGCAGCAATTAGATATTGGTATATCTCTTTGTTTAATGAAATTGTAAACCCAAACTCGCTTATATACAGCCCAGAGCATGGGATATATAGACAGGTGGACAAGAATAAGGCGCTAGAAGACATAAAAATACCCAATAGCAGAGACAGCCTAGGCACTCGGAAATACACTCTGCTGATCGATAATGCAAAGTTTCTGAGCTTTGAAAGTACGCTTCAAGCTATTTCAAAAAGCCTGGAAAGAGAGTCCCACCTATACACTGCTAGGTCAATATCCTCAATGAACATAGAAAAATTAAAAAAATATTCATTGAAAAAAGCATGTCACTCCCTGAATAAGCTATACAACACTACATATAAAGATACTGGTGTACTGTTGGTAGACTACGGACTGAACCTTATCCACGAAAAGTACCACGAAATTAAAGAGCTGGCTAAGGAAACTAAAGACTTGAAATATAATGATAAAAATAGATCACTGATAGCCACAAAGCTCAGCAAAGTATTTACTGAAGAAGAAGACGTAAAAGTAGTCCTTTCCGTCATCAGAAATATAGAGAAAATCAAACATGAGAAAATGGCGCAAAAGGGCATGATCGATACAATAGAGTACATGGCGAACAACCCTAGCCTCTTGAAACAAAAGGCCAACTCGCAAAAGCTGAAGATACAAGTAGATTTGAGCAGCTTTGTGGAAGAGTATGTATCTACTGAGAGAGGCTTAAAAGAAATAGTGAATGGAAAAAAAAATAGAATAAGTAAAAGGCTAAGGGAAGAGAAAGATATGCTAGAAGTAAGGAAAAAAGATCATAGGCAAGCAATACAAAAGAGAAAAAGCAAAAAAGAGATAGAAAATGAAATATATGCACTAGAATGTGCATTTAGCAAAGAGTATATACAATTTCTTAATATTACTGACAATCTACAGCATCTATCCGATACAAGTCCAGTGCAGAAAAAGCACATAATCAAAAAGATAGAAGAGTTTGGAGAGATGCGAGGCATGGAACTAGAAATAGTAAAAGTAGAAGTACCTGAGGAAGCAGAAGTAGACGAAGTATCAGATGATGAAATAGAGGTAGATGAACTATCAGATAATGATATGGAGGTAGATGAACTAGGGAGAAAAAAAGTCTTTGCACCAGCTGTAAAAGAAGCCAAGCTGAAGATAGATGTGAGAGAGATGCTACAGCCATGTATATTTACCAATACGCCAGGCTCAAAGGTAGTTCTTGAGCACAGCGCCCCAAAAGAGTATTTTTCTATACTAGAGAACATGCTTAATGAAAACATAGAAATAGAAAGTGAGCAGTATAGTAAAAAAGAAAAAGAAAAGATTTTAAAGATACTTAAAACAAACATCAAAAAGTACTTTGCATACGATGAAAATGGATTGCGTTTTATGCGCGCTCTGTATTCTGTATTAAGGCATAGAAACGTAAGAGTGATTATAGACTGTTTTATCCGTCTAGTCAATGAAATCATAAAGCCAAACACGCTCATATACAGCCCAGAGCAAGGAATAACCCGAGAAAATGAAGTGTCATATAGCATAGGCCAAAACGATGCAGCTACTAATCTGAGCACCAGAACATACACTTTGAAGATCGATGGCACAAAGTTTGAGAGCCTGGATAGCTTGCTTGAGTCTGCGACAGAGAGTCTAGATAGAGAGGCATTCGCCTGCACTGTCAACACGATAAACCAGGTGGGCATGAACATGAATGTTCTAAAAAAATACTCCGCAGACAAAGAATACTACACGCTAGACGAGCTGTACACCAGCACATACGAAGACACTGATGTGCTGCTGGTAGACCACGGTCTAAAACTCATTAGCGAAAAACAGTCTGAGATCAGAGAGCTAGTCGAGCTGATTGAAAACAAGCCCGTTTTCAGTAGCCGCGATTCGGAGATAGTCGGAAGAATTAACAGCATATTCAGCCGCGAAGAGCTGAAAATAGCCATCTCTATTGAGAACAATCTACAACAAATCAAAGCCGAAAAGATAGCGCAAAAAGGCCTCATCAGCGCACTGAAGTGCATAGCAAATAATACTGCACTTTCAAAAGATAAAAAAAAATTAAGCACTCTGGAGATAAAAACAGACTTGAGCAATTTCTACGAAGATTATCTAAACAATGCAGAATTGCAGAGCATAACATGCAGGAAAGAACAGGTGGCTTCTGAAGAAATAGATAAACATGAAATAATTCTAGGCTATAAGAAAATAAATTATGAACAAGAAACAGAAGAAGGAAAGAAGAAAGATGCCGCTTACTCTATCAATGCTCTGGAAAGCAAAGTGTATTTACTAGAATATGATAGGCATAAAGAAATTGCTCTATTCTACGACATTAGAGACTCTAAACAGGCTTTGTCTAGCACAAGCCCAGTTCAGAAGCAGTACATGCTTAAAAAGATAGAAGAAGCTGCAAAAGCACAGAATATAAAAATAGAAAAGATAGAAGTGCCTGAAGAGAAGAAAGTGCCTGAAACAAGAAGAAGACTTACAAGAAAACTAGCTCAGACAAACATAGTAAAAAACTCTGCGCCAAATGTAAAAGAAGCCAAGCTGAAGATAAATGTGGAAGGAATACTAGACGCCTGCCAATCTAGCAAAACCATGAAAGACATGTATAAGGCTAGAGAATTTGGCTCTGACCTGGCCAATTTGACTGTGCTAAAGAACATACTTGACAGGAATATGGAAATAGAAAGCGAGAATTATAGTGAAGAAGAGAGAGAAATTCTTTTAAACACCATTAAGAATAATATATACAAATACTTTATGTATACCGACCATAGAAAAGAGACTATATGCGATTTACAAAGAGCATTGAATTCCGAAAACAGGAAAATAATTAAGTCTGCGGTTATCCCTCTAATCAAACGCCTTGGAGCGCCAAACATACTTATATACAACCCAGAGCACGGAATACGTATGCAGATAGACATGGATGAAACACCAGAAAGCATAGGCTTAATTGATCCTGATATAAGCACCAGAACATACACTCTGGAGATCGACAACACAAAGTTTGCGAGCCTGGAGAGCTTAAATTGGTCTTCCTCTGAGAGCCTGTGCAGAGAGTTTTTCTGCCTTACAAAAAATCTGTACAACTTGGGAAGTGTAAACGCTTTAAAGAAATACACATCCGAAAAAGAATACTACACGCTGGACGAGCTGTACACCAAGACATACGAAGGCACTGATGTGTCATTGATAGACTACGGACTGAATCTTATTCTGGAAAAGTACTACGAAACCGCTGTCCTAATTAAGAAGGCTAAAGAAATAGAAGCCAATTTCAATATTAACACATATAATGAAATTAAAGCAGAAATTAAGGAGCTATTTGTCCAGGAAGACTTAAAGATAGCTATCTCCACTATCAATAGCTTCGAAGAGATTCTAGAAGAGAGGGAGATATGCGAGAATATGGTTAAAGTTGTGGAATACATGACGAATAACGGAAAAGTCTTGGAACAAAGGCATAACCCGAGAAAGATGCTGGAGATAAACGCGGATTTAGATAATTTCTATGAAGACTGCATAGTTATAACATATTTGAAAGAGCTAGTAGATCAAGGGATAGATGATTTAGGTAAAAAGAGGCGTGCACTCTCTGAATCTTCCGGAATAAAAAATGCAGAGCTTAGCAGAAAGGAAGCAGAGCTAAAAGAATGGAAAGACACAGCTGATCCAAACTCACAGGACTACGAACGAATAGAAAAAGAAAAAATGGAAGAGATAGAGGCTCTGCAGTGCGATATTAACGACCTAGATAATAATCTTGAGCTGATAAATTGGGAATTAAAAAGAGAAAAATTACGAAAAGAGAACATTAATAGCACCCAAGCCAGTTTTAAATGCTTACCCAAATTACGTTCAGTCCAGAAAGAATACCTGCTCAGAAAGATGAAAAAGCTTGGAAAAACGCATGGCATGAATGTGGTAGTGGACGGAGTAGAAGAAAAATTGAAAGAGTTAAAAATATCTGACCATGCAGAATTAAATGATGCACCAGAAGAGCACCAGATAGTAGAAATGGAGGTAGACGAGGCGCCCGAAGAGAGAAAAAGCATTATTTCAAAAGAAAACCGGTCAAAGCTCCTTAGCATAGCTCTGTTATTCTTTGCTCTTATGACAGGCAAAGAGATTTTGTCTAACTTTTCAGAGTATACAACAAAGAATACTAGTGCTGATAGTGGTGGGCAGCCACCGATTAAGAAATTTAGAGACTCTGAGCCAGGCAATACTAGCTAGTTGGCCCTAAAATAAATTACACTTAATTTTAAACATTATAAAAATGCACTCTCTATCTATGCTATTTCTGTACCTGCTGCATACAAGCAGAGAGGGCTCCTCCTTCTCTACACTGTATACAACGCTGCTCTTGTCCCATTACTTCACTCTGACACTGCCATGTCATCCGCAGGCCTCTGCTAGAAAAAGAGTATTCAAACAAAGAAAACGCCACGCAATAAATTGCATTATCATGAGCATGGCTGAAAATAAAATAAACTTCTCCTCGTTTGGAAATCCTTGATTTAAAATTATTTTTGCAAGTAAACCCTCAGAATAGCAATGAAACAGGTTGAATTGCGGATAAACACTGATGGAATAGTGAAAGCATTCGAAGCCGTAAAAAGAAAGTACAACATAACCGGAGGCATGCCAAACATCAATACAATGAAATACTTGAGCGTACTGAAGGACATATTCAGCGAGAACCTTGAGCTAGAAAGCGTGCACAGCGACGAAGAAAAGAAAGACATTCTAGACATAGTTACGAACAGCATCTATCTGTACTTTATCGATATCAACTGCGGAATGTTTAATCTATATAACCTGCACTTTGCGCCATATCGCAGCGACATAAACGCAGTTAAATCCTCCTGCATTAACATAGCCAACGATGTCATAAACCCAAACCCGTTCATATACAGCTCCACCCACGGAATCTGTAGAACAGACAGCGCGCTCGGCAATGCCAGCGAAGACACGAGCCCTCGGACATGCACTCTGGAGATTGACGATGCAGCCTTTTCAGGCCTGAAAGGTCTCCTCCGGTTTACTTCAGAGAGCCTGGACAGACACCTCTCCATAAGCTACATATTCAGCCTACTGGCCTCGGAGGGCATGGATATCATAAAAGACTTCTCTCCCGTAGAAAGATACTACACGCTGCGCCAGCTGTACACCATCAGAGAAAAAGAGAGCGGAGCACCGCTGGTGGACTACGGGCTGAAGGTTTTGCACAGAAAGTATCACAAAATTGCTGACCTGATTGAGAAAATTAAAGAAAGAGAAAATAGTGCTAACAATGAGCTGGACATAACCGGGGAAATCACTGAGATATTCGCTCCTGGGGAGCTAGAAGTAGTCATCTCTATCAGCGAGAATCTAGCAATGATCGACGGAGAGAAAAGAACACACAGCCAGATTCTCAGCGCGCTGGAGTACATGGCAAAGAACACTGCAATACTGAAAGAAAGAGACAATGGGCCAAACACTCTGAAGATAAAGCCTGATCTAAGCAATTTCTATAGAAACTATGTAGCTGACGGGAGCATAGAGAGAATAGCACACGAAAGAAAAAACAATCTGAGTGCAGAAATAAAAAGGAAAAAAGAGGCTCTAGAAAAAGAAAAAATAAGCTATGATCTAGCAAAAGAACAGAAGAGCGAAGAGGAAAGAGAAAGCATGAGGAGTTCTATCCGCAAGCTGGAAGAGGATGTGTATTTTCTGGAGTTTGACGAAAGAAAAGAGGACGTACGGCTTAGAAACATGAAGGAGCTGTTTCGCAGCTTGCTATACTATCTGCCCGAAATAGCCCCATTCCAGCGCGAATACATGCTCAAAAAGATAAAAGAATTTGCAAAGGCACTGAACGTAGAGGTCGAACTAGCAGACGGAGTGAATAAAATGGTTAAAGAAGTAGAGATAGTCAAAGCACCAGAAGAACACCAAGTGCTGCAAATGAATAAAGCACCAGAAGAACACCAAGTGCTGCAAATAGATGAAGCACCTAAAGAAATAGAATCTCTCTCAATAAAACCAAAGGCCAAAAAAGGTATGTTTAGAGTATTAGCACCCTGCGTTGCTCTTGTAGCAGCACCTGTGTTGTTTTTCAGCCACCACTCAAAAAGTAAAACAAAGAATGCTACTAGAAACAGTAATTTTGAGCTGTGACAAGGCATCAGGTCATGATAGCAACTAATTAATAAAGATGAGTAAGTTCAAACATTATAACTGGTTTGTTGTGTGCTATTCTCTAGGTTGTTTATATCTTCATGAAGTAAGAGGTAGCGATAGAACCTTACAAAACTCGCATTGCAGCTAAATTCCCAAGTGTATGTTTTCCTTTGAGTAGTTTAGCTATGACAATAAAAATAAAATATACTTGAATAGAATGGTGTATACTTATTTATTTTTTTAGTGCTTTTCTTTTGTTTACATATAGCTACAACACATATACCAGGAAAACACAATTAAACACAATAGATATAAGCCAATGCCATAGAAACAGCGACACAGCATTGCACTTATTCTAGCACAAGATAACCAGTGAATCAGTCAGCCAGCCAAGATGCATCAGCGTGAATAGAACAATAAACAGTCTAGCATCACCACACAAGAAGAGAGGAAGAAAGAAAAGGCGTGCGGCCATATGCTCGCGTTCACACCAGATCCCGTTTGATCTCTGAAGTTAAGCGCGTGACAGCTTTGATAGTACTGCGATGGGAGACCGCGTGGGAACACAGAGTGCTGCACTTTTTGTCTGGCTCTGCATAAGAAGAACAGTGAGCTTGATACCCTAGCACAACTTCTACGCTTCTTCTAGCTGTGCTTCTGTATTCTATATAACTCATTGGGTGAAAATAGCTGTAGCAGGAGCCAGTAAACAGACCAATGTGTCCGAGAAGTAAGTTTGGCTTAGGAATGCCAAGCAGCTCCTTCTTCCCCTAGCCACTTGCAGCTTTGCACAAAGAATTTAATTGGATGCTCTCACAAGATTAATTAATTCTACCAATTACCGCAAAAATATAACCAATTGCATCAGCAGACACAAATTAAATTATTTTCAGCAGTTAAATTTTTTACAACGATCATGAGAGAAGTTAAATTGAAGATAAACCCAAAAGAAATACTAGAGGCATACCGAGCCATTAGCAATAAAGACTCGAAAATATCCCTCAAACACCCAAACATCATAGAGTATTTGACCGTGATAAAGAATATACTTGGCGGTAGCAGTCTGGAAATAGAAAGCAATCATACTGCTGAAGAAAAGGAAGAGATTTTGGAGATATTTAAGAACGATGTCTGGTACTACTTTATGTGCAGCAAAGATCAATATGTAAAAGATACTATCTTTGGCTTACATAAAGCTCTGATGGAAAGAAAAAAAAGAGAACTAGCTAAACAGAATAAACACTCTTTATTTGGAGAAGAAGAGATAAAAACTCAGTATGAGACTATCAGATTTATCAATAAACTTATAGAGATAAATCCAGCTATATTCAACAAAGAGCATGGCATGGATGTGCAGTTTGATAAAAGCATAAAAGCTGACTATATAAACCCAAATATTACGGATCCTGATCTAAGCACTAAGTCCTACACGATAAGAATTGATGGCACAAAGTTTTCGAGCTTAAAAAATCTCCTTAGATCTACCCAGGAAACTATAATCCAAGAAGTTTTCTTTTCTATTTCTGACCCAAAACCTCCATTGGACATAGACACTTTATACAGACACTCATCTGCAAAAGAACACTACACTCTAGACAAGCTGTACACAAATACACATGATGAGACAGGCATGCTTCTGGTAGACCACGGGCTGAATCTTATTTTCGAGAAGTACTATGAAATCGTGGAATTAGTTGACCAAGTTAAGCCAGCAAAAGACAGTGCGAGTAACCTACTAGAGATCACTGCTAAAATTAATGAATTGTTTTTTGCAAAAGACTTGAAAATAGTTACGTCTGTCATCAAGAGTATGAAGGAAATTAGAAAGGAAAAAGAAGTGCACAGCTGCATATTCAAAGCATTGGAATACATGGCAAACAACCCCCCGCTCTTGAACGCAAATGACGGGTCAAACACAGTGCAGATAGACAAAGATCTAAGCAATTTCAATACAAACTATATAACCCGAGATTATACAGGCTTACACCAAACAGTAAGTGACAAAAGAGATGAATTGCGCATACAAATAAACTCAATGCATACAGATGCATTAAACAAAGTAGAAGAGTATTTTAGACGGAAAGATATTTTTGATCTCTGGGAATGTAAAGATGGGGAAGATGTTCAGAAATTCACACAGGAAAAAGAAAAAGAGGCAGGAGAGTTAAAAATATTGGACCGTGAAATTAATACTCTACATAAAAAAAGATATCTACTAGAATGCAAGCTGAAAGAAGAAGATTTACAACACTCTAATGTTCTAAATCTTGTAAGAAACTTGCAAAAATTACTCTCTGAAATAACATTACCCCAGAAGGAATATATAGCCAAAAAGATGGAAAAATTTGAAGAAATGAAAAATATGGAACCAGAAGAAGAAGTAAATGACATGATATTTCAGGAAGAGCCAAGATTTGAGGAAGCAGAGAAAGGAACAGGCTTCTTCTCAATGGACCCTACCCCACAGAACATACTTAAAATGTTTGCAATAGCTGCTGTTTTTATAGCAACATCGATACTACTGTGCGTCAGCCAGTCAAAGGACGGAATAATGAAGCTTCTCAGAAATGAATAGCAGCCATTCCTACTGCGAGAAACAGCCTATGAAACATAAAAAATAGAACCTGTGATATACTGAGCCATCTGCTCCCAAACACGCTTTATTGCAGGATCATGAAAGCATGAACGAGTCTTGTCCATAAAACATAAATTTACAGGCTCTCTGAATAGCTTATATCACTGTCACTGTGCGGTAATAACCTGGTGTAATGACAAACACTTCTCGGTTATACTACAAATAAATCCACAGATTAGCAGTAACTGCATTTAAAATGATAGAGCTAGATAAGAAAATTGTTTATTCTTTGTCTTCTTGTGCTATTTTTGCATACTTATACGCTGAAGTGAAGACGTCAAGAATCTCGTTGTGTGCTCCTAGGTTAGACTTGCTTTTGTTCACATTGCGGAAAACGATGAGCTCTGTCTGCAGGTCTGGCCTTTTGGAAAGCAGTGCACAGAGCTCTTTGTACAGCTCTTTTATTTTCCTCTTGACCATTCCTTTTTTCACAGTTTCTGACTTCTTCTGCAGTATTTCCTTCTTTGTATCTGTTTTCGTATTCAACTTCCCCAGAGCCTTCTGTTTGTTCTCTATCGCTTTTAATCTGTGCTCTTCTTTATAAATCTTCGTCCTAATTATCTTCAGCTCTCCTTGAGATACAAACGACCTATAAAATTTCCTGTTTCCCAGAAGATTAAATATTGTCTGTGCTTCCCATTCCGATGCCTTTGGTGCTTTGTCTGATGCGCAGTTATTGCGCAGCCAGAAGCCCTGCAACTCGCTGTCCTGGTAGTACTCTCTTGACTCTATTGCATCAATAAAAGCATGAAACTCTTTTTCGTTCCTCTCTTCCATAAAGCTCTTACTGGGCACACAGTGTGTGTATGCATCTACACTGCTCTCCATTTTTGCATGCCACGCAGCCTGCACTATGTTCTCTCCCTGCTTAGTCAGCCCACACTCCATGATGTAGCAGTCTGCACTTTCCTTCTTTTCTGTATTGTCCGTTATATATAGATTGCTGTAGTATCCATGCACATCTGAGCATTTTTCGTCTTTGTACTTGCTGCTGTACGTATACACATCAGGCTCTCTGTCCTCAAAGTCTATTGAGAACATCTCTGCATGCTCGCCCGTCTTGTCAAAGGGCCCGAGCTCCACAGCCGACCGCATCAGAGGAGTCAGGAAAAGAGGAATGCCTATGCTGCTCTTGCTTTGGGGGCGCAGCGGCCTGAGCTCTGCAAATGTAAGCCCTGTTTCTTCCAAATTTTCCTCAATGTGGTAAAACACCACCTTGTACTCTTCTAGGTCCTGCACTGTCATATCCCTATCCTTCTTATCTATATACGACCACAGCCTAGTTCCCTTTCTTACCTTAAATGGATGCACAAGAGCCTGCCTTTTCTCCATGGCGTAGAGATCTTCAATGTACTTTACTATGGCATCAACTGTGTGCAGATAGTGCTCTTTTCCGCCATTGTCTACGTACATAGGCATGCACAGCCTCCTAGTCTGTTTTGTGGCATTGTTCACGTATAGCACATGGTAGTGTGCACATACGCCGGATGAAATGCCCCATTTGTTCTCTTTGCACGAATAATCTGAAGAGAGAACTCTTTTATTGCTCTCCGTTGGGGCTATATCTACCTCTATCTCGCTCCTCATATACTTCTGGTTCGCTATTATGCACTTGCCCACAAGAACGTGCTGAGTTTTTCTGTCAACCATGTCTGCTTTCTCATAGAAATTGGCAAGAAGCACGTACATGTTTCTGTAGAGCTCAGAAGCTGTCAGCTTTTCCATCACTTCTTCAGTGTGCATATCTGCAAACACACTGTAGAGCTCTTCGTATACTGTAATATCTATCTTTTCTGCTGCATGCATGTACGCTATCTCCTGTATTTTAAATAGAAGCCAGCGGTTCTCTTTGCTCGCATCGGAGTCATCTAACGCTCCAATCTGCTCTATAAACTCTGAGCTGATGTTGGAAAAGTCTGTGTACACCTCAGGCAGCACCAGCACCATCCGCACTGCACAGGCTAGCGCATGGTACTTCTTGTCCATCTGGCTAAATATCCTGTCCTCTTCTGGGCTGTAGCTGTTTAGCTCAAGGTCTTCCCGCATGTAGATGTCTCCAAGAGTCTCATTGCACCTGAACAGACAGTTTTCATTGCCGCTTCTTATCGGCCTGTGCTTTTGTATGTACTCTATCAGGTCATTAACTGCTCCCGGGTAGTATCCCTTCAGGCCCTCCAGTATTTTCCTGTATTTGCCATTCTTCAGCAGCTCCTGCAGCCCAAAAAGAGCCTTGTATCTTGTGTTTATAGTTGTAGTCACGTATGCAATGAAGTACCACAGCGCATTCTTCTCTGTCTCTGGCACAGGCTGTGCAGAAAAGCTTTGAATGTCTTTTTGGAGCTTTTCTTGATAGGCTGGTGCTTTTACTTTCTTGCGCATATTTTTTTCGTTGATGTTATGTCTGTATATTGTCTTTTTCTTCAGTCTGTACCCTTTTCTTCGCGTATTCCTGAATTTTGTACCATCATCGCATGGCTCAGCATCAAGGCCAATGTGTTCGTCATCATCTGTTGTTATGTGCTGTACAGATTGTCTGTGCTGGACTGCACATCTTTTATTTCTGGGCTTTCTTTTAACTTTTCTCTCCTCCAATAGATCATTGCTTTTCTTTCTTTTTTTCCCTATTCTCAGCTTGGCACCACTGTCTTCTGCCCCTTTAAGAAAGCTTCCACTGGTACTCGCTATTTCTGGGCTGTGTCCAGAGTGTTCAGGCAAATTGTAGCACTGTGCCATACTCTCCACTGTTCTGAATGTGTCGAGCCCGTTCCAGATAGAAACATCTTTGTCTAGATTCATAAAATCAAGATCTAAACTTTCATCTTTTAATTCATACTCGCTTCCCAACGTGCTAAGTGTGCTGGACATCTCTTCATTGAAAATATCCTCTCCTGTCTCTGGCTGTGCAGTGTACTGTTCTTCTCTGATATAGTGGCTCTCCATTCCATCCCTAGCTAATTCTGCATCCATAAGTAAATTGGCAGAAGAAAGGTACAGATCCCCCACTATTTCCATTCCTTTATCTTTGTCTTCTCCTGGCCCAGTGTAGTCTCTTATCTCTTTGCTAAAAGCATCTTCGCTTCCTCTGCACCTCATGGCAAGTAGAGCGAGCAGCATACCTGAATTCAGTAATTGCCTTATTTTCCAGTTTTTCATACTAAAAAAATCATTTTTTCTATTTACGGCTTTTAGTTGCGATGAGGCTCTTTTCTTTTGCTGCATTGCAAACTATCTAATATATTTATTGCATGGTCCTCCTGTAGCCCATACCACATGGCTATCTGACTCTCCAGCACAGCTGAGCCAATCTCGCAGCTGGCCTCTTCTGTTTCTCCTCTCATTTACTCTTAGCATCTCTATTGGCCAGATGATTATTTTTTCTTCCGCTCAGAGAAAATAACCTAAGAAAATCACAGAGCCAAAATCAAAACATATTCTCGAGTCACCTTCTCTGTACCTTACACAATACTGCAGTTCCCATCTTTATCCTTAGCTCTCCTGTTTAAATCCATTAAGCTCTATACACCTCTACAGGAAGACAGAGCACACATACTTAGCATAGCATGCAGCAGCATTCAATCTCTACCCCATTTTGGGTTGTTCTCGTATTGTTTTGTATCTCTGCCCTTCTTTTTTCTGTCTGGATATAAAGTAAAACTCTGCTAAAATAAAACAAGTAATATAACAAGAACACAAGACGTATACATTTTTATTCTTGAAAATAATAATTTATTTTATTTATTTGCTTTATTGCATACATTGTGTCCATTAAAACTAAACACACCAGAAATACACTGCTCTGTGACTTGCCTATCAAGAGATGCACCCTAATCACTGCTTCATGGGCTATTATATGCAGCACACCACCACGCATGCTACTAAACAAGAGAAGTACTTACAATAAAGCCATATGAGTTTGGAAAACGTTGTTTATTCGCTGCTGTTGCCCTTTTTGCGGTTGTATCTGTGGATAAACAGATCAAGAATCTCGTTGTGGAAGGTCAGGTTGGACCTGCTCTTGTTTACATTTCGAAAAACTATAAGCTCTGATTGTATGCTTGGCTTTTTAGATAGCTTTCTGTACAGCTTTTGAAGCGCCTTTTCTAGACCTTTTCGCGCAGAGAGTTTTGCAACGCATGCTGCATTCTTTTCCAGCTGCACCTTCTTCGAGTCTGTTTTTTCTTTACGCCCCAAGCTTGTCTGTCTCTCTTCTGCGTTTTCTAGCTTTTTTCTGGCAGTATGCACATCTAAATAGACTTTGTGCAGGCTTTCCTTGATGGCCTTGTCTTTATTCTGGCAGTATATTGTCCAGCTGAATATCCTCTGTTTTTTAACAAATAGCTCACTCTCTGGCTTATAGCCCTTGCCGCCCACCCAAAAGCCCTGCAAATTGCTGTCTTTGTTGTACTCTCTGGACTCTAGAGCCGCGATAAAATCACTGAACTTTTCTGCGTTTTCTTCTTTTGTAAAGCTTTTATCAAGCACGCAGTGAGAGTACTCGTCCATGCTGCTTGGTATTTTCGCATACCACACAGCCTTGACTGTGCCGTCTGCCTGTCTTGCAGTCTTGCAGTCCATGATGTAGCAGTCGAGACTCTCTTTCTTCTCCCCGTCAGGCAGTATGTACAGGTTGCTGTAGTAGTTGTGCATATCTGAGAATATATTTTTTTTGTACTTCTCTTCATACTTATACACACTTGGCACTTTGTTCTCAAACTCCAGTGAGTGCAAAACCTCGTGCTTTTCCTCCATGCTAAAAGGCCCAAGATTTATCGCATTCTGCACTAGCGGAGTGAGGAACAGAGGGATGCATATGCTGTCTTCGTCAAGGGGGTGCAGAGGCCAGAACTTTGCAAACGTAAACCCTGCGGCCTCCATGCCCTTCTCAATGAGATAGAACACCACCTCGTACTCCTCCAGGTCTTTCATTGTTTTGTCTCTCTCCTGCTTCCCGATGTGCGACCACTTTCGAGACCCTTTTTTTGTCTTGAACGGGTGCACATCGTACAGGTATTCGTCTATCTTGTACAGCTCCTCTATGTGCTTTGCTATGTCGTTGAGCGTGTGCAGGTAGTGCTCTTCTTCGCTGCCTTTTTCTTTGTGTATGGGCATGCACAGCATTTTGGGCTGGTGTATCAGGCCGTCCATATAGTACACGTGGTAGTGCCTATGCACATCGAGTGAAATGCTCCACCTGTTCTCTTCTGGCGAATAATCTGAGCTTAAAACTCTTTTGGGCAAGCCTCTTCTTTTTGTATCCGCTGTTACTTCGCATCTCGTGTGGCTTTTGTTTTCTACTATGCACTTTCCTGTGAGAATATAGTCATTTTCATCGATCACCTCCACTTTTTCGTAGAAGTTGCCAAGAACTGCATACATTTTCCTGTACACCTCAGCAACTGCTAGCTCTTCCAGGCTTCCCTCCCCGTACGCACTTTCAAGAGCGCTGTAGAGCTCTTCATACACGCGGTCGTTTATTTTCTCTTTGGCGCACATGTGTGCTAGTCTGTGTATTTTCAAAAGAACCTGCTGGTGCTGCTCGTTTATAACGGCATCTGCAGAGAGTCTAGTTCTTTTTATAAACTCTGCATTGATGTTGTAGAAGTCCTCGAAGACCTCAGGCAGTGCTAGGACCATGCATGCTGCGTATGCTACAGCAGAGTACTGGCTGTCTATCTTGTGAATGCTTTTCTGATTTTCCAGCATTCTGTAGTTTATATCGTAGTAGTTGCGCATGTAGACGTCCCCTATCCTCTCTTTCCACTCAGTTGGAGGGTCATCTCTGCTAATTCGCATAGGCTGGTGCGCTTCTACATACCTGAGCAAGTCGTCGAACACCCTGGGATAGTACCCCTGCAGGCTCTCCAGGATCTGCCTGCATCTATCAGTCTTTTTTTCCCTAATGATCATATTCAGCCCAAAAAGATCTTTGTGCTTTGTGATAATGTTTGTGGTCCTGCTTCCGATGAAGTACCACAGAGCACTCTTATCTATTGACGAGGCAAAGTGTGTGAAAAAGGCCTCAATGTCTTTTCTGAGGCTTTTCTCGTATGTTTCGTTAGTGACCTGCAGGCTGAGATTCTTATTTAGGTTTCTGTGGTCGCATATTGACGTGCTGTTCACCTTGCTGCCCCTTCTCTTTAGATTTGTCAGTCTGATATCGCCCCACATCTTACTGTTGAGCTCTTCTATGCCTTTTCTTTTTCTCTTTGGTATAGGAGGCTGCAAAGACAGCTCGTCTTCGTCTGCTGCGTCTTCCGCTTCTACTCCATTTCCGATCTCTTCAGTCTGATATAGATTATGTGGGTTTTCCAGCAGGGCACCTCCTTGCTGTTCTCTCGTGTTCCCCGATACTGGCTGCAAAGTATAGTAGGTATGTGTGTTACTCATTTCGCTTGTGCTTCTTTTTACGCCCGCAGACGCCAACCTGCCTAGGTCCTTTTCATTGAAATTGCCACTGCTTCCTCTGCACCCTGTGAAAAAAGAAAGAAGTGCTGCACCTGCACCTAGTATTTTTCTTATTTCCTGACTTTTCATGCTAAAAAAATCATTTTTTCTATTTATGGTTTTCAGTTAGGCTACTTTAGATTAAAAAGCTACTAGGACAGCAAAACATTTTCCTCATTCTCCTCTGCATACTTCTCATGTTATTCTCGCTTATGACCAGCTCCTATGCCTTAGTTACACATTTTCAGATTATATGCATACATTCAGATGCACCCATTTAAGATGCCAATATGTTTACGGCCCTGCCGGGCACAAAAGAACAGCAATATAAAGAAAAAGAGTAGTGCCAATGCTCTCTTTATTTCCTGTGGTTTAAAATTAAACTATAATGCTTATGCCTAAAAGTGCTAAAATTTTATTTCTTCTCTTATATCCAAACTAAATACTAGAACAGGCCAACAGATAAGAATTCCTGGGCCATTCTCAAATTATATTCAGGTTATATTCGCACAACTCGAATTAAAATGTCAAGCAGCTCGTTGTGTGCATGCAGCTGAGACTTTTTCTGGTTGATATTTCGGAAGACTAAAAAATCTGCCCCTGTATCCGAGACCTTCAGCTTTTTGCACGGCTTCTCAGACAGCTTTTTCTGCAGATTTTTCAGGTTTTTGCTGTAATAGGACTTTATTGTAATTGCTGCTCTCTTTCTTCGGCCTGCTTCGGGCGTATCGGTAGATTTGCTTATTGGCCCCAAGTTCTCCTGAAAGACTTCTGCCTCCTCAATTCTTTTTTCCTCTTTCTTGATGTTTAGATTGATGCACTCTAGCTGCTCTTTAGATATGCTCTCTTCCATCTTCCAGTCTGCTACCCATGTATGTATTATCTTTGCCTGGCTCTCTACCTCACTGCCATCCTCTGTGCTGATACTGCCTAGCCAAAATGCTTGCAGCTCGCTGTGCTTTCCATACTCTTTTGAATCTACTGTGTTGATAAACGTGCTAAACTTCTCTGTGTTTTCTTTTTTGTAGAAAGCCTTGTCCAAGACACAGTGTGTGTACTCATCCATGCTGCTTGGCGTCCTTGTATACCACACAGCCTTAATAGTCCCATCTGATTCTCTGGCGGAGCTGCAGTTCATGGAGTAGCACTCTGTGCCTCTTCTTTCCCATTCGTATAAAGGTATGCTTAAATTTCTATAGTAGCTGTGCATATCAGAGAAGCTCATGGCTGCATACATGCTGCTGTACTTGTATATGCTGGGTGCTATGTCCTTAAACTCCAGCAGATCTATCTCTTTGTGCTCTCCTACCATAATAAAAGGCCCAATGTCTATGCCTATTCGCATAAGAGGGTTGAGGAAGAGTGGAACGCAAATGGCATCTTCATTATAGGGGTGCCAAGGTACAAACTGTGCAAATGTAAGCCTAGATATGCTTACGTCTTCCTCAATGTGGTAGAATACCACCTCGTACCCTTCCAGCTCTTTCACTGTTTTGTTTCTCTCTTCTTTTTCTTTGATGTATGACCACTTTCTGCTTTTTTTGTTCACTTTGAAGGGGTGAATAACATCTGCATACTTCTCTATTCCATACAGTGTCTTTATGTACTCTACTATCTCGCTGACTGTGTGTAGATAGTGCTCTTCTTCGCTGCCATCCTCCTTATATATGGGCATGCAGAGCATCTTAATTTGGCCCAATGCGTTGTCCACATAGTACACGTGGTAGTGTGCATTCACGTTTGGTGCAACACTCCAGCTGTGCTTCTCAAGTGAATACCTAGAGATTGCCACTCTTTTATCCAGGTCTTCAGGTGCCATGGTTACTGTCATCTCACACTTCATGCACTTCTGGTTCTTTATTACACACTTTCCTGCTAGAACATAGTTAGCCTTTTTGTCAACCACTTCCGCATTTTCATAGAACTTGGCAAGAAGAGTGTATATCTCTCTATACAGTTCAGCAGATGTGGATTCTTCTATTCCTCTCCCCATATACGTACTTTTAAGAGTGTTGTAAAAGTCAATGTACATTTTCTTGCTTTGTTTTTTTGCTCTGTGCGCACCCACCAGTTTGTGCATGCCCAGCAAAACTTGTCTGTTCTCTTGGTTTACATCTGAGTCATTGGAGGTGTTATGTCTTTCTATAAAATCCTCGGTAATGCTGTAGAAGTCTTGGTAGACTTCAGGCAGTATCATGATCATGCGCACTGCATAGGCCAGTGCATGGTACTTCTGCTCTAACTGCATGAGGTCTTCCTGCTCCTTGCTCAGGCAGTAGTTCAGATCAAGATGCTTTTGCATGTAGATATCCCCCACTGTTTGGTTCCATGCGGTTAAAGTAGTATTTTTACTAACTTTGATTGGCTCGTTCTTTTTTATATACGCTATCATATCATCAATTACGCCGGGATAGTATCCGTCAAGACTCTCTAGCATTTCGCTGGTTATCTCATCTTCGGCATTCTCAATGAGAGTCTTCAGCCCAAAAAGGTCTTTGTATCTTCTATTTGTAGATTTGCATCTGCTTGCAATAAAGCACGAAAAAGCATTCTTCTTTACATAAGGCTTAACATTGTTCAAGAAGTCCATGAGGTCGTTCTTAAGCTCTATTTGGTACGACTCTTCTTCCACCTCCCTGATTATTCTGCTGTCAGGGTAGACATTTCTGTATACTGTTTTGTGGTCTATCTTGTACCCCCTTCTTCTCATATTTCCCAGTCTGCTATTGTTCCACAGGTTGATTAAGCGCTTCTCTTTTCTCTCCATTGCCTCCTTCCCGCCCACAAAATACTGCAGAACTGGGCTCTGCACAGATATGTCTTTATACTCTGTTGTATCTTCAATTTTCTGCTGCAGATGCAACACGTTTTCTATTTGCTCTACTGGAGTCTCTTCCTCTTCCCGAGGTCTCTTATTTAGCTGAGATCCAAGATAATCGTAGACAGCTGATAAAACGTCTATTTTGCTTAACCTGTCTATTATATCCATGCTGTCTGTTTCGTGCACTTCGTCTATTTTTCTTTTTCTATCAATAGACGCCCATTCTCGCACACCCTTACCATCGAAATTATCACTGCTTCCTCTGCACCCTGTGAAAAAAGAAAGAAGCGCAGCACCTGCACCTAACAACTTCCTTATTTCCTGATTTTTCATGCTAAAAAAATCATTTTTTCTATTTATGGCTCTCGTTAGGTTAGCACCTCTCACTATTTTCCTGTGCTCCAATTCAGCAACAAACGATAAGACTGCGCACACTCATTTATAAAAGTACTGTTTATTCATTTCTGTTCTTTTGAATACTGCCTTTGAAAGTTGTAGCGCGAGATCAAAACGTCAAGGATCTCGTTGTGTGCTCCTAGGTTGGACTTGCTTTCGTTCACATTCCGGAACACCATAAACTCTGCCGTGCTGTCTGGCCTTCTATACAGAAGTTTCTGTATCACCTGTTTGTGCAGATTTCTTATCTGTGTTTTTATTCTGTTTTTTGCACAGTGCACTAGCTTCTTTTGCTTTTGGATCTCGGGTATAGAGTTGTTCCTATACAACAGGATGATATTCTTCTGCTTTTCTTCTATCTTTTTAAAGTTCTCTTTTGCTTTCTCAAGCTCGGACAGGATAATGCCTAGAGTCTTCTTTTCCATGTGTTTCGCATCTGAGCTGCTCAAGGGCCAGTTGCAGATCATCTGCATCGAGTCTATTTCTCTCTCGCTTTCTGCGCTAACATTGCCGAGCCAGAAGCCGTGCAGCCTGCTGTCTTTGTTATTCTCCCTTGACTCTACTGTTGCATTAAAGGAGCTGAGTTTTTCTGCGTTTTCTTCTCTCCTAAAACTTTTGTCTATTATGCAGTGTGTGTACTCGTCCACACTGCCCAGCATTCTTGCATACCACACAACCTTAACAACGCTTTCTATCTGCTTGGAGGCCTTGCACTCCATCGTATAGCAGTCTACTCTTCTTCTTCTCTCTCTGTCCAGTGGTATATAGAGGTTGCTGTAGTATTTGTGCACGTCTGAGTACTCCAAGCCTGCGTATCCGTAGATGTACTCGTACACATACGGCTCTTTTTCTTCAAACTCTATCGAGTCTATCTCCTCGTCCTCTCCCAGCCTGACAAAAGGGCCCAGCTCCACTGCAGTCCGCATCACGCGCGTAAGGAAGAGCGGAACACTAATGCTGTCCTTTTCGTGTGGAGCCAAGGTCTTAAACTCTGCAAATGTAAACTTGGCCGTGCCTAGAGCTTCTTCGATGTGGTAGAATACGACCTCGTAGTATATCAGGTCTTTAAGCGTTTGGTCTCTTTCTTTCTTTTTGATGTACGACCACTTTCTAGTTCCCTTTCTTGTCTTAAACGGGTGCACAACGTCTAAGTGGCTCTCTATTTTGTAGAGTGTCTTTATGTACTTTACTATCTCGTTGACGGTGTGCAAGCAGTGCTTTCTCCCCTTGCTGTCTATATATAGAGGCATGCACACCATTCTTACCTGGCCCAATGTGTTGTTTACATAGTACACGTGGTAGTGTATCTGTATATCTGGTGAAACGCCCCATCTGTTCTCCTCCAGTGAATACTTTGTGCTCAGCACTCTTTTGTCCATCTCTTTTGGCGCTGTGTTTACCACTATTTCGCACCTTATGTACTTCTGGTTCGCTATTATGCACTTGCCTGCGAGCACATACCCATTCCTTGCGTCAACCATCTCTACTTTGTCGTAGAACTTTCCGAGAATGGTGTACATCTTTCTGTACAGGTCAATAGCTGTTAGCTTTTCCATCACTTTTTTACCGTATATGCTCTCCAAAGTTAAGTAAAAAATGCCGTATATCTCGCTGTACCCCTTTTCTTCCTTAGATCTCTGCACTATTTTGTGTATTCCGAAGAGAACTTTGTAGTCATTTATGCGCTCTGCCTCTATACTGTTGCTCTCTGCGGCGTATGCTGCTTCTATAAATTCTCTGGTGATGTTGTAGAAGTCTTGGTACACCTCGGGCAATGCTATAAGCATGTGCACAGCGTAGGCGAGCACATAGTACTTCTTCTCGATCTGTGTAATGTTGCTCTGTTTTACCAGCATGCTCTGCTCCATCCCACAGCACACCCGCATGTAAATGTCTCCTATCTTTTCCTGTGCGCCTATCAGGTGTCCTTCTCTAGCGGCCATCAACGGCTGGTGCTTTTCCACATACGCGATTATTTCTTCAATTGCCCCGGGGTAGTATCCTTTAAAGCCCTTTATCATGTTCTTGTACAGAGAGTCTCTGCTGTTCCTGAATATTTCCCTTATCGCCAAAAGATCTTTGTACTTTTGGTTTATGTCAGGCGACACGCATGCAATGAAGTACCACAGCGCATTTGTTCCTATTTTCAGCGCAATTTTTGCAGAAAAGTCTTCGATGTTCTTTCTGAGCTGCTGCTGGTAGGGCTCAGACTTTATGTCCCAGTTTACAAACTTGTTGAAGGTGTTGTAAATGTATATATTCTTGTGGTCTATCTTTGAGTTGTATCTTCTTACATTGCTTAGCCTTTCACTGCTCCACATCTCGGTGTCCAGGTTTTCGATTGTTACACCTTCGCACGTTTTCCTGTATGCTCCGTGGTAGTTCTCATTTGGATACTCTTTTTTTTTCCCTGCAGTTTTGCCTATTTCCATATGAAAAGATGCGTTGGCTGTTTCCCTTGATATACTCGGGCTATTCTCTAGCGTGGACCAGAGAGCAGGAGGGTTTCTCAAGATACTCATTTTTTTTACTGTTTCTTTTTCTCTTACGGGCGGTGTATCAACATTTCTTCTGTCCACAAAGACACTCTCACTTTCAACAGATGCATCCATGCCTTCAACAGACACATCTATGCTTTCTAGAGGCAGTATATACTGCTTTATCATATCGTCAATTGTCTCGCTGGGTTTTAGCACGCTCCATCTAGGATTTTCCACATATGGCATAGAAAAATCAAAATATGAGCTGTTTTCTTGGGTTATGCTCACTTCACTGCAGCTCGCTCCTGCATAGCCATATGCTATGCCAGAAGAGGGTGCATGCACTTCAGCCTCTGCTGCCTGTTGTGCAGGCTGGACTTGCGGCTGTGGTGGTACATCCATTGCACTGTGGTATTCGCCGTACCATTCTATGCTGTCATCCATAAGTAAATTGCTAGAAGAAAGGTACGGACCAACTGCTGCTTCTGCTGCTGTATTCTCATCCCTAGATGGCGCAGAATCATCATTGCTCCTGCCCACTAAAGTCCCAGCGCTACTCGTGCTAGGTTCTGCCATGTACTGCCAATCCAGCTGAGGGTACACATCTGGCACGTATTCGGGCGCGATTGGATCATAGCCAGCGGGTATACTATCAGAAGGATATCCTATGTAATCCATCATACTCGGAGTTCCAGTGCCATATAGGTACAAGTCGCCTGCATTCTCTGCCTCCTCTCTAAAAAGGTTCTCCCATCCTGCTCTGCACCCCAGAATAAAAAGAAGAAGCACTGCACCTGCGCGCAGCAATTTCCTTAATTTCTGACTCTTCATGTAAAAAATATCATTTCTCTGTCTATAATAACCCTGGCGCACTCTGCTAGTGAAACAGCACGCACGAACAAGCAATAGTTAGTTAGTGATAGACTGCTGGTAAAATAGAGTTTTTTATCGTCTCCACTGCAAGTCTCAGGGTTTACAATGATTTCTCAGGTTCTTGGATTGTATTTGCTGCTGGGGCTCAGAGAAAAGAGTAGTAATATCTTGCTGTGTGCGAATATTATTCACACACTATACACTGTACACTATGAGCACCTCTGTGCTGACACTGCTTTCTTCTTCTGTCACTCTGTATTCGTCTCTTTGCTGAAGTAGATAATTGCTGAAAAGTAAAGAAATAAATAAAAAGTAAAACTGTGCGCAATGCATACACATATTTTTTATTTTTGCATTTCTGCACAAAAGAAAAATAAAACATTAAGATGTCTGCTTAGACTAGGATGCAAAGATAAATAGCGCAATAGAATGAATGAATACATCATTTATTGTTTTTTAGACTAAATGGTATGGTTCGCACTTTCTGATGGAAATACACAGCTCTTTAAATGTGTCTTACTAGCAGCTCTAGACAATTGTTGAAGATTGGATAATAAGATATATAGCTATATGCCCACAGCTGTAAGAGCTCTGCAGCTTTACCACTTCTCCACAACAATTCTTCCATGCATATGTATCAGAGCGTTGTCTATCAAAACTTTTAGTTCTGCATCTTTCCTTGAATATGTGCGAATTAATAAAAGCTTCTACAGGCTCTTTCATTATGTCCTTCATGGAATAAATTCCTAGCTGCATTGCGCTCTTCTTCGACTCTGTCATTAGTCAGAAAGAAGCTACTGCACATTGCTGATTGCATTCGCTTTTCCTGCTCTTCTTCTTTTGTATTTATTGGTTCAGATGGCTCTACATGCATTTTCTCTGATGGTAACTCATTCTCGGGTTCTTCTTCTGGCCCTGTGTTCTTAGTAAGCATTATTATATCTTCATCCCACAGTAGTCTCCAATATTTTGCTATGTCTTTAGCCTTTGCACTCACTCTGATAATATGCATCTTCTTCTCTTGCAAACAGCTACTATCACAGTCATTAGCTTCTTTCGCTGTGCCATTTAGTTTTGTGAAGTAAATTGGTAAGTCTGCACCGCCCAATAAGCCTATGGCCTCCAGCAACTTTTCTTCTGTTCCAAATATGTCTATAGTAAAATTAAATGCTTTTGGAATGCACAATATGAATTCTGCGCTATTTTCTTTACTTGAAACAAAAAACTCATTCCCTTCTTTATGGCAAGGGTTTGCCTGTAGAGTTTCTAATAGCTCAGTTTTTTCAGGCCCTGCTGTGCTTAAGTTGCCAGCTTTTAAGGTTTTCTGAGGGCCTTCTTCATTTAGTTTGTTTTCATCCACATCCAAAGAGTCTAGTTCCATGGACAGTGGCCTTCTTCTTACTTCTTTAAGGCTTAACACTGGGCTCTCTTGTTCTTCTGATTGTCTTCTAAACAGCTCTAGTGTTTTACTAAGCTTTTCTGGGACTACATCCTTTGGAACTAGCTTTCTCATTGAGTTATAGGCCACTATTGAGAATATAAATGCAAGTGCTATGGCTATGACTGCAAACAATAGTATTTTAATTTTTTGTTCTTTGAAAACGCGCATGCCTTTTGCATTCACGCCATACTTATACTTTATTTTGTGATCGCATCTTTTTGATCAATAGGAGATATATTGCTTTCCTCTCTTTTTGATGTGGCAAATGCACAAGTATTTCCACTCTATATAAGCTTGTGCAGGATTCACAATGTATAGAGAAGATTGATGCTCTTCCATCTTTGCAGAATGTAGCCCTTCAGTTTAGCCTATCTTCCCTTTTCTCGTTTATCAGTCTCTCAACCAGCAGCACGTTCCATTTTTTTTCTTTTAGCTCTTCCTCCTGTTTTTTTATGCATTCTTCTATTTGGCTAAGTTCTTTTTCATGATTTTCGCTGTTTTGCATTTCAAGCTCTAGTATTTCTAAATCCTCTTGAGCAGCGTCCAAAGTTTTCTCTTCAAGTTTATGCATCAGTGCGTTTCTTTTCTTTCGACTTTCTCCTATTTTACATATTAATATGTCTCTTCTCTTCTTTTTAGCTTTCAGCTCTGTCTCCACTTTTACTTTCTCTTTTACATCCACCTTGTGCACTATTTCCAGGAGAAAGAGCATAATTGATACAAAGTTGAATGCAATGAGCACAACTAGTATCACGACCACTGCAAACAGCAATGCATAGAGGTTTTTCGTAGTGTATAGCTGGCAGCAGAGTTCTTTATAGTCTTTCAGTACAGACAAAAGTGATGCAGTGCTTGTTTCCATTTTTTTCTCTCAGATTTTTTAACTAATAAACTTTTTCTGACAGCTAGAAGCCCTCACAAGCTATACGTTTTTAAATGCACAGTTCATACTGTTCCAAAGAAAAAAGAATAGGAAAGAATGTTAAAGTATTTTTGTCCTTTTGCTGTTTATTGATGAAAATTGCTCTATTTTAGACTGTAAGCAAGCTCTTATTGCTCAGAAGAACTATCTGAGCAGGAGATGTTCTCAAACTAGAGATAGCTGTTTTTCTAACTTTCTAGACTGCTCTTCTGCTAAAGTAGGACAACTGAAGTTTTTCCCACAACCTTCTATTGGTTCTCTTTAGATTTCTATTGATTTTTTCGAGCTTAATTCTTTTACTTCTTTCTGCATTAAACAGAGCTCTAAAAACATTATATTTCAATTCAGTACTTGCGGATGCAGATTTATTTGGATTGTCTATACTTTTTATTGCACTTCCTTGAGATGTACTAGAACTTTCTATTGCACTTTCTTGAGATGTATCAGAACTTAGACTTGAATCCAAACCGTCTTCACTGTATTGTTTTTTATACAATACTTTAATAATCCAGTCTTTTATTTCATCTTCCAGAGCACAGTTTACAGAAATAGCACTTCTTTCTTTATTACTACTAGTCTCTGATAAAGCTGCATTTTCACTATCCTTCGACATGTCCATGCTTTCTTGTGTCTCACTGGAGTATGTTGCAGATAGAGAACACACCGCTCCTATTAAAAGAAGAGATATCCTTTTTTTTATTTCCATAATTCATAATTCTATCTACTCTCTTAAATAAGCAGAGCTCAAAAAATGATTCAAGAGATTATTGATCTACCTCCTTAAATCTATCCTTCTCGGGTTATATCAACACTACCACTCTCTTTGGGGGTCTATCATTGCTTATTCTCGGGTTATATGAGAAGCACATACATACCACATGCAATCTTGCTACATAGTATACTTATCAATTGCAAATCTACATCGTGTTTATGCAGTGGAGGAGCATTAACCAATGCACAGACAGATGCATATAGAAGCACACTTTGTGCAGCTAATAGAGATATAAAGCCATTCTGATTTCAAAAGCTATCTCTTTCCAGAACGCTTCAAAACCGGCTGATTTATATATTTACTATTTTTATTATAAATACTCAATGCTCCAGCTCATAATAGTTGTGTTTGGCCTGTACATAGTCTATCTCCTGGAGACACAGCATACTGAAGCAGCCAAGAGAAAAGACCTTGAGAACGAGGTAGAGAAGCTGAAAGAAGAGCTGAAGAAATACAAAGTGTACGAGAGAAACTACCAAAATCTAAAGAAGTCCTATTTAGACCTATTGGACAAGGCGGTAAAACAGAAAAAAAAAGGAGAATAAAACAGCCAATAAAAAAGGCCTCCTGGTAATTCAAGCATACAAGTTCAAAATAAAATTTGACTATTTTTAGCATTCTTCAATTTTGTACACGAGAATAAAAATAAACCACAAGCACAGGAATACCCTTCTTTTCTCTGCTGCAAGACTCTTACCAGAATAAGCCCAAGAGTGTTTATGAACTATGCACTCTCTTTAGAATCTTTAAACGCTCTACAATTCCACGGCATTTATACGCAACAAAAAGAGAACAGCTGCACTCTTTTCACAGTAGAATAGCTAAAATTGGTTGGATTAGAATTTTATTGCCGATCTAAATCACAGTCTCTAGGTAGTAAATAATTGGTCCATCCTGCCAATATTAACTTGCCACAAAGAGCCACCGCACAGCAGTAAAGCAATAGATATGTCCGCTAACAAGCACTGATTTGCTACAGACAGCCACCCATGTAATAGGTTTATTTGCTGCAAAAAACTATAAATATAGCCCCAAAAAGCTCTGCATGGCAAATAAAAATAAAGTTGAAATAGAAGAAAGCTCCAGCGATAACGATATTGCATTTAAGCTGGAAAGCCTTGGGAGAAAAAAGCTAAAAATGGGCTACGGAGAAACAGCAGAAGACGACTTGAACGCGCTCATTCGAATAAAGAAATACGAAAGAGTGACAGACAAAGGAGTGACTTTGATAAAGAGAATGTCTTTCTCTCTTCCAAAGGGAAAAACCATTGCTCTTCTAGGCCTGAGCGGAGACGGTAAGACCACTCTAATGGAAAGCCTGATAGGATACTGCAACCCATCGCACACCACATACGGAGAGGTGTACGTTAGAAACGCAGAGGGAGCGCTTGTAAAGAGAGACGTGAAAGAGTGGTTCCCCAGGGTAAACTATGTTGAACAGAGCGCAATCAACTACAAAGGAATTCCGCTGAAAAGCATTCTGTGCTCAATTGCAAACTGCAACGGAAAAAAAAGCAGAGAAGTCGATGAGTACATAGAGCTTATGAAGCTCACAAAATCAAAGAATGTTTTGTTCAAAAATCTCTCAGGAGGTGAGCAGAGAAGAGCCATGGTCATAGCGGGTATTCTTTCGAAAAAAGATTTTAATATCTGGGACGAGCCTCTCACAGGGCTTGACTCTGAAATGGCCCGGACAGTCATGAAGGCAATAAAACAGGCAAATACGACCAACCTTGTAACGGTGCACCAGATATCTGATGATTTGATGAAGCTCTTTGACAACGTGCTTTTGATGCACAAGTCCACGATCATATACTCAGGCCCTGCTGCCAGCATGAAAGACTACTTTACCACGAAGGGCATAGACTTCCCGCACGACATCTTCCACATAAACTACCTTATGAGGCTCTGCGCGCAGAACAGCGACAACGACCGCGACACAAAAAACATAGAAACATTCAACGGCATAGCAGATGCTATTCTGAACAAAACAATGGGGCCCCTTGCAGGAAAAAACATTCTGTACACCGATACACTCAGAAACGTGTCGTTTGTGAACGTATTTGAGATACTGAAAAGACTTACATATTTTGACAAGGGTTTTAAAGGATTCAACTTTATTCTCAATGTGTTCTGTCCTCTGGTGATCATGATTCCTTCGCTCTTATATATGGTCAACGTTTTTCTACACATAGGCCCAGAGGAAGGCCGGTTTAATTTTCACGGCGGAAAATCGTACTTGGTTTTGATGGACATACTCATCTCCATTAAAAGCCGCCTCACTCCTGCTGAGCTGCAAGACACAAAGCTGCTCGGTGCGCTGAACACGCTGATCTCTGCGACATGCAATTTCACGTTCATGAATTCTTTAATCTCTTCGCTTTTCATGTTTATTTTCGGGATTATATTCTACGCCACCTGCCTGCCAAGTAACTTTTTGAACACCAATTTCTACAGGCTCTGTAAATCAAACATCAAAAACAACCAGATAACAGTGGGGGACTTCATTGTTGCGCAGTCTATTGACATTTTCTTCAAAAAAACACTGACTATTTGGATGAGCCAGATACTTCTGTATTATGTTCTGTACAGATACATTGATGTAGATGTTAAACAGTATACGACAGTTGGGCACACACTGTACATTTCCATAATGTTCCTCTTTTCTCTTCTGCTGAGTTTCTACTCGCTTGCGCTCAACCTCGCCCCCTTCCCAACCAAGCTCTTTTCAATATTCTCCGGGCTGATAATGGCATTTCTGACACTTTTTCCATATTTCTTATACAATGTCTCGACATTTTATCACTATGATGCAAGCTTCCTTACAACCACCAATCTGTACGATGCAGAAGTTCCTGATCTTGTAAAATATATTATAGCAAATATCAGCCCAAGCGCTAGTGAATCGGGAAAATACGACAACTTAGTCAAATACATTGTCTGTGCAGCAAGATACTTAACCACGATCAGTCCAAGATACTTTTTCGAAGTAACTCTGCAGAAGATTTTTTTGTACAACAGATCAGTACAGAAAAACTTTAGTTCAGGCGATATTGACAAAGACTCAGTTACAAAAATCATGGAGAAAATAGATGTCTTATTAAGTGAGAGCGATAAACTCAAGGACGACCCACGCAGCATGGCTCTGAGGCCGTACAATGATCGAGCTGAATACTTTAAAGATTGCATCAGTGACATTTGCGGGGGGATAGAGCCTCATGAAATATTCAATCGAAAGGAATCTCTTGAAGACATTTCAATACTGCGCGTCGTATGGGACACTGCCTGCTACTGGAGACTGCCCATTATTCTGCTCTGTCTTACAATCGTATACTCTGTCAGATATCTTCAGCCAAGGCTAAGAAACTAAAGAAATAAAGATTTCTTCTGAGCCAGCACCCTTCTTCATCCTTCTTTCTACCCTTTCTTTCTCTCAGCTCCCTCAGGTTCACTCTTCCGAGATATTTTTAAAAATATTGTAGAATATTACAAAAATAGCGGGCATGCTCTTTTTGTGATCAAACAGCATTTCCTTTCCCGTACAAAAACCGTTACTCAAAACAAAAATATTTTTACTGTGCAAAACCAAAAGAAAAGGCAGACCGCACTCTAGACTACACGCTTTCCTGCACAGCGCAGGCCTCTCTGTGCATTTTCTAGAAATCGAGTAAACATCAAAGCAAAGAGTTTTTTATAACTTTTGCAATTGTAGAAAACCATGAAAAATTTGGCTTGCATGACGACAGACTTGGAAGATTCAAAGCAGGTGCTGACAGTTTTCAAATTGCCCCACGATATGGACGAAGAAGAGAGGGAAATAATCAACAAAGTAGACTCGATACTCTCGTGCAGCGCTCCCACACAGAGCACCATAAAAGAAGCAGCTTTTCATCTGGCCAATCAGCACCAAATGCTGGAAAATCTTTTTGTCCCGCAGTCGACCGACTACGACTACTACTTGGCCCAGAAGTACGCCATCAACAATGCTCTTCTGTGCATTCTGTTCACAATACACGAAAGCCACGAGCTGCAGACCTTTCTGAAAGGAAAGAAGCCCTTCCAAAGGCTGAAGGACATATTCTACAAAGAAATAGAAAAAAAGATAACTCGGTGGACGAATGTCTATGTCTCCATAAGAGAAAAGAAAAGCGAAAGATACACGACGCAAATGGCTGTGCTGTACCAAATGTGCAATCTTAGATTGAACAGGCTTCTGGTGCGCGACAGAAAGTACTGGCACAAGCTGTTTGAAATAGTGCAGAACAAGTTCACCAAGGAGAACATTCCAATGCAGGTCACCGATGCCCACACTTCTGAAATAAACCAAAGCGCCATCAACTTCCTGCGCGCAAACGAGTTTCTGATCGACCTGCGAAAGAAGTGCGTAGAGATCATAGCGTCTCCTTCAGGCAAAGACTTCACGTTCCAGCAGAAAAGAAGCGCGCTGCAGCTGAAGTGGATAGTCAGCAAGTGGAACAGCACCACCATGATCTCAGACATAATATGGTTTTACCAGGACATGTTTGACGAAAAGCTGTGGAGAACCTTCAAAGAGACAACCCTCAGCAACTTTGATAACCTTGTGAGCTCAATTAAGCGGTGCAAAGAAGAAATGCAGGCAAAGAATAAAACCTTCGTGTGCAAGGCAAAAAGAGGAAAATACTATCTGATCCTGAAGGAGAGATTTCAGAACGCGTTTGAAGACACATATGAAGCAGACCCTATTTTTAGCGAGTATTTAGACATTCTGTCCACCTTTGTGGGCGTTGATAAGAACGCCCCCAGCCCATTCTCGAAAGTAACACGAATGCTGAGAAAGCACAAAGGCCCCCTGGTATTCTCCACCCGAGAAAAAGAGCCAGAGATAAAGCCCGAGCCCCCGCAGTGCAATGTGATAGAAGGAGGGGAGTGCATATGTCCAGACTTCTACCCCATACTGATATGCAGTCTCTTGTGCAAAAACTCTCGAAGAGCCTTCAAAACCAACACATTCATGCCCAACAATATTTTGGTGTACAACTACTTCAAAGTCAGCGGGCGGCACATCAGGGCCACCGAGGATATGTTCCTAAACATGGGCTCGCTGCTGGTTTGTCTTTTCTTTGTATTTTTATTAAAGCCGTATGTGCACAGACTGCACTGCACGGGAATCATAACGAGCAAACCAACAGTATAAGATGCCTTCAAAAACAGATATACTCACCGATTCAAATTGTGTATGCATACAGAGCGTTCAAGATAGTGTACTGATAGAAATAATCTTCTGTTTTATCTTTGTATTTGCTGTAGTAGATACTCAGCAGGCTGTCACCTGCTTAAATATGCTAGATTCGAAGAAGGATGCACAAGATTGTTTGAGAGAATGCAGCCCCTATTAAAATAAGCTAGATAGAGATAGCTGGCTATTTTGAACTATCACAGCTCTAGTTATTGGAAAAATAAAAAATATAGAAAAACGATCTAGAAGCGCTTGAATCTAAAATGAAAGACTATCCAGCACCGCAGAGATAAAGAAATATTGGGCTAATGAAAAACTAAACTAAATATTATGCACGCGTGCTGTAATAAAAGAAGTTTTCATGCTGATTTTTTATTGTTTGTGCTTAATCTCCTGCAGACAGTGATGCAAGTCATTCTGCACAGAGCTTAATAGAAATTTTAAATGCCGCTATCTCTCCAGGCCCATTGTGGATCCAGGAATAGAAATGCTACATCAAGAGAGTCTCTTGCACTGCGTAAAACAAGTGCTATATCCACTGCATTTACTCTCAATGCTTTGCATGATAGTGAGAAGCTCTCTTTTCTTGCGCTCATCAAGATGCTCTGTGCAAAGCAGCAACAGTACTGTGTGCTATCTGTCCATCACAAAACAACCGTTGGGGTTGTTATGCTTTTAACATGGTTCATAAAGAAGACAATCAAAAATATCAGAATAACAGCAACAGAGGAGGGCCATGTGCTTCTGATGGTCTCTTTTGTGTTGGATGTTGATTTCCTGACTATGATGTCAATTAGGTTGGCCACCTTGAACACTGCAGCCATTGTGTACAGAGTAATCGCTGTTTCTGGCCAGCTGAGAATGTCTGGAGAATAAAAGCACACTAAGTATCCCGTGACTATCGAAGAAACACTCAGGAAAATCAAAACAACAGACATAGCGGTTCTCGAAAGAGATACGCCAATAATGCGCAGCCACCTCTTAATCTGCTTGTAGACAATGTACATGCACATGGCAAAGACAAAGACGCACAGAGACCTCCACCCCAGGAAGATGAAAATGGAAGTCAAGTCCCACGCCCGGAATCCATTGAGGTTCACGCAGCTATCAGTGAACACATCCATGCCAATGATAGAGGAGGCAAACATGAAAAACATCGCAGATATGCCCAGAACAGTGGAGACCAAAAGGTTCAGCGCAATCTGTGTTTTTGTGAGGTTCTCTTTGTCCTCCAGCTGGCTCTCTGCTACAATGCACTCCAGAATGTGTTCATCCTCTGAGTCGCTGTTTAGCTCAATCTTACTGAATAGATATCTTGCGTGCGGGTCTCCCTGGGCAAAAATGAGTCTTTCAGACGTGCACTCAGATAGAGGCATGTGGACATACTCCAAGCTTCTGGCGTAGCTGTTGTACTCTGTCACCATCTGCCAAATCAGCTTGCTGTTTCTCTCTTTGTAGGCGTCTAGAATATTTAGGTAGTAATCGCTCCCAAAGTTGTAGCACACAGCAGCATACCCGTTCCATTTTGCATAAATGCCCTTTAAAAACTGCACGTCCTCAGAAAAGTATGGGTCCCACTCAGGCTTCAGCTCAACGTCGCTTTTAATCTGCTGAATTGACCTGTCTATCATCCGGCTCAGGAGAAGTTTGCTCGATTCTATTTTCTCGCACAGAGTTTTTATGTCGCATCCCACGATGTAGTTGTACGATATTTTCTGGCACTTTTTCTCAAGCAAAGGCTCCATGTCTTTTATCTCCTCCAGCTTGTAGGCGTACACCTTGCTTGTATCCAGCGCAAGCTCGAGCAGAGACAGATAGCCTTTGCTTTTCTTGTCGAGGCTCTTTCCAAAGGGCGTTTCCTTCTCAAGATCCAGCGCATACCGGCGAATGTCCATCCAGAACGAGATCTCACTGATCACAAGGTCTATAAAGTCATTTACCACTTTTTCCTCTATGTCGTTTCCCATGCTGTCATTTGTGTAGCTGGACTTGTACATTTTCACCAGCGATGCAAAAAGACTGTGCGTATGGCTTTCCATGTCCACAGGAAAGGCATTTTTAAAGGCCCAGCGAAGAGCCTTCTTGTCTTCAAGTGATATGTTCATTTCGTTGATGCTGTCTGCTGCCACAGAGTCCATAAACACTGCTGTGCTGTGCTGTATGGCTTCTTTTATCTTCTTCTGCGAATCATCGCATGATTTTAGGATTCTGAGCACCTCGCTCATTGTGTCGCTGCGAGCCTGGCTGGACTTTCTCTGGTACACCTCAAATGTAACAAGCTTTTCTAGCGCGTCCTTAAAATTTTCCATGTATCATAATTTAATTTTTAGGGTATATATGCGTTCCCAATTTTTCCATATATAGAATATTAGAAAGGTAATTTCCCGATTTGAACATAGAGGATCTAATTGCAGGCAGGCTAAACCATCATGTCAAACGGCCTTTACATGCGCATTTCTCTCTGCAGGTATGCAATGCTATGCGCATCAGCTGAAAATCGCTTTACAACCTGCAGCTAAAAGACATATTCTCGAGTTGTTCGCGGGTTATGAACATTCTACATAGTGATAGAGTGTAAATTATACCGGCACTTCACAACAGAACTCTTGAGCTGCATCCTAGTTCTCATTCAGGTATCTATTTTACTAATTGCAAACAGTACAGAAAAGCACAGAAATAAAATTATTTATAGAACATTTATTCCAGTTTATTCTCGGGTATATTCTTATTCAGTGTCTAATGCGTTTAGAAATATAAAAGTGTACCAATAAAAATTTATTTTTGCAAATATGAACAGCACAAGCGCACAATCTATGTTTAATTTTGATTTTAGATCAGATATTCTTATCATTTAGAGGGCATATAATAGTATTAATTTTTATTTTTATGTTTGTTCTATCTATTTTAGCATATCTCATAACCAGTGTAGCCTGCTCACAGAGTACTGCACCCAGCGAAACAGCTATTAGCAGTCAGGATTCTAGTAGTACATATACACACTCCACTGCTGGCAGCGCAGTGGCAATTGGTGTGGCTAAAGATGTACATAATAGCCCCAGTCTGTCTTCTTTCTATGATACCTTGTACAGCTCGGATTTTGAAGCTATTCTGAGCCGAAAACTCTGCAATTACATAAGTAGCAATATAGATAAGGCACCAGGTGATAGCTCAGGCAGTGCAGATGATGAGCTTAGTAGGGAAGAAAGGAGACAGGCGAAGGAAGAGAATAATAAAAGAAAAATCCGCTCTTTAGGCGAAGAGAATGCAGAAGACGTCTTAGTACCTCCAGAAAGTGCTAGCAATGAATACTATAGCGATACTCTTGTGTACGAGAGTCTAGTTGACTCTATTAGAGTCAAAAGTGCCCCAGGCAATAGAGATCCATACAGAGCATACAATGAGTTCACTGGAAAGGATACTTCTCCCTTTGAAAATGAAAAGGTCTATAGCTTTGTAGCTTCTTCTTTCATCCCAGAGGACCTGGTTGCTCTAATTACGCATATCATCCCTAAAGGCAACCGTGCATGCAATTACGATAGTAAGCTTAAAGACGTTGTTAATCTGAGCGATATTTCGAACAGGATTCTTGGAGGGATACAGAACATGAACGCATTTAAAGCCAAGCTTCAAGAGATAGAGATAATCATAGACACTAGGATAAACGATCTAAGTATAGACAGTCTTCAGTTCAATAGGCTGAAAGCTCTTACTGTGTCTATGCATGAATACAGAGTCCAGGAGATGCGGAATATCAGAGCACAGATGGACGATTGGGTTGGCGCACTGGACATTTCAAACACAATACAAAAGAATGGTGTGCATACAATGCAAAACCTTTCAGAAGAAGAGTTTGACAAATACTATTCGAATATAGCCCCATACCTACTGAACGAGAAATGTGTTATGGTGCAGATCCTCAATGCGTGCGACCATCTGGACAGCCTGTCTACCCATCTACACAATCTCATAAAAATCATAAACCCAAGTAAGAGTGCTCTCTATGAGTTTGAGAGTATTTTATACGCGCTAAAAGAAAACATTTTCAATCCAGATGCGTCTTTACAGCCTGACAGCATGCATAAGCACAGTGAAAAAATCAGCTTGAATTTACTGGAGGCCATAGGGAGATACATAAGGTTAACAGAAATGTACACCACAGAGTTTGACAACAGTCTGCAAAAAGCAGGACAAGTATTGTATAATACAGTGATACACTCTCCCTCAGGGAAAAACAGGCAAATCCCCTTGTTTAACAGCTACATCAATGTGCAGATCAGGATACTTAAAAAGGAAAAGATGTTTCTAGATGCTGTGATAGATAGCTTGAAAAAAGCCAACAACTTAATCAATGCTAGCATAGAGACACAGCCAGATAAATGCAATCTGTTGATTGATGATAAGCTGAAATATGCGAAAAACATCAAAAGTCAGGCCAATGCACAGCTAAAAACGCACTCCAGTGATGGAAAGACAGCTCATAAGAATGTGTCTAATCCTCCCAGACAAACAGGAGAAGTCCCCAACACAGCACAGAAGAGGTATCCTGCTGCAGAAGTACCTTCCAGTCCATCCCCACCACTAGAAGACAGGAGAGTCTCTCCTACAGCAGCTTCTACAAGAGACAATACCACACCTCGAACACTGTCCTGGGAGGAACTGGAGCTGAGTAAGTTTGATAACGGTGTAGTAAAAAGCCTGATGAGCATATCAGAAAGCAAACCAGAGATATTCGACAATAGCATAAAATACCTAGAAACAGGCCTAGAGCTGGCTAGACTCCAGCTCAGTGCAGAGTTTGAAAGTAGCTCAGACAGTGTGCTAAATCCTGCAAACAATTCTCTTCTAGACCCAAGAGCACAAAAGAAAATTATTGAGCACATTAATAAAAGCATAAACCAAACAGGAGCAGAGGACGAAAACCAGCAGCTAAAGCTTATCAGGGATGCAACTCAAAAACAAAACGAAGAGTACAGCCTAGAGGAGACTGCCATCCAATCCAACATCACAGAAACTGAATCAGAAGAGAAAAAGTGCAGGGACAGTCTAAACAGCATAAAGAATAGCATAAAAACACTGGACAAAGAAACAGAAATAAAAGAGAAAAACATTAAATTCGACGAAGATGCTATCAAAAGGAAAAACAAAGAAGAGGAGGATCTTGGCGCGCTTATCAATAAAAACAAGCTGGACTTGAAGAGAAAGAGCGAGGCTGTGGACGAGTACAATAGCAAGAAAACTGAGATGGAAAAGAAAGTAGACCAGAAAATACAGAGTCTGGAGAAACAGAACAAAATTATAAGAAACAACACAGCTTCACTTGTCTACGAGATAGAAGGAAAAAACAGCATTTCTATCATGATTGAAAATCACCTAAATGAGCAGAAAGAGCAGATAAAAGAGCACATTAAAGCAATAAAAGACAGTATGCTTTTGCTAGACGCGCTTAGGGTGCTAAAAGACTCGGAAATACAGGTAACAAGCTCTGCTGCAGGCAATGCAAGGAAAGAAAACTATTTGATCAGGAACGAAACTTCAAACAGCCTCTACAAAAAAACAGCCCATGCTTTATGCAAGCTGGCAGAAGATGCAGCAGTAGAGTACAAAGGCCTTTTCTGCAAGATATTTGAAAGAGTAGACAGAATAGCAGCCATAGCGGCGGAGCAGCACAACAAGGCAGTTTTGGATCTATCAAACTGCAAAAAGAATGCGTCTGTTATTGAGAATATGAACAAAGACCTGAAGTACACTGATGTGATAGAGAATTTTACAGATGCAATAGAAAGTGTTGAGAACAATATAGCCATGTACACAAAAACAATTGAGAAGCTAGAAAAAAGTAAAAAAGGACTGTGTACAGCCATTGAAAACATGCAGACAGATTTCAATGCGAAAAATAGCGAAATAAACACCTTTTTGAGAACCGCAACAGAATACTTAGCTGAGATAAATGCAATAGGCAATGCTACCCAGACTCTTAGAGAAAAAGCGGAAGAAGAAAGAAATAGCTCCCAAATAGATGGCCAGATAGAGCTGGCAAGAGCAAAATACAGTATGTTTATAGATAAGATAAATAGTTATAGTCATCTTATAGAAAAATATGTAAATATCCTGTACAACCCTGACAATGAAACTGCAATAGAATTTCCTGTTTTTTCAAAGCCTCTGCCTACTGCCACACCTACTACTACAGATGAACTCACTGCAGAAACCATCCTTGAAGCTGCTATAGAAGCCACAACTGAAATCACTGCAGAAGCCACAACTAAAATAACTAGTGAAATAGTGCACGAAATTGAAGATGAAAATGCTATTAGTGCTACAGCTACTGACCAAGAAGTATCTTCTACAGCACAGACCGTTATAAAAACAGTGCCTATTAACACAGAAGTTCTTTCCAAGAAAACAAACTCCTCCCTAGTAGTAGAGCAAAAACCTACTAACCTGCAGAACAAACCAGAAAGCACTGATTATACCCATATAAAAACAAGCAACACATTAAATCCAGAGAAGTACAGCCCAGATAATGGCGATAGTGACAGCGATGACTTCTTCTTTGACAATAAAGATGCCTCTGATGAAAGCCATGCCAAAAAGAAAATAACAGTACTCGATCCAATTGCTCCTCCTACATAGGAAAAGTAGCTCGTTCGCTGACCAACAAATAAAATCTGAAAACAAAGTCATCCAGCTATTGGTGTAAAAGCAGAATAATCCGAGAATAACAACTAGCAAGATTGCAGCAGACCGTACACTCTTCGCACCAGTAGATAATGGCATATTAATAAATCCACTGATTTTAAATATGTACACTACAGCTGCACATACCACAGCTGCAGCTACATTCTATAAACTCACATGTAAAATGTTTTATTTCTGTTTAGATGTTCTTTGATATGCTGCTCTTTATCTCCCCATTCTCCAGCAAGACCTGTATCTCGTCTGGCAGCTGCTCTTCCTTTTTTGTCCGGCATATCTCGTCTATCTCTTCCGGCGTTTTGTCCTCTATCTCTGCATCCTCCAGAGAGACCAAAGAGAGACATGTGCTCCTTCTGATGCGAAACTCTGTGTTCTTTGCAGCTGTTCCTATCCTGCACTCCACACACTGCTCGAGTATTGACATAGGAATGTTCTCCAGCAGGAAGAGCGAGTTCTTGGCGCGCGCTATTTCCACCGTTGCCGTGGCTTTTTTAATGCCTATGAAGCTTCTTTGTATGTCGATTGCCACCACCTTGATGCACTTTCCTTTAATATAGACCTGCGACTCTATAATATCTGCTATGTACACCACCTGGTCTGCCTCAGCCTTAACTATCTTCACCTCTCCTCGTAGCTTCTTTATTTCAATGATTCGATGGTTCATGCGCTCTGCAATAAAGGAGAAAACTTTTGCATCTTATGATAGTTATTCCCATTGGTGTAAGACAAACAAACATAATGTACGTAATAATTGGTAAAAACGGCGAAGTTGTTTTTGTTGACCCCATTGAGCCAGAAAAAGCCCAAAAAGCAGCCCTAGACTCTGTAAAGGCGCCTTCCCACGTAGTTTCGCTAACAACGCACCACCATGAAGACCACTCATCTGGGAACAGCAGAATACTAAAAAGCTTTCCAGATGCAAAAATATACGCAGGATCAGATAAATCGCTCAATACACACATATGCAGGGACGGGGAGGTGCTAGAGGTAGGCTCTTTGGAGATAACATGCATGCACACACCGTGCCACACACTGGACAGTTTTACATTCTTTGTGCAAGATAGATCTAGCAGCACGCAGCAGCCCGTGGTCTTTGCTGGCGACACGCTTTTCTACTTAGGCTGTGGAAGGTTCACAGAGGGCACCGGTGAGATGATGCAAGAGTCATTGCGCCGTATTGCCAGTCTTCCTTCTAACACGCTCGTGTACTATGGCCACGACTACTCAGAGAGCAATGTGCTCTTCCGAAGAGAGATTACAGAAGAGCCTGCGAAGATAAAAACATCGGGAATGTTTCTGACTGTAGAAGAGGAGAAGGAAAACAATCTATTTATTAACACATCACTACTCAGCTCCTCAGAGCAATTTGTGAATCTCTCTCCTCTAGCTCGCTTAAAGCTACTCAGACAGCTAAAAGACGAGTTCAACGTAAAAAAGCAGCTTTAACATTCCCTTTGTTTGTGTACTAACACTTCTTCTACCAGCAATATTATCTTATCCAGTTAGAGACTATTATTCTTTCTATTTATCTATCTCTTTGATTAGAGGAACAGCCTGGAAATAATGATGCCAATGCAACAGATTATCTTAACGTATGCAGTGCAAAGAATAAACACCATCTACTCATCGCCATCTTAGACTATTCTCAAACTATTCTTGAGCTCTGTCTCTTTTCCACTTCAGCTTTGATGACCCATCTCCATCAGAAGATAAAACTAAATGAAAAACAAACACTAGAAGTACTTGACACAAATTAAAAACAGCCCAAGAACTCACTTCTCCTGTGCAGCCTAGTAGCTCATTCTCTGCTCATTCTGCACGCCCAGTGCTTTAAGGGGATAATCTACTGAGAATTCCACAGTAGACGCAATGGCAGATGGTCTTTCTCTCTGATTAGCTCCATCCAAGCTGCACAGAGACACTTTCCCCAAGGCCCCACTAGAGCACGCATAGAACACTTCCTTTGTTGCACTTGAAAATTGAATGTCCCAGACCCATCCTGGTGTATCTACAAATCCAACGGTTTTTAGCCCTCCGTTTACTTTTTCTACAAATCCCATCCCCTGAGACGATCCAGCAGCTAGCACTTCTCCTGCTGCGCATCTGGTCCCGTACCCAGCCCCTACTGTTATAGCGTCTTCTAGTGTATTTGGGCTATTCGCAGAGACTATCCCCATCCTCCCCATTCTATTGTAGCCAATGAGCTCGTCCTTGTACTTCTCCAGATACAGACAGCAGTTTCCTCTTCCTTTTCCTGCTAAAACGTCTTTTTTGTATATTCTTCCACTGTAGTCTGACAGATATATCTCATCCCTGTACACCACCCCGCTTGCCACAGGGCTCCCCACACAGACACTTTTTACCGGGTGTTTACTTTTCAGGTCCCATGCAAACACCATCCCGTCTTCGCTTGTAGTGTAGAGCAGAGAAGACTTGAAGAAGAACGATGTGATGCTCTTGGAGTGCCCCTGCATGCGCCCCGCAGGTAGCATGGTAGATGCATCGTATATGTGCAGATCGCTTGACATGCACACAGCCAGCCCATCGACAAAGGCAATCCTGCTGATGTCATAGTCTATCTCGACTGTTTTGCACTTTTTACTGAGGCTGTTCCACGCAACAAGCCCTTTGCATCCGCCAGCAACAATAAAAGCCATTAATTTTTTTGCACTCGGAAATGCAACTATTCGAAGAGCCATACCACTATCTGCAGAAGAAGGTCGGATCCATACTCGAAGAGCTGATAGGCGAGCTGAACAAGAGCGTGTCAAGCTTTAAGAAGGTGTCAAAGAAGGCATACGAAGTGGAGGAGAAAATACTGCAGAGCAGAAGCAAGTACATAAAAGTAAGCAAAGAGGTGGAGTACGAGCTGAAGAGACAGAAAGAGATAGAGACAGTGCTGGAGTACTTTGAAGCAGAGATAGACAAGCTCAAACAGAAGCTGCAGAGATCCTCCACAGAGTCATCGCAAAAGCCTTGCTACTCAGCCCTCGGAGAAATAGGAACGCTGATAGCAGAGTTTAACGAGCTTGTGTCGCAGCTCGATGTTGGAGTCCCGAATAAAATAAACATCCTTCTGAACAAGAACATAAACCTCGTAAACCAGATCGAAGAGTCCATTGAGAAAAGCTCCGTGCAACAAAGAGAGTGAACAGAGCAAATGCTACACATCTGAATGAATAAATTATAATGCCAATACTTGAGTTGTAATCACTGATTGAGAAAAGTAATCACTTTGACAGAAGAGAAATGACAGAAGAGGATCACTGCAAAAATCAATTATATCATCTAGAAGACTGCACATTGCTGTTCTTGTGCAATTTCCTCAAAACATGCTCCTTCCTCCACACAAACACTTTTACTTAAAACTGTTCTTTACCCTGCAAAAATGCTCTAAATGGAAACATTCTTATTATTTTGTCAATGTGCACAGTTTGCACAGAAACATGCACAGTAAGCAGCTAATAAATAAAAACACCACACCCCGAGAATGAAAAACAAACAGGAAGAAGACAAAGACCTAATAAAACGTTTTATATCTTCTTCTTCTCTTATAAATATCACTGCAGTAAGTTTACTCTCTTTCCTGCTATCTAGGCCCAATCAGACCCTTTGCACTCCTTTCTACTGTGCACCCTTTAAATGTATTTTTCTGCAAATAACAATACCAAGTGTGCAAATTATTAGTACTCTTTTTGCAAAATAAAATAGAAAGGCACTGCCCGATTGCACAGGCTTCTCATCCAATCAGCACAGCACAGCCAGCAGTTTTCTTCTAAATGCAAACAGTCGATCTTCCTACTCCTCTGCAGCTTGAACAGCTTTCCACTGCTCACTACAAGACTTTACAGTAGGTTGTTCTTTTTGTTCCTTCTCCTATTTCCTCTGGAAGTGCACACGCCTTCCCTATTCTTCGATTGTTCTGTCTTCCCAGAGCCCATGTATATTAAATCATTTATTTATTTATTAAGCTCTTTATTGTCTTATGATAGAGATCTATTGAATGTGTTAAATATTTTATTCCTTTGTTTATATTTTAACCCCTGTATGGAAGATCAAAAGAAAACAGATGTAATTAAAAATATGCGCACAGTCTTGCCTCCCCTCAACCTCAAGGCGCCAGAAGGCGCAGAACAAGCTGCACAGAAGAACGCAGCAGCCCAGACGTCTTCTCCCCCGCACAGTAATAATCACGGAAGAGTAGCCCCTGTTGCAGATCCCTCGCACATGCCGAGCATGCCAAACATCCCGCACCAAAACATGATGCACTACGGGTACAGGCCGCCCGAGAGAGAAAGAGAGCGCGAGAGACAAGAAAGAGAGAGGCAGGAAAGGCCCTCGCAGATGCACATGCAGCCACCAGGCGGCAGATACAGAGTCCACTCAAACGCAGGATACATGCCATACAACCCGTACGGAAAAGCTCCTTTGGGGTACCCTCCAGGGCGCCAGTCCCCGCACTCGCAGACAAGATACTACCCGCCCTCCAGGCAGCACCCGTACATGGGCGAAATGCACCACTCGCGAATACCCCCGGAGAAAAAGCCCATTGTGCCGCAGCAGCCGAGACACGCTCCGTCAACCATTCTCATGCCAGAGGTGGGAGGAAGCGCCAAAGTGCAGATAAAGGATGCCATGCGCTATCTGGACATAGTGAAAGAGGAGTACAAAAACAACAAAGAGGTGTACAACAAGTTCCTGAAGACAATGAAAGAGTACAAAGACAGACACATAGACGCAAAAACAGTCATAGAAATCATGCTCACCCTGTTCAACGGAAACCAGAAGCTGATCCAAGGATTCAACCAGTTCCTGCCAAAGAAGTACGAAATACTCCCGTCTGGCGAAGTGAAAGTGCACGATGCAGAAAGAGAAAGAGAAAGACGCAGAGATGTGCCAGAAGAAAGAGAAAGGGAGAGAGAAAGGGAAAGAGAGAGGCCAAAAGAAGAGTATCCAGTGAACAAGCACCCAGCAGAGTACAGTGCAGCTAGTAAACAGCCATACGACCCTCGGCGGGACCTAGAGGGCCTTGGCATAGGAATAAAAGCGCAGTCTATGCGGAATGACTCTGACAGCATGGGGCGAGTGGTTAACTACCTCAACAAAGTGAGAAAGCATCTGGAGAACACGCCTGTTGCCTGGTTTGAGTTCCTCCGCATTGTCCAGTCGTACAAGAACAGCAGAGAACAAAAGCCCATCTCCGAAATACTCTCGAGCATCAAAGTGCTCCTTAAGGATGACCCTGTGCTTATCTCAGAGTTTATGGTCTTTCTTCCGTCCCCAGAGAAGAGGGGAAGGCCAGCGCAGAGACAGCAGCCATCTGACTCCCTCACCATGCTCCACGACATACGCGCTATTCTCAGCAGAAAGGGCGTGTATAAAGACTTTGTCAAAGCACTCAATATGTTCAACCAGGGCCTTCTTAACACAAACTCCCTTCTCCTGGTGATTGAGCCTTTCCTGCGCGGAGCACCTACTCTTTTCAGTCTGTTCCGCTACTACATTGGGCACCGGGAAGTAAATGCACCCCCGCACATACAAAGCAGCCTGGAGACCTACAGAAAGGTGGGGTCGTACAGAGTCCTTCCCGAGAAGTACAGAAAGTCGCACCACACGGGACAGACTCCCGAAGATGCCTCTGTTCTGAACACAGGGTACGTGGCGTGTCCTACGTTCTCCAGTGAGAGCTCTACTTTTATCTTTGCCAAGAAGAACAGCCACGAGGAAGCCCTCTACAGGGTGGAAGACGAAAGGTACGAGTGCGATGTTCTGCTGGAAAGGGTTTCTTCTTTCATACTGCGCCTTATGGAGTACGAGTCAATTGCTGTTGACGATGCAAACGTTTCGAAGGAGCATGCAAAGGCTCCTCTGCCCCCTCTTAAGCTCACAGCCCTCGACAAGGAAATTGTCTCCATAGTCTACGGGCCCGCCAGCGATGACATCATCCTGGGAATTATTGCACACCCCATCCGCGCAATACCCGTTGTCTTGAAGCAGCTGAGATCAATCGAAACTCAGTGGATCAAGTCGAGAACAACCAACGCCGAGATGTGGAGAAACACCGTGGACAGAAACTACATTAAGTCGCTTGATGTCAAAGGATACAAAATGCGCAATAGCGAGAGAAAAACATCGATCATCAAACAGTACTCTAAGGACCTTGATGCCTCCACAGACGTGCACTTCACCATCCCGTCTAAGTCTATTTTTCAGGAAGTGTTTGACATTCTCATTACAGGAATGGAGACAGAGGATGAGAAAGAAGCGGAAGCGGAAAAAGAAAAGTCCATTGGCCTGATCTCCTCTCTGGCCACGTGCGAAGGAGTGTTCTTAGTCACGCCCGAGATATACTATGTTCTCCGCGGGCTATCCTCCATCTGCAACCGAGTGGTAGAGGCAGTGAGCGGCAAAAGAGTAAAGCCCGCTGTGAACAAGGTGGCCAAAGAGCTGGGCATGCAGGAAGAGACACACGACCTAACAGAGGACGAGATATTTTCAGCGCTGAGAGCATATGTGCTGGAGGATATGGAGGCAAGCGCCTTTGAAGAGAAGGTGCTTAGCAGTCTCGGAGTGTGCGGTACATCGCTCGTTGGAATACTCGGGGTCTTCCAGAGTGTCGAGTCTATGCTGGATACTGTGCTGGAAAACAAGGGATCGCTGGAAATGCTTGGCCGCCTGTCCAACAGAGAAGAGGTGCAGCGCACCAATGCGTCAGAACTTATCATCAGAGGCGTGAGCATTGTGAAGCTGATAGTGCGGAAGGTGGACGAGTCGTATGAAATAGTGGCATCTCGGCTCACGCAGGCGCAAACGACCTCTGCCAACTGGGTTAACTATGTAAAGAACTACAGCACTGCTGAATCGCCCTTGGCTGGAGACGACAAAAAGACGCCCTTCCTGCACAGAAACGTAGACAAAGAAAAGAAGCCCGTTGAAGCAACATACGGAATGGAGTCGCTCTTCGCCGAGGGAAAGTTTAAAGTGCGGCACATCCCAGGGACCGAGGACTTTGTTTCGAGCAAGAAACAGAAGCTTGGCACTGAAAGTAATGAGATTGAAAAATAAGGGGCCTGAAAACAAGCCCCTGTCTGCACTGCAGAAGTATTCCTATGCATACAGTTCCTCTTGGTTGCCCAAATGTCATTGGAACCACCCCTGCGCAATGCATCTGCAAAGAAAAATTAATTTATGCATGGTAATTGCATGCTGCATATTCAAATAAACCACATCTGATAAGATTTTGTCAATGCGCCTATTTTCTGTTCTTTACCCTTTACTGTCTGCCCGCTACTGCTAGGCGTCTCCTGTCTGCTCAGAAGATGCATTCGATCAAAACCACCCTATCCAATAAATGCATAGCTATTCCAGCGTAAAGTATAAATGTAATTTATTGCATGGCTGTTCATTTTAGCCTTTTAAACTTAGCCCAGTGCTCTGCTGTTTATTCAATTATTAGGCAGTGTGCAGTATGTTCCACAAAAGCGCTTATTAAAGTCTACTGTCTACTTACCGCCAGAATTTTCATGTACACTTTTTTAATTTTGCATCCTCTCTGCGCCCAGTATAAGCTGTAAAAAAGTCTACTGTTTAACATTCAGAAGGCTTTTTTTCTGCGTAAAGTAAGAGACTGTGAGATGAAATAAAAAAGTGTAGCATTAGCTTCTAGGCACCAGATTGAACAAGCAGCATCAATAGAGCAGGCTTTACTAGATAGCTAACGTAGTGGCTATATCTGCTATGGCTTCACAGCTGTTCTAGAACAAGGTCCTTAAACACATGAAATGCTCTAGAAAATACTGCACAGAGCGAAGGATACTCTGCAGCTCTATGCACTACTCCATCAAACAGTCTCTATCTAAAGGAGAGATCTGCAGGCCGTAAGTAAAACATAGCCTAGGATGTAAAACCCTGTGCTCTATCCTAAAACAGACACATCTCTGAAACCCAGATTTATTAGCTAAGCGCAGTCCATTAGGCGCTGTGCACTTTTAATTTTTTCTGAAATTGTAATTTATTTGGTGCATTTTTAGACTATGTTCTAGGTTGTTTTATTTTGAATGAATTAAAATTTAGTAATCTATATAAATGATATATTTTTGCGGCTGCATCATATGTCTTGCGCCACGCTCATAGAAATTATTCTTGCAATTCTAATAGCCCCCGTTGCCGTCTTTTTAGTTGCCGGGTGCGGAATCGATCTTCTGATAAACATACTGCTGTGCTTCCTGGGGTACGTACCAGCCTGCATCCACGCCCTGTATCTGATAGCAGTTAAAAACAGACGCACTAATTCAAATGCCGCTAATTGAGTTTAAACCATCAATAAAGTTGAACATTCCATAGACATCTTCCTCTGCACCGCCGCTCTCTTCCGGTACACCCACTGTTTCATTCTGACTGCAGCGCGACAAATGCATCAAGGCCTGGCTTAATTAATTTGATGCTCTTCCAAGAAATTATGGGAGAAATATCAACAGCTGCATAATTCATGTTTTTGCAAGTGCAAATGGAGCAGCACTCTCTGTTCCATTAGAAGCTCGTTTGTCTTATGTTTGGGTGCTGTGGTGTGAATTGGAAGAAAGGCGGCAACTATTCATTAAATGAAGGAGTGCATAAATATGCAAGAATAAAAATGTTTTTGGGTTATACATATAGTTTATTAAACTCTCGTTAGAGCATGAGCAAAGATAAAGACCATGCACATATGATGATCTGTAGGAAAAACACGCTATCTACTTCTCTAGGCAAGCTCTGTGCATTTATTTGATGCAAACACTTGCCTATGGCATTTAATTAGAGAGTAAGTATGCTAGGAGTAAAAACAAAATGTATTGGTTACTCTTTATGCTGCCCCTATATACATGCTTTTATGCAAAGAAAAGACTAAATAGACATTCACTGGTATATTTACAACAATAGCTGAACATAGCACAGTTAGTGCATGCAGAATATACTATCCTGCTTTGCATAGAAGAGAATGCAGAGTCTGCCTGCTACTCCTCCTTTATGTCGTATGTGAAGTCTTCGTACTTCTTCTCTCCTTTTTTGTTCCAGTGGAAGTCCTTGTAGCACTGCGTGCACAGTATCTTCTCCTTCGTGCATATCAGAATATCTTTCTTTCTTTTGTACGCTGCAATGCCTGTCTTGCACAGCTGGCATGTCCTCTTCTTTGTCCCGATTCTCTGCAGAGCAACAGCTAGCGCTGTCTCTTTCTCTTCCATCTTTTTTGCAAGGGGCTGCATCTGTATACTCTCTATTTCAAGATACAGCATCTGTTTATTTTCTATTATAATGTCAACCTCTTCTTTAACATCTATTATTCTTTTTTTGCAGACGTCCTTGGACACTTCTATGGTGGTCGATTTTGTCTGCAGCTTCAGATCTTCGCACAAGTCCTCGACGGTTGCACTGGGCTGCGCAAGGAACTTCCACTCTTTTCGTCCTTTTATTCCAACCAAGTACCCGAGTATCTCCTCTCTGCAGTCTTTCGCAGATACTCCTAGCTGGGCAAGCGCATTTTGCAGCCACTCTCTGTGCATAGGGGCAGCAAATTTTTTGAGTGCACGAATAATCAGCGAAAATGATTTATATTTTCCAGTACGGGGTAGTATTATGATAATTCGAAAGCTGAAGGCGATAAGCAACAAAATACTAAAAACAACGCGCTCTGCCACACGAACCCCCACGCTGTCAGAAGAGCCAAAACAAAACAAAGAGTCAATCGACACACAGCCGCTTCCTGGCATAAAGTATCTCCAAAGAAGACAGATGGCGTCGCAGAAGCAGTATTTCGACAGCGCAGACCACTTCCTAAAGATCTACGAGATGGAGAAGACCATGCAGCAAATATCCCACGAAAATCTTATCAAAGAAGCAACAGAAGAAGGAAACCCAGAGGCCGCAGTAGAAAAGAGCCAGGCTCCTCTTGAAACAGCATATTCAGAAATAATTGATGAAATGAAGCCAAAGGAGTGGGTGTGACTGCCATGCACAAATCACCATATCCTCGGCTCGTCGTTAACCAATTGTCTGTGTGTATTGTCCGTAAAAATAATTATAAAAGTTGTTCAAGTACTGTTCTTTCTTAATAAAACTCACAGGTTATATTTATTATCTCACTTACTCTCTGCTCTTATCTATCTCTACTTTTTGGAGTTCAGCAAACAGATCTCCCAGAATCCTGTGGGGCTGTTCTTCTCCAGGGCTCTGGGCCCTTCTCGGGGCATCAGGTGCCGTATCGTGCCCGCCAGCAGAGGGTCTATGCGGTGCATCCCGCGGGCGAGGAGAAGCTTGATGAGGCCTGGTGTTCCCCTGTGCTTTTCTATCTTCTCAAGCGACGCATAAAACATCTTTATCTCTTTCTCCGACATGTCGAGCAGTGTCTCCAGCGGTATTTTCTCTATCTCTTCTATCTGGAAGGTAAAGTCAAGCTCTTCCTTGAAAATTATGTGCAGAGTCATGTAGCAGACAGCAAGCACCGCTGCGCGCCGTGGTGTGAGGTTTTCCTTTAGCTCTGCCACCTTCTGCGTTATTACCGTGAATATTCCCTCCTTCAAGTTTCCGGGTATTCGAAGCCGCTGCATCTGGCTCAGCGCGTAGTAGTGCTTTTCAATCGGCTTTGTGGTAAGAATGAGCAGGTATATCCTCAGCAGCCGCTCGTTTATTCCCTTCCACGCCTTTATTTCCTCTGGCATAAAGTGCAGCTGCGCCTCTTTCTTTATCGCCTTCTCCTCCACTGAGAGCTTCCTCATTTCAGCAGGCGCCAGTCTTTCTGTGTTCTCTGGCTTCGTAAGAGCTTCATCTGAAATGTAGAATAGGGTTTTTATCGTTTCCTTCGGGAGCTTTTCAATGTTCATTTGGTTGATAACTTCCAAAATCTTTACAATTCTGTTTCCCTTGTCGCACTTGAATATCTGCACGAGAGACTGCTGGCACTTTCTTCCTATTTTGTTCTTCATCCCCGTGCCTTTCACGACCTTTCCAACGAGCTTCATGCTTTTGTTGAAGAGAATAGCCTGCGGAAGAAGGATGGCTGCAGCCTCAAACGACTCTTCGGTCTTTGACCGCGTGATCATCTTTAGATAGGCCTGCCACTCCTGCATGAGAATGTACTCGTAGTTTGTTATTTTGGAGGACGAGTTGTACTTGTGGTCAGCTGTTCTAATGTTGTACGACGGAAGAAGGTTGAAGAACACTTTGGCAAGCGCCAGCACAACAAGCCGCGGCGTGCCCTTCTCCTTCTTTTTCAGAAGTATCTTTGTCATCTTTTTCACCTCCCCCATTGTTTTCTCTGTTGGATTGGCAAGCAGATTGCTGATGCTGCTGATGAATATCTGTTTCTCAGTTCTTTCCTCTGCTGCTGTCTCTGACATGTCTAAAGAATATCGTTAAAAATTTTTTTTGGTATTCTATCGTCCACATAGTACTCTGGGCTGTACAGAATATCATCAATGTACGTTCTGTGCATCCTATCAGATAGCGCGCTGATCCTTGCAGCGCTGTCTGTGTGGTCGTGTATTATGACAAAAATCAGGCCAGTTTGGGTCTTCAGCGCTGTTATTGACGCCAGCTCGTATCTGATGGAAAGTCTCTTGTACTTCCCTTGGCGCGTGCACACTTCGAGGTCGGAGAGTATTTCGATGGCTGTGTATATTGTGCTTGCGAGTGCTATGAGCTTGTCTATTTCAACCTTCCCTGCAAACGCGCTTTCTTTGATGTTTTGGTAGATAAGCCCTCCGCAGGCATTTACAATGAGCACTCCTTTAATCATGTGTGCAAATAAAATGGGAAATGAATAGTGCAAGAATTCAATTTCTCATTATTAAATATTTTCACTGCATAAGTGTAACTTCATTCAGAAAAAGCTACTTTTTATTAATGTAGAGCAGTGACAGAAGATAGATATAAAGATGCTTTATTTGTTGTATTTTGTTGTATTTTGGTCAGAATGTCAATAGCTATCTCACTTCTCGGGTGCTAATACTGCTGAGCATGAAGAGATGTAATAATTACTGTGCTTACTTTTGATGAGAATAAAACCCTTAGTCTATATAGAGAGAAGTATTTAGAAAGCATTTGGTATAGTGATTGATTGCTCTGTGTTGCTCTCAAATAAACAAAGTAAAATAAGCTAGTTGAATTAAGCTGATGTGAAGTACGTATGTAATGTGTGCTAGATGGATAAGTTGTGTGTAATTTGTAGATTGCTCTTATATTTCAATGGGCTCCATAACACAGACGCCCTCTGCATACAGTGCATATAAGAGTCCGTCCTCTGCATAGATGTCCTCGCAGTCATCCAGCCGCGCAGATACAGTGTAGTTTGCGATAGAGAACTCAGAGTCTGCGAACGGTCCCCCCACTGTAAACGAAACAACTTCCTCTCTTGTTTTTGAAATGCCTGCAACAAGCCCCTTGGAGTAGTAAGTCAGGGTTTCTGGTATCACAGAGGGGATCCTGAAGAACTTTCGAATCTTTCCCGTGGGCTTCAAAATGATTGCAACCTCTCTGTTGTTCAGAAGATACTCCTCCTCTTCTTGCGAACGAGTGGCTCTGCAGATGTTCTGAATCGGAAGTATATGCTTTTTTCCCTCTATTCTAAAATACCAGTCATTGCTAGAGTCTACGCTCACACTGTCCATGTAAGAGACTTTTGCGCTCACCCAACTCTCTTTGTCTTTAGTTTCTTTTTTTGTAAACTTCTCCCATGCCATTTCTTGTGTGCTTTTTGAATTTATTTTATTTCTCTACACTTTTATACTTTTTCATGTCTATAAGCACAGCCTTATGATGAATGCTTTTACTTCTTTATAGAGACATACCATATATACTATATATACACGTGTGTCTAGTGTGTGCACCTTCTCTTCTAATTTGAAAGTCCAAACTTTATCACAAATCTAAAGAACTCTTCTGAGTTTACACTTCGCTGGTATTCTGTCTCTAGTATCTCTTTTGCTTTCTTCTGAAACTCTTCCGCATCAGCCTCATTATCTACCAGAGCCTGCAGAGCAGACAGCACTGTCTGATTGTTGATGAAAGTGCGCTCTTTTCTGATCTCTTCTGTTTGTTTCTCTAGCAGCGTTTTTTCAGAGCTATTCGGATAGACTGCGAGCGCCTCAAGACGGGCCTCCAGAGCAGAGGCCACCGATCCTTTTCCTTCAAGCAGTAATTTGGAGATGGATGGTATCATTTTATGAAACTGTTTGCAAAAAACTATTTGCACAGACTAAAACAAAATTCAAAATAGCTAGCGCTTAAAAGTTCTGCCGTTTCACAGTGAGACACCTGTCTCACATACAAATATATATTGGGCATGCGGGAGGTATGGTAAGCATGGCAGACACAACCATAGATTCAGGAACTAGCACTGCACAGCCAACAGGCAGCAGCGGAATCAAAGAGAGGTTCTCAGCACTGTCTCAGACAAAGAAGGTCTTGTTCATTATTCTGCTGATCTTAATCATCTCTTTTGGGATTATGTTTAACATATTTATCTTCCATTTGCTGTTCGGCGGATCTTCTAGCTCCAGCTCCAGTGCAGGCAAATCAACACTTTTGTCTGTGAGCAACAAAGCAACTGCTTCCGACCCTGCAGATACTAGTAACTCAGCCACCGATGCAAACAGCGCAGAGAACTCAGCTGTGGCAAAGGGGCCAAGCAACAAAACAGCCGGCAAGAGTGTTAATATATCTTTTCTAAAATCCAAAGCAAACAACACTGAAGAAGCTGATAAAACAGAGGAAACCGAGGCTGCACAGAAGAAGAAGCCAGCAAAGGGGTCCAAAAAGAAAAATAACTCCAAAAAATCAGGAGTATCTGTTGACAGCCAGATGCACCTCCAGAACATGCTGGGGCTCAAGGACGTTCGATTGGTAAGCGCTAAAAGCAGCAATTTATTAGATTCTCCTGCAAACTAAAGTGCTAACGCGTGCTCAAACGATTAAATAAAATATTGGTCATTAAAGTGTGCATGTTCCTCCGCTTAAAATCTTTACAGCTTTTGTACAGTGCTCACTCATGGCACAATATCAAGGGTATTTTCTATTGATTTATGCACCTTCTAGCCACTCGTGGCCCTAGCCTCTTTTTTCTGTTTGTTTGATCCTAGAGATAGTTTGGAGCAGATTGGAGAAGTTCTTTAAATTTTTTCTGTTCGCAATTTTTATTTAATATGGGCTGCATTGGATACAGAATGGTAGATGGAGTTAAAAAATACTGTTTGTACGACGGAGAAGTGCAGACAGACGTGCAGACGGCACACCCCGCCAGATTCTCGCCAGAAGATGCTTTTTCAAAGTACAGAATAGAAATCAAAACAGAGTACGATTTGCTGCCAAAATCCGCTCAAAATTAATAAAGTCGAATGCGTATATTTTTCTTTTATGTTGCGATACTTTACAGTAGAGTACGACGGGTATACGTACAAGAAGGAGGAAAAGAAAGAAGAAGAGAAGACCTCTGGCGCGCACTATCTGATCAACACGCTGACCCTGTGCCCGAGCGAAAAGACAGAGCTGCAGAAGATAATTAGCAGAATGAACACGAAGAGCAAATGGAAGGACTTGTCCGACAAGCAGGAAAGAATCTACTTGAAAATGGAAAAGATTCTTTCGAAGCTGAAAGCATACACGCCGTTCTCTGTGCCCTTTCTCAGCAAAGTCAGCAAGAGAGAAGCCCCCGAGTACTACAACCTCATAAAAAACCCGATAGATTTAGGGAAAATAGGAAAAAAGCTTTTTCTCCAGGAGTACTCCGATGTGAATGATTTTTTGAAGGATCTCGACCTAATTTGGGAAAACTGTTTTAAGTTCAACAGCACGCACGGGAACATATATGCGATGTACGCACAAAAAATGAAAGAAAAGTCGCTTGTTCTCCTGCAAGACCTCTTTTCAGAGAGAGAAATAGAAATACAGGAGCCGCAGGAAGAAGTGGACCACTTTATACAGTCTGAAAAACAGAGAAAAGAGATGGTAGCTACCCGCGCAGCTATTCTGCAGAACCCTGCTGAGTTCACGTGCAAGCGAACAGGCGCATCAATGGGGGAGTTCTGGAAACAGGAAACAGAGGCCATCAGGCAAAACCAGAACATTTATAGTCTGGGTACAATAAATAGCGAAATAGATGGAATGAATGAGCTGTGTGATACAGCTACTACAAACACAAAAAGAAAGAGCTCCCTGTACATACCAGAGTACACACACTTCTACAACAGTTTCCCTGTTTATGTGCCAGAGCCAAGAGCATCACCGCCCTCTTACTACACAATAGATGATTTGCTTCTCTCTGGATACACCGCATACAACAAAAATAGCAAGGCGTACAAGCTGGGAGAGAGAATGGCGCAGGATAAGAAGCTGTTCTACAACAAGAATTTCTACACAGCAGATAACAAGGCTGTAAATGACATTTACATGGGAAGATGCGAGATTATGCTCCTTCTGAAGAAAATAGTTACACTGGAGCTGATATCAACAGGGTTTACAAGCACGGAGGCATCAGCGCTGAACATTCTTGTGTCGTATGCCATGCACAAGATAGAGAGTGCAATGAAGCAGCTGTCAGAATACAAGCGCAGAATATCGCACACTGCAGAAAAGAACACAACAGAAAACATCCTAAAGTATCTGATACACGTTTTCCAGCTGAACTCAGCAGACATGGAGCCAAATGCATTCTTTTCAGAGGAAGAGGAAGACTCAGACGAGGAGTCCATTATAAACATGATATACTCCAACCCTGAGGATGTTGATGTGGAGATAGATGACGACTTGATCTAGAGCAGAACTCCATTGTAAATACGCAGCACAATAAATCAGATGTCAGCAGTGCTTAGTCAGAGCAGATAAAAAGTAAAACTAGCCGTTTAATTAGAGAAATATTCGAATAAAATTTTACATGCGCGGAGTAGTAAAAATACACAACGCAAACAGAGCACTCACAAGGAGAATAGTGGAGGTGTTCTTTTCTCGATTTGGACAGATCAAAAAAATAACAATGCCCAACAGATCAGCAACATACGCGCTCGTAGAGTATGCCACCCAGAGCGAGGCAAATAAAGCCATCAAAGAGCTAGACGGCACCACGCTCAGAGACATCTACGGAAAGAAAAAGCTCACGAAGAACGCGTCTGCAGAGTTCATATGGAACCTCTCCGTGCTTACGGAAGACTACCTCTGGGAGGAAGACGAGCAAGACATCACAAAAATAGAGAAGCAAATAGTTCGGCAGAAGAAAAGGAATCTGTCGTACATAGAGTCTCTAGGAGACAAAATAACGCTAGCTACAGACGTAAGACAGCGGCCCGTGATCAAGCTCGTCTCAGCAGAGCCAAAGCTAAGCAGAAAAAACAGTGATGATAAAAACCAGGCAGATGACTAGCAGGCAGCAGATACTCATCTGGATAGCTGATTCTGATAAATAAAGTAAATAATTAGCAATAGCCTCTTACTCCCGCACTGCCTCTATTTCTGCTATATTTGTCCATAGCATCCACATTTTGTTTTTTCAATATTTTATTTTATAATTTTTACTCCCCTTGTAATGGGACGAAGACCAGGAAGATGCTATAGATACATAAAAAATAAGCCATACCCCAAGTCAAGATTCTGCAGAGGAGTGCCCGACTCGAAGGTGTCTAAATATGATACTGGAAAGAGAAAGGCCACTGTAATGGAGCTGCCAGTGTGCACCAATCTTATCTCTCTGGAGAAAGAGCAAGTGTCCGCAGAAGCACTGGAGGCATCTCGTATTGCGCTGAACAAGTACCTCACAACGCATCTAGACAAGGATGCATTCCACTTTAGAATCAAAGTGCACACGCACCACGTGGTCAGAATCAACAAAATGTTGAGTTGTGCAGGAGCCGACAGACTGCAGACAGGAATGAGAGGATCCTTCGGTAAGCCAAACGGAAGAACCGCCAGAGTGCAGATCGGACAGGTGCTGATCAGCGTCAGAAGCAAAGAGGGCACCGAAAGCAAAATCAAGGAGGGCCTGAGAAGAGCAATGCACAAAATAGCAGGAAAGCAGCTGATCGAGGTGTCAAAGAAGCACGGATTTACGCCATATGATAGAGACGAACTGAACAAGCTAAAGGAGGAGGGCAAGCTGCTTCCCATGGGCATAGGAGCTATGGAGCTGAAGAAGAAAGGACCCATTATGGAGTACATTAAGAATGCTGCAATGGTTCTATAAATAAAAGCACTTACTTCACCGCTATTTACCAGCTGCCTATTTGTGCAGTCTGCTTTGTTTTTCATCTTTGTCCACTGAGCAGCTTAACGCAAGCCAATAGCAAAGAATCTATGAGCACTCTGCCACACTACACAGCCATCTCTCGGCTGGCAACCACACAGAATGCTCTCAGAAAGAAAATTCTGCTGCTTTTTCACTTTGCCGTGTAAATGGTGCTTGAGCTGAGAAATATGCTCAGCCTGTTAAGCAGCCAGTGCATCTTGTCAGGGCTGCACTGCAGAGCACAGCACCACTGCTGCTGGATGATGCAGCTAAAACATAAAGCCAGACGGGCAGTGCAAAATAAGAAAAAATGCGAACTCCCGGGCTCGAACCAGGGACCTTTAGATCTTCAGTCTAACGCTCTCCCAACTGAGCTAAGCTCGCTTACTGTGTGTGCGGGTTTCTGGCACATGGTATGTGCGCGCGCCCAGTATATAATATTTCTTTTACAGAAGAGTATGGAGTGTATCTACTACAGCCAAGGAAGATGCAGATTTGGCAAATCGTGCAGAAACAAACATATCAGTAGATCAGAGCTGCTGGATCCCCCCAGGTGGATACTTGGCTCCAATTTCAGCAAAGACCCATCTTCAGAGACCAGATACTCGATGGAAGAAGTTCGCCTGTTCTACTACAACGCATACAGAGCAGGGATGCCTGCACTGGAGGCGTTCTTCACCGCATGGAACCAGTCTGTGATCGCATCGTACAATGCTGTGGTGCAGGAGATAAATAAGCTGGAGGAAACTGCGAATGTTCTGGAGGGAGTGGACGGAAGAACCGTGGACATAAGAAAAAACGAGAACTTTGAGTACATCATAAACCCCGTGCCAATAGAGGCTGTGCTTTCGCAAATAGCACAGAACTACAATCCAATGCAAATATACCCACGCCATCCAGCAGCACAGTACAATATCGCTAATGCTGGGGCAATGAACAATAGTGCAGGCAATATGATGAATAATGGAATGATGAATGGGAGCAATCTAGCTAATAGTGGAATGATGATGAACTCTGGCGCAATTAATAGCAGCAATAGCATCGCTCAGAACGGCATGATGAACAGCACTGCTGGGAATATGATGAATAACGGCATGGAAAACGGAGGAAATGGCAACAGAAATGGGTTAAATAGAAATGAGCCGTCTGAGCACCCAGATGTATACGAGATAGGAAAGATTCCCTACAGCCCGCCCCGCAGCTAGCCTCTTCTGCTGCCTTCTAATTTTTGTTTACAATGATGTTTTAAATACTCAATTGGTGAATTTATTTTTAATTTTAAAAGATGGCGTCGCATGTCTTTCTTATACAAAATTAAATTTTTGAAGGAAACTTTCTTATTATAATATGGGCGGTGAAACTGAGGAAAAGCGGCATGCTGCAAAAGATGCTTCTGATAAGGACTCAAACAACGAGGAGTGTGAGAATTCTCTTGTCACCCCGAAGACTCCAGAAAAAAAGAACCCGATCAAGCATATCTCTAACATAGAAACGCCGTTTAAGTTAAATATAAAAAGAAATGAAATAAAAGAAAAGGATCTTGATAATGAATGTGTGGTGTTTTCGCAGGCGCAGTACGTGCAGGACATGGAAGAGGAGGGCGCGTGGTTTAGGAAGAAAAGAATAGGCAGAAAAGAAAAGCCGTTCAGCGCAGAAACCCTCGAGGCCACCCGGGTAATAAAAGCAAAGAAAGTCTGCCCAGTAAAGGGCTTCTTCTTATCTCATTTTACAATCAAAAGCACTCTGTACATAAGCAACGAGTCAGACGTGCACCTCGTGGAGGAAAAGGGAACTGTTGGCATGATGGGGCAGGACGACTTCTGCCCGCACTGCGCCAAAACAGATCTCCAAAAGACGGACGACGAAAAAGCAGAGACCGTTATAAAAATTTCAAAAAGAAAATGGGCAACAAAAAAAGAGAGGTCAAAAGAAGTAAAAGAGGCTAAGTTTCTGTACAGGCTGAGAAACCAGAAATACATTGTAAAGATAATTCGAGCATGGGAGGAGCGAGCCGTGCTGTACATGGAAATGGCCTTCTGCAACCTAGGAACTCTGAAAGAGTACATGAAGAAGAACGTTTGCACAGTGGGCACTAAAGAGTCGCTTGTCCTGCAGATAATCAAAGGCATCAAAGCCGTGCACAAGTCGAAGATAATACACCTTGACATAAAGCCCGAGAACATCTACCTGCACATGGACACCGCAGGGCACATGGTTGCCAAAATAGGCGATTTTGGAATCAGCAGATCAGCACAGGACGAAACTGAAATTGAGTTTGACGGGGATAGATTGTACATGGCGCCAGAGCTTCTTCAGAATAAGTGCTCGTATGCCAGCGACATATACAGCACCGGGCTAGTTCTCATTGAGCTGCTCTTTGACGTAGGTGCTCCTCTCAAAACTATTTCCTGGAGCAGAATCCCAAAAAAAGAAAAGAAGGCTATTGTCCAAAAGTCCGGGATATCCTTGCATATGTACAACCTTATAAAGCAGATGATAGACGAGAACCCAGCAAAGCGGCCAAGTGCTGCTGATTTGGTGGAAAGTCTTAAAGTGGCGTACAGAAAAGAAAGACAGCCAGCGTGCGGGGACAGCCGTCTGTCTGGCAACTAAAGTACTTTAGCATTTGTGATGTTTTTGGTTGTTGTAAAGGAAATGCAGAAATAAATTCAGGTTATATTAACTATCTTCTATCTTACTAATCTAAAGAGAGCATACTGTTCACATCTACTGTTGCACAGATCATTGTATACTCCACTGCTAAAGAGCAAATTATCCCACACACTTTTATTTCAGAAGAATGCAAGTACTTTCAAATTATATTTATTTTTGTGAGTCTTAAGAGTCTGCTGCGGAGCAATAAGTAAGCTATTATTCTCAAGGTGCTCATTGTTTATTATTTATATTTATTCTCGGGCTAACAGAGACAGAATACCAAAGCATTGCATTTCTGTAGAAAATTCTCTTCTACAGTGCAAAGTATGAAACACTCCCTTCTTTGATCGGAATGACTTTTGTCACTATGAGAATCCCCACTATCGCTGATATGCCCAACAGCACTGCCAAAAATACCGATGCAATGATCAGAGCACGGCGCATCTTTTCGGCCCGTTCTACTCTTCCGAGAATGTATGTTTTTTTTGAGTCTACCACGTACTTCCTGCACATTTCGTTTGTTTGGTCTCTTCTCTCCTCTGCCATGAGTTTTACTTTGTGGCATACGTCGTAGTGGTTGTACATCTCATCAAAGATGCAGTTGTTTGAAAAGTCCATTGATCTTCTACTAACGTACCCGTGGAGACAGTCCTGTGTGTGCCTTCGAATTGCCTCTAAGTGCATCTCTTCATCGCACGCTCTTACTTTCTTTATCGAGTTGATGTAGTTCAGGACCTCTGAGCCATGGAGCTTTTTATCGTTATCCAGAAGATCAACTGACTCGATGAACGGCCATATTATGCTAAGCCAGTTGATCTTTTTTATTGCTCTGAGTGCCTCATCCGAGTCCACATCGCCTTTGTCTATGATCAGTGCCTCTGCTTTTCTCAGCACCTTGTCCATGTACGGATACACGTCTTTGTCTTTTATTTCAGCGTATATTCTGTAGAGCGGAGAGTTGTCGAGCACAAGGATGCTGTATGCTGTGTGCACTGTGCGTCTTTTTGCGCTCTCTTTTAACTTGGCAATCCTTCTTTTTATGTTGTACCCATCGTACTCCTCTAGCTTTCTAAACGCAAGGCCCATTTTAATCATATTCACTACTTTCGTGCGCATGTCATCAGAGTCTGCGCTCTCTGCTGCACTGAGCATCCATGCAGTCTTTGCATAGTTCATGATGTACGCAGGAATTGTTCTGATTGCTCCTTCAATGAAGCTGTGGCTTTCATAAATTGGCAGATAATGGCAGTCAATGTACGTTCTTATGTCCACTGCCAAAGAGTGCAGAGGAAATGCGCACACATCTCCCATCATCCACTTTAGTTTCTTTTTTATTTTTGGAGTGTTCGCTATTTGGTCTAGTTTTAACTTGCCGAGCAGACCGCACTTAAAAAAGAGCAGCTCCAAGCACTCATATATCTTAATCGTCAAAATGTGGTTGCTACACTGATTCTCTTCGTTGCAGTCCTCTAGGATGTCCTTTATCTTTCCTAGTACCTCTTTGTTTTTCAGGAGAGCCACCAGCTTTGTCCCTACCTCCTTCTCTATCTTTTTAATGTCTGCTATGGGCATGCAGTTTTATACTCTTCTGTTCTTATAGAATAATAATGTATTATAAATATTGTATTTTGAGAAAATTAAAATACCAATGCCAACTGTCTAAAGAAGCACCTGAACAGAATTAACCCATACTCCATAAATGACTGATTCTGTACTCCTCTGCTTAGGTATCATACAGAACTATCGCATGAACCTATAATGAAGTTGTAATGTGTTATTCATTGTAGGCCATTGCATAACTCTGCTGCCAGTTTTAATAGCTCTTCTGCAGTACAGTTTGGACAGTAATCTACTACACCAGTAGAAACTAGTAGCATTCTATGCACACTGTACAAACTATCACTATGAGAGCTAGCTTGAGATAGAGCGTGCACAGAAGAAGATAGAGCTGAAAGATCATTGCTATTTATTTCATGCTGTCAAGACTAAATGCACTATCTGGTAGATAATGTAAAAAAACAAAGAAATAATTAAGAATACTTCTATCGTTATAATCGTATTGGTAAAGCATCTAGCATTTTTTCGTCTTAAACTCTGCTCATACTCTAAACTAAGGCCATCTGCCTCCTCTACCCTATGCATTCACTTATTGCTCAAAAACACACATAAATAGAAAGATCGATCACCATCACTAATTTATTCACTAGATGCTTCTGAGCACTTCCTTTATCTCGTCTTTTCCGTAGCTGGAAATGCTGTCTGCTGTTATAATGGATATGCTCATGTCCTCCTCAGATATGGCAGTCTCTGTAAACTCCTTCAGAGCAAGTGCTGCTGTCATCACAGCATCGTGTATTTCTATTTCAGCTGTGCATCTCTTCAGCAGGAACTGCGAGCACTCCTTGTAGAACTTCCCAACCCCAAACGAAAAGCTGTTCTTGATCGAGCCTGAGGGGTCTATCTGATAGAGAAGCGGCTGCAGAAGATAGTTCTCTGTTTCTACAATCACAGGCCTTCCCTCTTCGTCTGGGTGGATATCTTTCTTGATCAGAGCATGCCCTGCAAAGAGACAGATGCAGCCTATTGGCCTGAGCCCTCCCTTCTGTGTTTTTTCTTGAATGACTTTGGAGAACTCTTTCATGAAGGTGTCTACGTACGGATAAGTGCCGTACACTTTGAAGTAGTCATCCGCTATTTCTCTGGCAACTTCCAGGGCAGTGCGAAAGTCTCCGCTTAAGCCGGAAAAGGTGGCTATGATCGTGTCGCACACTTTAAAGACCTTCTGCACCTGCTCCTTATCGACAAGTATTGAGGGCGTCTTCTTGAGAGATGCTAGAACTACGCCGTTGGTTGACCGGATGCCCAGGGAAAGGGCTCCATTCTTCGCTGCGGTAAGGGCTCTCTCGCACTGGGAGAGAATTCCCTTGCTGGAAAAGGTCGTGGTTGAGTAGCTTGGTTCTTCGTGCATTTTTAATTAGCAAAATATTGAAAATTTGTAAATGGAAGAGCTGCCTCCAAAAACAGAAACTTCTGCAAAACAGTTCGGACCCGAAGAGATTTCTGCCTGGAAAGAGCTTTTATTGAAGCTGAAGAAGAGCGCACATGCTGGGCCTTTCCTGTATCCGGTCGATCCGCAGATCCTAAACATCCCGGACTACCACGATAAAATAAAGAATCCGATGGATCTCTCCACAGTCTCAAAAAAGCTGGAAAATAGTTTGTACAAGACATCGCAGGATGTGAAAAAGGACATTGAGCTGATGCTCTCCAACTGTTACGTGTACAACCAGCCAGACACTGCAGTGTACAAGATGGGGCAGGCCCTCGAGAAGTACTTCAAGCAGCTCCAGCAGAAGAACACTCTCGACAAGAAAAGAAAGACAGAGGGCGAAAGCGAAAAGAAGAAAGGAAAAGTGAAGTCCTCACTGACAGAAGAAGAGCACGCAAAGTGTCTGGAAACACTCAACGAGATCGTGAAGGCCAAGTACAGGAAGATAAACTGGCCCTTTTTGGAGCCAGTTGACGAGGCTCTTGTTCCGAACTACTACACGCTCATCACGAGCCCCATGGACCTGTCTACGATGCGCTCCAAGCTCCTCAGCCACCAGTATGCAACAATGGAAGAGTTCCTCTCCGACTTTGAGCTCCTCGTGAACAACTGCCACACGTTCAATGCAGAGGGCACAGAGGTTTATCTGTGCGCAACAAAGCTAAATACGCAATTTAGGCAAATACTTGATCAGAAGAAAAAGAAGCCTGTGGAAGACACCTCTACGAGAATATCTGTCCTGAAGGGGCTCATAGCGCAGTACGAGGCAGAGCTTAGAAAGCTGGAGAAAAAGACAGGATCTGGCCCAGCAGACTTTGGGTACGAGGAGAAGCTGAAGCTGAAGAGACGGGTGGACTCCCTTGCAGCACACAAGCTAAAAGACGTGGTGGCGTACATTCAGCAGAACATTCCAAACGCAGTGACAACGGAGCTAGATGAGCTGGAGATAAATCTAGACACATTGGACCAGCAGACCCTTAGCAAGCTTAGCGATATTGTGAGAGAAGCATATGTAGAAGAACAGAGGCTGGAAAGTGATTCAAGCAGCGAATAAAAAGGTGTGAACGGTGAGGTATTTTCTATGCAGAGCTATCTCAGATAATATTTAAAAATAAATCAAAACTCTACTTTTGAAATCAGGTACATCTTTTCTCTATCACACCTTCTCTAGCTCAGTAAAACATTCTCAGAGCATTACAGCCTAGTGGTGCACTCTTATATTCAGAAAAATAAGCTAAACTCCAGTGAATTAGACCGAATATGCTTCATTTCCCATATTGAGATAGAATTTATGTGTGCTTAGAAGAGATTCAATGATCAATTTAAAAGTTAAGCTAGATTAGATACGAAGGGGTCTGCCATCTACTCTCTGTCTATGCGTGTTTGCGCTCTGAAGCAGTTTCTGTGCAAACTTGCACATTTCATTTTTCGCAGCACCGCCTAGACCTTCATTTGATTCTTTTAATTTATTTTCCCAGAAGATGATTAATATTAATATTAGTGATATTAATATCCCGTGTTTATTCCTTTAATTAATGAAAAGTATCAGACAGTGCACAGTGGTGGCGCTTTGGGCTTTTCTTGTGCTTACGGGCGCAGTCATGGGCCAGAAAAAAAGACGCCAGAGCAAAAACAGCAAAAGCGCGTCCAGTGGCAAAAATCTTTTTGAGGTGGACATTGAGAATAAATTAAACAGCGATGTTCTGCTGGGAATCGATAAAATCCTGCACCCCTCCAAGCCCAAGGAAATTGGGAAAGACATAGTGGCACTGCGCGTGTCAGGCGAAGAGGGCCCCGTCAATGAAGTAATTGAGAAACTCAGAGACGTAAAAAAGGCTGATATTGTCCTCACGTACATCACAGACCTAAAAAACATACTGGAAAACATACCCACCACTAACTCATCTGAGAAGTCTGTAAACAGCAGGATAAAGAACATAGTTGAAATGAGAGCAGTCTGCATGCTCTCCAACAAAATCCTCATTCCTTCTCTTGCTGACAAACAGATGCTTACAAGCCTGTGCGGTGTGCCTGAAGACAAAATAGTCATCATAAAGCCAGTGAAAAAGATGATAAAGAACACGACTTCAGCAACGATTAAAAATGCGACTGTGCCCAATGGGCTGTACGTTCTGTACGCAAATGCCAACATCCACATAAACGTAGAGGTAAAAAACAACGCATTTGAAAAAATATACGTCAGAGCTGTCAAGGAAGAGCCCTTCTTCATTGTCAAAAATATTCTCTGCAAAAAAGGCCCCTATGAAAGGAGGATGTACGAAGCATTTGCTGAAGTGTCAAAGAACGACGTAAATCTGAGCATCACAGAAACCGATATATTCAGTGCGCACAACAGAAATCTAGTTGTGTCTTCTGGTGGAGTAAAGGTCTCCATCAACCCGCGCAATATGTCTGTGACAGTAACTGCAAAAAAATACTCGCTGAAAAATGCAGGACTGATCAGAGGATTCAACAAAAAGAGATGGCAGCTCAAAGAGAGCTACAACAAGTTCAACGTAAACCACCCTCTGCTAAGGCACAAAAAAGGCGATGTCACCGTATACCTGTACAATATGCCCAGAAGATTTACCAACGAGATGTTTGATCCCCATCTGAAAGCATCGCCACTGAAGAGAGTCCTTGTGACGGGGTGGTTTGCATCGTCTGGGTTTGGAGTGGTCTCAAAAGAGTTCTTGTTGGAGCTAGCCACAAACCAGAAACTCATCCTTAGATCCACTGCTTTTGATATGTACGCTCTGAGGAACCCAAGCGACATAACCGGTCTTATCGTGCAGACATACCTCCTGGAAAGCGACCAAACTAACTCGCACAATGCGATCAATGTCCCCGGGAAATTCTCTACCCCAGGAGTGGAGGTGAGGAACAGATTCCCTGTGGATCTCAGCAAAGTAAGGCCTGGATACAACAAGATATTCCTGCACTTCCCGTGGGAGTTCAGTCTTATTCCCAGCGCGTGGATAGATCCTATAAAAGAGTCTCCTGTGATTGATGTCATTGTGCCGTCCATCTTTGCGAAGAACATACACATGGAGAGCGGCATTCAAAGAGAAAGAATCCACGTGGTGCCCCACGGTGTAGCCTACACGTCTCTCCACACCATGCGCAGTCTCGAGGAAAAACAGAAGAACATTTCTATTGCAAAGCTGTTCGACTGCCCGTCAAACTACATAAGGTTTGTGATGATAGGAGGTGCTCTTAAGAGAAAGGGTCTTGACACGGGAATCAAAGCGTACATAAACGCGTTCAAAGGAAATGAAAAAGTGGTGCTCCGCATACACGCAGCATACGGCGATGGAAATGTGTTTGATGACATCAAAGAAATCCTGCACAAAAACAAGATGGAAAACGGTCCAAAGATAGTGTACACACAGAGCTATCTCTCCGACAAAAAGATAAGAGCTCTTCTCTCGCTTGCCCATTATAATATTGCGCCATTCAAGGGAGAAGGCTTCGGACTCAACATCCTCGAAGGAAACGCCATGGGAGCCATTCCCATTGTGACAAAAGCAAGGCCTGCAACGGAGTTCTGCGACACGAAAAACTCTTTCTTCATCAAGTGCAAGAAAGCCAAGTTCAACTGTCCTCCAGTCATGACAAGTAACAATGGAAAGATCTCCATGTTTGGGCTGAGTCTTCCAGACTATCCAAAATGGTACGAGCCTAGCGAAGCCCATCTGGCAACGCTTCTGAAAAAGGCATACGCTGTGGCACAGACGAAGGAGTACAAACAAATGAGAGCAAACACAATAAAGTCTGCATCAAAGCAAACATGGAGCTCGCAGCTCATGATACTCGAGAATCTGGTCCTGGGCGAGAAGAAATAATCTATGAGATATTTTAAAAATAAAGAATGCTTTAGCTTGTACATACTTCCCATTTGAGATGCTGTCTCTCCTTTGTCCAGCTTCTTTTCTATTAGCAATGACTAGTAATATAAATACTTAAATTTAATTGAACAATGCAAAAATTTAAAATGTACACGTATTATTTATTATTCTGCTAGAATATTCTCGGATTATATTACTGTATTTAGAGAAATAGAGAACAAATATACAGAGTCTCTGCACTTCAGCCTATATTACTGATCTATTATTACCAGATGTACTTAGGCTCTAATAAACCTCAGAATCAGATATGGATCGAGGACGTGTGTACTTCACTAGCAGCAATGTTCTTTAGTCGCTGGTTGTACACGTTTACTGTGTGATGAAATAATAGTGATGTTAATACTGGTTTTATTGATTATTTACTATTCAGATGCAGCTAGCATCACTTATCTCTTGTATCTTGCTGTGGTCCTTGTTTACATTCTATTTACATTTTCCATTTATCTTTATTTTTCCTTCTTTTGCACCATCACCTGGGAATTGTAACGGCTGCGCTGTGTTTTAGCTCTAGCCGAGAAGAAGCCTTAAACAGCTGTATAAGCTCTTTAGTGAACGTTCTCTTTATGTACACAGCATAGTACTGTATCTTCTCTATGTATATGCCTATGCAGTACCCAATGATCATTGAGCACACCATGAGTGCGCCTACAGTTATGTTCTCTGGTATCTCATGGATTGATGTGTGATCAAATCTGCCTTCAAAATTCTTCGTGTGTATGAGCTTATCGGTAAACTTGCCAAACAGCCTCCTAAGCTCTTCTGGATCCTTTTTACTCCCACCGCACGCTCCTCCTCGTATGCAGAGGACAATTAGCAGCACAGCACACCTCACAAGCGCAGAAAATGGCATAAACACAGGGAAGTCATCAATTAATTAATTAGCTAAACAAAGGCCTCTTATAATAGGTCTATTTTATTTTTGTCTATTGCTCTCTACAGACGGGAACGTTCTCCTTTTCCCCTCTTCTCTCTTCAACCGAGTCGCGAACAAAAGATAGCTTTCCTTTTAGCTCGTATATTTTGTTCAGATCCACCTTCTCCTTGTTGATTGCCATGAGTATCTTCTTCAGCGCGTCTCGGTTGTCGTTCTGCTGTTTTGCAGGCTCGATGCTTTCGTCCATGTTTTCCACCACGTTGATACTTACAGATTTGAACTCGTTTCTTCTCCAAGACAGTATTGACCGAATCGCCAAAACCACTTCATATCGCATTTCTTTTTTCTCAAACAGCTCAGTAAACACCTCCAATAGCGGAATCACCATTTTCTCTGACACGCCTTGCACCATCTTCTCTTTTGTGTCTTCCTGCAGACCGAGAAACGCGTATAGAAATTCCTTGTTTTTACTTATAACCGCCTGTTCTAAAGCAGAGTCACCCGCAGAATGTGAGTTTTCCATTTAAAAAATTTTAAGTTTCGAGAATTATTTACTCCTTCTCTTTCCAAAAATAACCAAAACCGAGCTGTGAGGTTGCCGCTTAAAATGAGCAGCCAGAGAGTATTTCAAGAAAAACAGCAGGAGCATCTGAATAAGAAAAACAGGAAAATAAGATAATAATGCCGTCTGCACTGATTAGAAATAGAGAACAAAGATCTCCCAATAAACCGCAATCTGTTTTACCGTCTCACTCGTCTTCAGACTCCTCGTCTTTCTCTTGCTCTGCTGATGCCTTTGTTTTTCTTCCCCGAGAAATGGTTTTGCTCCTTATCTTTCCGTGTATTCTGTAGTAGAGCCCACAGGCATTGCAGACTATTATGTCGCCAATGCGGCGCCACAGACTTGTCTCGTGGGTGTTGCAGAAGCCGCACACTCTGTTCGACTCGTCTATATGCACGCGCCTTGTGTGCATTGTGCTCATGTAGTGCTTTATGAGAACTTTCTTTATTTCTATCCCTTTGTCAATGGGCTGCATCTGCACCTCGGGCTTTGGTTTTCCCGGTGATTCGTACCGCATCTCTATCTTCCTTCTCAGCTGGTTTTGGTCTGGAATCTTTCTTATCTCTTTCTCGCCCATGAAAGTGAAAATTTCAAAAATGGATTCCATTTATTTTAATTTGAATCTGCCATTGGTGGATCAGTTTTATCTTTTCCGCTTTTGAACTTAAAAAGTTTTTTCGGCCGGCCCATGCCCCCGTGTGTGCGAGAGTACAGCCCGCACGCGTTGCACACAATGGCGCTGTCTCTCTTTCTCCACAGCGGGGTGGTAGTTGTCCCGCACTGCGCACACGAGAAGTTTGCATATTTTTGATTTCTTTTTCTCATTTCAAACTTGTTTGTCAGAGTGCAGTGTGCCACTTCTTTACACACGGATGTGCAGTTTGCAGGTTCATTTCTTGAGTGCAAGTGCAGCTCAATCTTTGAGATGTCCCCCTCCTTTTTTACTTTGAATGTTATCGTTTGTGCGCCTGCGCACACAGTCATGAGAACTTCTGCCTCTGCATAACTTTCTGTCTGAACATCATCCACCATATACGCTGATATATAATTGCTGCTCTCTATTCTCTTCAGGAAATCGTCTTCTGCAGGGTTTTCGTGTGGATTTTCCATTTTTCTCTGTTGCTCGCATAATTTTAATGAAGCATAGAAAATGATAACCCAAAAAAGATTAAACTCTTATCTAAATTATAAAGTATTTATTTTTCAGCTACAGCATGTCGTCTCTGTCTCTTCTCTGGAAACATTTTATCTTATCTGTTCTCTTCAGATTTCTGTACTCTTTCATTTTTTGATCTTTCCTGTTCTTTTTCTTCCTTTCTTTTAGCTCAGAGTGTCTGTCCACCATCGGGTCTTCATTTTCTTTTATTTCTATAAGCCAGTTTCTATCCAGATCATTTTTGCTTCCTCTGCCGAAGGCAGCCGTGTGCTCTCTTGTTACTTCGTTGTATATTCTACCGCCGCTTTTATTCCTGTTCTTTTGTATACCCTTTCTCTCTGCGAATATCTCCCATTTGGTCTTTGGCTCTTCTCCTGGAAGAACTCTTATCCGAGGGAACACGGTTTCCTTTGAGTACTCTGGCGTGTGCGGCAAGATCTCCCTTGGCACTATGTACTGTGTTGCACTGTGCAAATCGTACTTTGTGGGAAGCTCCTTCAGCTTCTTGAAGAAATTCAAGGTTGCTGCTTTGTACTTCTGCACTGGGTCTGCAAGTGTGTTTCCCTCTGTTATGGCTATGAATGATTTTACATCGTAGACATCTGCCAACTGCATTACTCTTAAAATTTTTATAGCGCTTTAGAAATATTATTACTCTGCTTTGGTTTTAACTAGGCCAGATCCACAGCTGATGTAAACACGACGCTCTCCTTGAGCAGCACAAAGAATACAGCTTTCATCCTAATAGAAGCCAGTATATGATGAACAAAATATTTATGACGATAAGAGGAATGAAGCTGAGCGTCTTAACCGTTCTTATGAGCTCAGAGAGCTGTCTAATAGTTGCATGGTCGCTCTTCCTAGAGATTCCTAGATTGCTCAGAAATCTGTCCTCGTTGAGTATGCATATGCTGTTTCCCAGCATAGTAAAGGTGTACAGAATGGTTTCAATTCCAAACATAAAATGTAAAAATAATTTGAATATTATTTCCACTTTCTTCCACTAAACTGCTCAGTCTTGCAATCATTGAAAAGATTTATCTGAGCCAGAAGACACCAGAAATGCCAATTGGAACAACTCATTAAAGAGTAAGCCCATTGAAAGTGAATTGGCAAAGGGGAATTAATAGAGCTATCTAAACTACCCATCTGTACATCTGCTAATTATAGAGTAGTGGTATAGACTAACATAGATGTCTAGCTCTTTATTTCTTGTGCTATACTATGTACAGGAGACTCCTTAAGTGAGCATATCCCATCCAAGGGGGCTAGACTGTCTTCTTCTTTGAAGAGATATCTTTTTTTCCTGCTCTTTATGAGCTTCTTTCTCTGCAGCTGTATCTTGTGTTTTTTTTGATAAACCAGTATCACAACCAGCGGAGATATAACCGTGCAAAACAGCTCCCAAATTGCTACACTTCTCGCAAAAGGCGGCCCTGCAAGATTGCTGCACACAATGTTAATGGCCAGAGAAACCGCGCGTAGCTTGTACACTTCTACGCTCCAGTACTTGTTTATCGCATACATTCCCACTATGGAAACAATAACAAACCCATTTGCAGACTCTATCAGCTCTATCTTTGACGTAAAACAGAGACAGGAGAGTATCCTTGCTATCTTGTTAATGTGGAATGGAAAGAACGAAAAAGCACACAAGACAAGGCCGAGCGCAAAGAGACAGCCAACTCCACAGAACGCGTTGTGAAAGAGAGGAGCAACAAATAAAATGTGCAGAAGGTATATGGGGAGTATTTTGTCCTCTTTTTTCTGTTTTTTAATGTACTTGTCTTTTACTAAAAACAGGAATATGATCAGAATGGCAAGATACTCGATGTAGTTGAATATGCCCCATCTTCTGTCTACATAGTACATTGTGTTTATGGCAGAGACTGCAAGCGATATCTTGTTGAAAACCCTCCACATTGCCTGAATGTCTCTCTCAGGATACAGCATCCAGAATAAAATTGCAAAACACAATCCAATATAAATTATTCAAGAATGCCCTGAAATAAAGTAAAGCTAAACACAGAGCTAATCGATTAATCTCATATACAGCTACAAGCGTATATATTAGCTCTTATCACTAGTCTAGAAGTTCTGTTAGAAAGACTGCTGCAATAACCAGAGCTGTTTTTCTTTGAAACCATAAAAGAATGCTTGATTGTTTATTGAATGCAAACTCTTTAAATAGGTCCAGACTGACAAGATCAGTAATTCTCGGGTTATTATGAAAGTTCATAAATAACCAATAGAAAACAAATGATGTTACATTTGAAGTTATATTGGCATTCCATATTACCTCGTATAGTCTTCTTGGTATTATATCCCAAAAAGGTTATGGTTTAGTGACACAAAACCAAAAATAGTATATAGTTGTATCATATTGTTTAACACTATAAGAATGCTTGATTGAACACCATTTCTACTAGTCTCTTCTGTGCTAGAAGTATGTATTAAAAAAAATTAAAGCTTTTCCGCCTTGGAAAGCCCTTGATCTTTTAAATTATTTTTTGCAATTAAAATTTTCAGGATGACCAGGAGAGAAGTTAAGCTAAAGGTAGACATGGAAGGAGTATTGAATGCATGCAAATCTATTGATAAAGAATGTGTTGAAGATGTATATACTATGTATTATAGCTCTTCTGACACTCTACTAAGATTTGTGAAAAAACTGAAAGTTATACTCAGTAATAATATAAAAATAGAAAGTAAGTACAGTGAAGAAGAAAACAAAGCTGTTTTAGACATAATTATGAATGATATATGCCAGTATCTTATAAATGCTGCATGTGGACTGGGAGAAATTACATATAAGTTATGTATTGCATTAAAGAATAGTAATGATAAAATATCAAAAAAAATGATTGCTATAATAGCAAATGACCTCATAAAACCAAATTCATTTATATACAGGCCAGAGCATGGAATAAATATGCAGTTTGACAAGGACAAGCCTCTAGAAAATATAGATCCAGATGACGAGAATGCAGACCTGAGCGTCAGAACATACACACTAGAGGTTGACAGTACAGGGTTTACTAGTATGGAAAGTTTTCTGCAGGCCTCTGCAGAGAGACTGGATGCATATAATCTCTATTATTTTTCTGCTTTAGATGACTTAAATTTCACGAACGATTCTAACTTATTAATAGAGAAATACTATAGTTTAAGTGAGCTATATACTAAAACATATAAAAATACAGATGTTCTATTGATAGACTATGGAACAAGACTTGTTTATGAAAAACAGAAAGAAATTGAAGAGTTGAACAAGCTAATCGAAGAGATAAACTGCACTTCTGATGATAAGAAAAAGGATAGTTTGATTTTGCAAATTTATAAGTTGTTTAGTCGAAAAGACTTAGGAATAATATATTCTATTATAAATAATCTACGAGACATTCGATATGAAAAATCAGTACAAATTAATGCAATTAATATGGTTGAATACATGATAAACAATAATGTATTTCTAGAAGAAAAAGATGGAGAAAAGATTTTAAACATCGGCACTAATTTATATGATTTTTATAAAAACTATATAAATTCTAGTATATATTTTAGAGAATTATTAGAAGAGAAAAGGAATAAGATAAAGAAGGAAAAAGAGTTATGTCTACAAGAGTTGGAAGATGAGAAAGCGCTTTATTCTCAGTTAAAAGAAGAAGAGACAGAAGAGATCGAAAAAGTAAAATGTGCTATCAATAATATTGAAAATGAGATACATCTGCTAGAGTGTGATGATGAAAAAGAATATATCATAGGAAAATATATTTTTGCAGGTATACTTCAAAAGAGTGAGAATCTCCGATATAATCTAGTCACTGAGCAAATAAAATATATATTCAAGAAAATTGAAGCATTTGCAAATGCACAGAAAATAAAAACAAGAGAAGCAGTGAAATTGCATAAAAGAAATGAAAAATTAGAAGAGCTAGAAGAGAAAGAAACTAAAGAATCAGAGGAGGAGAAAGAGAGAGTAGAAGCAGAGCCTAAGTCCTTATTTAGAAGACTTATTAGTGAAAATGGCAAAGTTGCAACAATATTCACGGGCACTGTCGCTCTGGGTGTAGCAACAGCAGCAACGCTTAATAACTACTATTCAAACGAGTCTGTGGAAAATTCAAGTCCGTCAAACTTTAAAGCAGCAAGATCAGGAAAGCTGAAGAATGATTAGCATTCAATTAGCTGATATGTGGCTCTCTAGACCATTATGGTTATCGTGTCTGTAAAGCATAAGTTTTATAGAACACGACGAATGAGAGGCAACAATAAATATCTTTTACCTACTTTTAGTTTTATAGTAGCTGTTTTTTCATCGAAACCATAAAAGAATACTTGATTCCTAAACCAACAACCAGCATCGCAATATAAATGATAAATTAAGCCATTTGATCATTAATTGTCATCAAGACTATATTGTTTAGTATTTTTAGTAAATTTTATCTTGTATTTGATCATAGCTAGAGTATTAGTAGATTGTGCACTGCACAAGTTGCATGCATGTAGAACTTACAAATGGAAAACTGTTTAGTTAAATGCAGCTAGAAAACATTCTATATTGGTATTTATTTAGACCCCACTCTTTAGACGGTTTATTGCACATCTAATTTCCATTTATGTCTACTATCTGGTCTGCGTGGTCTTTGTACCCCTGGATGATGCAGTCTGCCATGAATATAAGGTTTCTTACCTCCAGCTCCTGCAGCGTAAGCTGTGTATACACTACGCTGGGGTCATCGTACACATAGAACGACTTGTTGCAGATCCTCACTTCTTCTCTTATCAAAGCATCCTCCAAGCCTCTTTCGTTTCCTACGATGTTTCTGTGGTTGCTGTGCGTGCTCAGAACGCCCTGCAGCTCGTCGATGCTCTTGCAGTTGAGGAGCAGATCCTTGTGGATGTCTGAGAATGTGCTGCATGCAGGGAACAGGCACTCTTTCTCTCTTGCGCTCATTGTTGTCCCGACTGTTGAGTACAGTATCTCAATTATTCTTTTATCCCCTTCGAACAAAACGAGCTCGGAAAGGATAAGATTGTTTTTCTTCGAGTACTCGTACAGCAGCTCAATGTACCTCTTTTGCAAGATGCTTCTGACATACTGCACGTCTTCCTTCAGTATTTCGTGCGATAGGCCCACTATGTATTTGCACAGAGGCGTGTTCTCCAAACAGAACTTCCATGTGTCTTTTGCTGTCTGCGTTACTTTTATGAAGTTCAGCTCTGGGTATGTGCCCAGCGGGTGAATGTCCAGGGCTGTCTCAAGAGTCTTGGGGCTTTCCTCTTTGCACGCCCACAGATATATAAAATTGTCAAGCTGGAACTTTTCTTTGTAAAAATCGATCAAAGTTTTGGACTTTTCTGTTGTGAAAGCCTGCGTCATCTTTATCTGTTTGTCAACGCACTGGTACAGAGCCTCTTTGAAGGCCTTGTGTGTCGTGGCTGAGTCCTCAAGAAGCGACTTTCCATATATCGTATTCTGCAGCTTTATCTTTAAATCTTCTATCGTTGCTGCTGTTTTTATGGAGTTGTACTCTTCTTTTTTCATCAGCCGGTTTTTGTTCCCGTGCACATAGTTAATTATTCCTGCCTCACCGTACATATATATAAAACAAATATTTCTTAGTTAAAATATTTTAATTCTCCGAGTTTTGTTTCACAGTATTACTCTTTCTCTGTTCTATACAAGATGACATATATCTGTTGTTTCCAACAGTATGGATATGTCCTATAGTTATTATGCAGATAATGGATGAACTACAATGGTTCACTAATTATATACATAGCTCTACTTGAATTTCCTTAAAGAGGATATTTCTCTGTCTTCTAGACCATTTCATGCCTTATTTCTCTTATTTAACGGCTTTAGATCTACCGCGACAACTGCAGCCTCAGTAAAGCTTTAGAGAAAACCTCTTACACTCTATTATCCCATTTACTAGAGAAAATAAATTAAATGCTCCATTAGAAGAGTGTATACTAGCGTCCAAGTGAATATACATCTATACGCGTGCTCATAGAGCACTCTTATCCATTAAATGCTCATCAAACTCTCTTCAGCTACTATTAATCACTCTGTGCATTCTTTACAATCCTAATTATCCAATCAAGTTTCTATTCTTTGCTAGCTCCATAGCAAGAGAAAGTACGGCTTATCTATTAGATGGCTATAAACCTGCTCTTCTCACATACCCCTGAAACTAGCATATTTCTCTTTAATGAGGTGCTAGAATCTTTTTGCATGGTTTTACCACACTCTCCAGTTGTCTCTATTTTTGCAATTTATTTTTCTTATTCCAATGCCTTCCATTTCAGTGAGTAAAGCTGCACTGCTAAGCGGTTTAGACAAGCAGTACACAGACGAAGAAGCAACAGATGTTCTCTTTGATTTTGGCCTGGAGCTGGACGAAGTGTACACAGAAAATAACGAAGTAAAGTACAAAATAGATGTGCCTGCGAACAGATACGATCTGCTCTGTCTTCGAGGACTGGTCTACGGGCTGAAAGCATACATTAGCAACACTCCCTCAAAGACCCTGGAAATACAAAAAACAAAAGAAACAGTTCTAGGGCCTAGACCTGCAGCCAGACCGTACATCAAAATAGCAGTTCTAACCGGTGTAGATCTTGAAAATGGCGGTTACACTGATTTGATAAACTTTCAAGACAAACTGCACCAGGGCCTGGGCCTCAACAGGACACTGATGGCAATAGGAACACATGACTATGATAAAACCACGCGTCCCTACAGCTACACAGCAATGGATGAAAACACAATTAAGTTCCAGCCACTGTCCCAAAACAAAGAGTACACTCGCGCAGAGCTGGACACTCTCTACAAGACAGACAGCAAATTAAAAGAGTACCTCAAACTGTCCAGAGAGAACGGAACAGTTCCTGTGGTATCTGATGCATCTGGAAATATTCTGTCTCTTCCCCCGCTCATTAACAGCGAGTTTTCAAAAATAACGGAAAAAACAAAAAACATTCTCGTTGAAGTAACAGGCACAGATCTGGCACGAGTGTCCACAGCGATGTATCTCCTGATGCACCACTTTTCTGACAAGACAACAAAAATAGAGGAGATTGATATTGAGCAAGAATGCCCCGAGCCCTCCACAAATAAAATATTAATCACCGCAGAAACAGTGAAAAAAGAGCTCATACTAGACCTGTCTGCAGAAACAGCTAAAAAGTATCTGGAGAGAATGATGCACACAGTGGACATAGAAAAAGACGGCACAGAGTGGGCTGTAAATGTAATGCCCAGCAGGCTCAGGCCAGACATTCTGCACCAGTGCGACATTATAGAAGACATTTCAATAGCACACGGGTACAATAACTTCAAAAAGATACTGGGAGATAGATACACGGTTGGAAAAGAGCTTCCTCTGAACAAGCTAGCAGATGATCTTAGAAGAGGATGCTCAATGGTCGAGTACACAGAGCTCTTTACAATGGCTCTTTTGTCAGCTGATGACTACCATGGATTTAACGTAGACCGACACATTAAAGTGAAGAATCCCAAGAGCACTGAATGCGAGGTGCTCAGACAGCACATGATTCCATCGGTGTTTAAGTGTCTAGTTGCCAATCAGCACTACCAACTGCCTCTAAAGGTATTTGAGGTCTCAGATGTTGGTGCGTTCTGTGACGACGATGTAGGCGTAAAAAACATCAAAAAGCTGTGCATGGGAATATGCGGGCGCACAAGCGGGCTGGAGGATATCCAAGAGGCTTTTGATGTTCTCATGAAACGTCAAGGATTCAGCGTTACATACGAAGAGGAGAACTCTGCACCCTTTGTCAAAGGCAGATCGTGCAAGATCCTGCACAAAGGAGAAAAGATTGGTATGCTTGGAATACTAGATCTAAACATTCTTGCATACCACAAGATGCCATATGTCTGCTCTTTTGTAGAAATATCGCTGAACGATCTTATAGAACAAAAATAAACATCTTTTCTTAGCTACTCCTCTTCTCTATCATCTTGGCACGAGTTCTGTTTATTCTCTACAGATCATTTTTAGGTATCTCCTAGTTGATTGACAAACTCTATCCAATAATAAATATGTATATTTCATGCTCTGTGAGTGCACAACTTTTATTTTATTTATGCTCGTAGAGTTTGAAAAGTAAAAATAATTTAAATAAACTCTACACATTTATTCCACCCACACCAGAGTAAAATAAAAACGAAAAATTGCAAAGATGTGTGTGGTCTAATTAATATGCTATGGCATGTACCCATTTAAATCCAAATATAAGATGCATTCAGTACATAAAGAGAACAAATCTGCAAGCCTTTTATAATGAAAGTAGCTTATTTATTCTTGCCAACCTTTACATCATAAATATACACACAAAGAGACTCTATTAGTGCACTAGAGACAAAGAGTACACCAGATCGGCTCAAAGAATGGCCACTAAAAGATCCATACAGTTTGTTAATGTAGAGATGAAAAAATAATTTACTGATTTTCCAGAGATACTCATTAATGCAAAAAGAAAGACTCCCAGCTATATGAAGAAAAGAGGGACATAGTAACCTTTATTAGACGCTAGATATTGCAGATAGAACTAGCTCAATGGTTTTCAGTAAACAAACCATTTATTAAATTACTCCCACCAAATATCCCGGGATAAATGCAATCCAAACATTGGTCTGTTATTTGGGGTCTAGACAGGATGCAAAGATTTAATCAGGCAAAAGATCTAGAATCCATTGGTGGAACTTCTTGCTTAATATAATATATGTTGTAATTTGAAAAACATGAAACTAGCAACTGTGCTAATTGGCCTGGTCGGACTCCTCATGGTCCACTGTAGGAAGAAGCAAAAAAATGCAGAAATAGAAGGGAGCCCTCTGGAGATACCCAAGGGGAAGTACAAGCTGGGAATATTCACGTCCTACAAGCCCACTATTTGTGGAATTGCACAGTTCAGTGAAAACATGATCGACAGTCTTAAAAAGGCAGACCCCGGCATAGAGATAGAGGTTTTCAATATCTGCCGGCACGACCCAAAGCCCCCGCGAAGAGTGGACGGCATAAAGGTGACCGATGTGTACTGCACACACAACACGGAAAAGTCAGAGTTTAAGATTCTTGCAGACTATGTTAAGAAATCAAAATTTGATGGAGTGCTTGTAAACCACGAATACTACCTGATTTCAACATTCACGCACTTTGAGAATCTGGTGAGCGATCTTAAAGAGACAGGAACCACAGTGCACACGTTCCTGCACACGCCCATCAGCTATCCTCCGCCAGACAAGCAGCAGCACATTCGAAAAGTAGCAGCATCGTCTGATAAGGTGATTGTTATGTCGTGGAAGGCAAAACACTATCTGCACCACTCGTACGGAATCCCCAAGAAGAAGATCATATACTTCCCGCACGGAATAAAAACAGCTGCAGCAAGCAAAAAAATACTGAAAGACCTCGACATCCCCAGCGACAAATTTATTGTATACACTGACGGAATTATGCATGAACAGAAAGGTGTGGAGAGAATGATCAATGCGCTGTGGCTTCTCAAGCAGAAGGGGAAGATAGATAACATTCTCGTGCTGGTGGCAGGTCTGAGCAGTTCAGGCACGCAGTACATGGAGAACATAGAAAGACTTGCGCACGCAAGAAAGCTGCAGAACAACTTCAGATGGATTAAAAAGTTTTTGAGCAATGAAGAGATGGCCACCCTCCACAAAAGAGCAGATGTATACTTCACTCTTTTTGAGGAAGTCATTCCCACATCAGGAACACTAACATACGCCATGTACTCAGGTGATGCCATCATTACCACGCCATACAGGTACTCGCTTGAGCTCTTGGGAGCAGACCATAATAAAACCAGAGGAACAGACCAAAGCTCTCTGGAAACTCTTATCAAAGAGAAATCAAAGGTAGCATACTCTGGAATCACTGTGCCATTCAGACGCAGTGCATACCCCCTCGCAGAGGCAATTCTCAAGTACAAGAACAATCCTGAGCTCAGAAGGCTTTTCAAGCTGAGAAGCAAAGAAAGAGTAAAGCAGTACAACTGGGACAACGTTGCAAACTACATAGCATACTACTTCAAGACGAAGAAAAACAAGTACATAAACGAAGACCCATACAAGAACAACTTTATGCCGTCAAGATGCAAATGGGACACAAAGATCAAAACTTTCTTTGAAACAATAATACCGGTAAAAGTGGAAAACAAGCCGTATCTCTTGTACAAAGATTACTTTGTGCGCATAGAAGTAAAGGCTGCAGACGGAAAAATAAAGAAAATCCTCATAGAAGGAAGGAAAAAGGATGCACCAGTCAGCTTTGGCCATGGTAAAATACTAGTTGTTCCATCTAAACACGTAGACATCCTCTCGTCCAACAAAAACGAGTGCTACATATACACCCCAAATATGATATTTGTGGTGAGCTACAACAAAAAACACAAGTGCGTTTTCATGGAGGTTCTCTTCGAGAATATCTATGGAAATGCCACAGGTCTCTTTGGATGCACGCTGAGACAGAAGTACGATCTGACGAAGCCATCCATTCCAACCGTAGACCACTTTGTACTTACAGGATCCTCCTCTAGACTGAACGAGATGAAATAGATCTTTGCATTCTGTCAGTTTATGCGCAGCAGCACATCTGATTTTAGGAAGTCTGCTAGTCTGGCGTAGAAAGAAGAAGAAAAGAAAATAAACTCAAGTTAAACTCAAGTCTGGACACCACAAGATTCAAAATATTTTTACATTCATTTAATTTTAGGATGAACAGCTGGTTTATTGCGATTCTTGAAAGCGGAAAAGACTACGATTGGGTCTGCAAGAATCCTGAGCTAGCCATAGGCACCCTCGCGTACGCAGTTGCATCAAAAACGCATCTATCAGCTGTGGAGATAAAGAGCAAAGTTAGAAAGATGTTTACACATGCATTTGACTATGCATACGAGTATCTCACGCATGGAGATTCATCTAAAAGCAGCCAGAAAATTGAAGAAAATATAATCGCCCTGAATAACCTGTTTATTCTTGTGGATCAAATCAGAAACGAAGGAGGGTTTATTTACTACACACCGCTCGTCTGCGAGTTCATTGTCTCCTCTTTTGCGCAGGAAAGAGAGAAAGCTGTTTTAGCTAAAAGATTAGCCCCGATGCTATTCACAGAATGCCCAGACGAGGTGTTCATAGGCATTTTCAAAACATTTGCGCTCATGGAAAGCAAAAACGAAGCTATCCCAGACGTGCTGCCAGATGTCCTCCAAAAAACAAAGAAGGAAACCCTACAAAAAATACTTAAATTTCAGAATGCACACCCCACACAGCTGAAGTTCCTGCACAAAATAGGAATTGTCAAAAACTTCCACCCCAAGGTAGTTTCAGTGCCATCAAAGCCGCCCATCTTTGAAATGTCGCATGTGAGTACAGAGCTAAGCAAAAAAAGTGCTGATTCAGAAGAAGCGGGCTTGCACATGAAGATAAAAGAGTCACTGCAAATAAAAATATTTGCAAGCACTGTTGAAGAAGCGTTCAACAAGAAGATACTGAATACGCTGGAAAAAGAAAAAGAGATCGAAATAGGAAAAGTGCTGCTCTACTACGAAAGACTCTCTATATCGACCTATAAGACTGCAAACACCATCCCTGTGGAGATAATACAGTACGCTCTTGTGTGGAGTAAAAATAGGAACGATCTGAAGAAAGCAGCACACCCGTACATTGAGCGAAGAGTCCCAAGTACGCCTAAGTTTGTGCCTGTGGTTGCAGCATGGTGCATGATCTACGAGCAAAACGCTCTCCATGCAGATTTTTCCTCTTTTGATAAAGAAGCAGGAGAGATACTCCTGAAAAGCTGCTGTTTTTTCCTATCAATTTACGAGAAAAAAGATAAGGAAGAAAAGTGGGAAGAGACAGCAGAGATGTTTAAAATATTTATAAAGCCAAGCAACTTCCCAGGGCTTGCAAGAATCCATGCAAAGCATCCCTGGACACTGAGAAACCCTGCAATAACCAGTGCATATATGCACAGCAGGTTGAATAGATCAGAATATTCCCACGAGATACTCAAATTCTACGCTAGTAAGCTGATGCAGTATAAGTTCATAGAAACAGTAACAGAATGCAACTTAGAATACGAAGCATACTGTGAATTAGAGCAGCGCGCAGATAAAGAGCCAGCAAACAGCACAGAAAACCTGAAAAACTACATAAAGCAGTCAGCAGCTAGAAAAAAGATAGACCTGCACAGAAATAGCGAACAAAAACAGTTTAAAATAGAGATAGAGAATGTGCTGAGATATGTCCATGCTACCATTAAAAAGTACGGCGAAGAAAGCGCCCAGCTAAAGGAAATAGTGAAAATCCTGCTAGCAGATGGCCCTAAAGAGTGCCCGTCTCCAATGCTAAAAGACATATTCGAGAAAGCCCCAAAGAAAAAGCAAATCCAAATATTTCTAAAAATCCTGTACATCTTTACCATTTTAGAAACGGATCTTCTCTCTCTAGCAGGAATCTCGCAGACACTCAGCCCAAATGCAGAGTTTGAAAAAGAGGAACCATAATTACAAATCACTATAGCCATACATAGAAAATTAAACACACATTACCATACACACAAAAACTAGTTAAAATGCAATTTATCTTATGCCCCTCACAGTATACTAAAATATCCAAAGATTGCAAAATAAACAGCATACAAAACAACTTTTATTTCTTGTCTATTTGTTGATTATTAGGAGAGGGCCACACTGCGCCTACAATGATCGGAAGAACTATTGTAGCATCTGCATGCACTTTAACAGATCGCGTGTGCTTCTTTATCTTTCCCCAGGAAACAGCCTCGTCCACCTGTGCTCCTGCATCGCTTCCATCATACTCCTGTGCGGTATTAACAAGCACACAATGATCCAGACCATTTCTAAAGAGGTTTGCGTTAAGAATGTGGTGCTTAATGACGCCTGCACCGAGTATCAGCGCGCCAGTGCTCTCACAAAACAGGCCCTCGCCATTAATTCGTGCTATATCTTCTACCGTGTCAATGACTAGCTCTCTTCTGCGACTAAAGTACGTGATAATATCACCAATTGACCCGTCTGTAATTGCAGGACAATAAACGGGAATATTATTTTTATGCGCCCAATAGTAAACTGAGTCTTCCGAGTTCACTTTCCTTCCCAGCTCATAAATAAAACGCGATGGCGTGATAATAGATATATTCCCTACTCTTCTGTACCCACTTCCTATGCCCTGTATCTCATCGTTATTTGTGTCCTCTAGTTTGTCATCTACTATTTCGTTGAGAAACTCTTTCATCCACTCTTCAAACACAAAGTAGTTTTCGTTTGGAATCAGCACATTTCCGACTCTGTTGAGGCCGTGCGACCGCAAAGTAGCACCATCCATTGAGAATACGCCCAGTCTGGAGGGCTTCATTGTCTTTATTATGTCCTCCTCGATTCCGCCAGCAGTGGTCACCACTACATCTACATACCTATTCTTGACGAGGTATGCTATGATGTCTCTGACTCCCGAAGAGATAAGATTGCTTGTGTATCCCAGAAATATCTTGCTCTTGTTTTTTCTCATTATCTTCAGCTCTTCTATCGCCTGGTGCAGGTGGCTTCCTTGAAATCCAACTGTCTTGTACCCCTCTGCCCACACAGAGAGGTCTGCATTTGCAAATCCCTTGCCAGACACTATTTCCATTGATCCAATTTCTTCCTGGTTCTCTTCCACGTCTGAATCTGCTAGCTGTCTGATTCCCTGTGCGCAACTGTCAGTTGTGTGCTCGCTATCCATTAAAAAATTTACTTGCTCGCATGGGTTGTTTTATTCTTGCAGAATGCCCGCGAGGAAACGCCCTTCAAGCTGAGCCACATAAAGTAGAGAAAAAGCATGGCAACAAAAGCGCTCAGAATGCATGTTCCAAAGAGAGTAGAATAGAAATAAAAACTGCTCAAACTCGCTTCCAAAACAGGAAATGTCTGTTGAAACCTGAAAGAAAGAAGCACTCCTGCCCTGGCAGTCTCCACAGATAGAAGATTCATGAAAAATGGATAGTTGTTCTCTCCTATGCAGTTGCTCAGCCACACGCAGTGGTGGTCCATCACTGAAATGCATCTATCGCACGCCCGGCAGTGCGAAGTGCCTGCAGGCCTAAATATGCCACATGTGTTACAGAATACCTCCGAGTGCAGAACTCTTCCTTTTTTTTCAAAAGACCTTCCTGCAATCGCACCGTTCTTCTGTATGTTTTTATAGCTGTACCCTCCAAAAAGAGCCATGCTGTAGTATTCTGAGTTTCTCCTCGCCAGTGTCCCAGGATCCATTTTCCCCGTAAAAAGGATTAAAAGTAAGGTAAGAGCAGACAGCGCAATAAAAGTGTACAGACTGAAGCCTCTTAAGAACAATAGGCCCAGCACAGTGCCCACTGTCTCCACCAGTATTGAAAATATTATCCTCCCCTTCATACACAGCATTCTTTTGGTAAATTTGTATATTTGAATTTTTATTGGTGTATTTAGACAGTTTTTAATTGGCATGTTAGGACGGACTAAGAACAGTGCTAGAAGAGTGCGAAGTGATTGAAGTGATCGAAGCAGCTGCAGCCTCTTTCTGCACAACAGCTTCTTTTGGCGCAGATGACTTTCTGTACGTTTGTCTTTCAAAATTAATGAACAGTCCTATCAAAATAATAACATATATGATATTGAAGGCAATGGCTGAGTACTGGTAGAATCTAATAACTGGATCTGGGCTAAAACAGGAAGGATTTGCCATGTAGACCACCCCAAAGAAGAGCCCCACAAAGAACTGTGTGATTTGCATGAATGTAATAACGCGCTTAAAAGGTGGCCTAATTCCAATAACCGTCATTGCATAGTACAGATACATAGCACTGTGAATAAACGAGTTAAGGCCCACCCAAATCCATCCTGTGTATGACTCGCTTAGAGAGACAAGCCAGCATGCCACAATGGCCCCTGCGTGGTGGTACATTTGAAGGAAAGAGCTCTCTTTGTTGCTTAAAAAGAGGATCAAAGTGTCTACCACTTCATAATACTTTGAGATGTAGAATATCCAAATCCAGGGAGACAGCTGCCTCTCCATCTTTCTTCCTGGGTCGACGATAAAGTCGCTGAAAGAGAGAGACCACAGCCCTGTCCAAACGACGTCGAATGTTTTCTTGAAGACAAGCATGCTGAAGAGAGACATCCCCATGTTGTGCAGAAATATCATTGATTTCAGCTGAAAGCTTTTCTTTTTTTTCGGAGACGCCTGTTTAGACTTGCTGCTGCCTGATGCGGTGTTCTGGGGCTTCAGGATCTCTTTTTTCTCCATCTTTTCTTTGATTCTTTTGTTGTTTCTGAGCACCCACACAATATAGACCGATGCGCTGAACACAGGCACCTCCCAGTGCAGAGACATATTCTTGATCCATCCTAATAAGCTATCAGGGCTCCACAAACTCTCCATTTGTTTTGTTTGAATAAATTTTATTCATATAAATGGAATTTAATTAGCCAATCCATTAGCTCTTCTATGGATATTAATTAAAGGCCTTCTATTAAAAATTAAACTGGAAATTATTTCTTGCGAATTTTAAATACGGAATAATAAGATCACTATTTTTCAATTTCGTGCGCTCCAGAGTCTGGAGACAAAACAATCCAAACGCTTTTCCAATGGAGCAGCAGCAGACTTTGAGTGCCCGTGGGTTCAGAAAGCGTGCAGAGTGATGAAAAAATCGGGTGATTTTCAAGAGTGAAATATTCTTCAAACGTCCCCTGGATTTTAATGAAGTTTAGCAAAACTTTGAAAGAAAAGCAAGTGCAAGAATGGAGAACTAAGTATTTGAACTACGAGACGCTGAAAGATAGGATCAGAGAGCCGCAAGAGACATTTCTGAGTGATCTAAACAGAGAAGTCGAGAAAGTAGAGCTTTTCTACAAAGTTCTAGAGCGGGGAATACTACGGGGGCTCGCCGACCTACTGGAGCTCTTCCCAGAGGACGAGTTTCCGTACGCGTACGAGATAGTGTACGACAACTGGAGGCTGGCAATGGTCAAATCAGTTAGCGAGCGCAACAAGAGATCGCGCCACGAGAGACACAAGAAAAAAGTCACTCGCAAGATCCGAGAGAACAAAGTGCTGGAGTTCTACGTGGCCATCAATAAAGTTCTGCAGTACAAAAAGATGAATATAACGGGATTCAGAAAAATACTGAAGAAGTACGACAAGCTCAACGGCACGTCGATACAAGAGACAAAAATGGCCGATATCCAGAACAGATCCATTTTTGTGCGGGAGACCATCGAAGAGATCATGCAGTTCAATCAGTACATCCACAAAGAGATCACGCCAGATAGAAAAAAAGACAAAGCAAAGCGGCTGGTTGTGGACCTCACACAGGAAGACGCAGAGGGCGACGGAAAAAGCTTTTCAGCAGGATCAATGGTCACTGCAGGAATATTTTTGATGGTTCTGTCTCTGTACTCCGACTTTTCCTTGTACTACAGCTTTTTGTACACTTTTGATATTCTGCTTATCATATTCGGCGTACTCTTCTACGTGTGCCGTAAGAACCTTGTAAACTACAGTTTGATCCTGGAGCTCAACCTAAAGCCAAAGCTTAAAATTTCGCGCTACTTCCTCATGACCACAATCATGCTTCTAGTTCACTCCGTTTCTGGGTATCTATCCATCCACTGGGGAGTAGCATATGCAATAACATTTGCCATCTGGATAATGCCGTTTAACTATTTTTTCAAAGAGATCAGATTCTACTTTATCCAAACAGTTTCCGAGATGTTTGCATGCACAGTGCTGGGAAAGGTGCGCTTCAAACACTTTTTCATTGCAGACCATCTGCTAAGTGTGCGGCCTGCACTGATATTGGCAATGAGCGCGGCTTTTAAGAGCTCGCCCGACCCCATTGCGTTGATTATTGTAAATCTCACACCCGTAGTCATCCGAATCTTCCAGTGCCTAAGGAGACACTTTGAAAAGAAAAACAGGCAACCCTTCCCGCACTTGTACAATACGCTAAAATACCTGATATCTTTTTTTAGTGATACTCTGCTGATTTTATCAGACAATATAAACGTGTGGGTGTGTGTGGCTGCTGTTGCGCTCTCAAATGTCTTTGGCCTGGGCTGGGATGTGTATGTTGACTGGATGCTGTGGAACAGACCGAAAGTGTACAGCAAGAAAATGTATTTAATCGCCTGTGCATTTAATGTAGCAGTAAGATCAGCCTCAGTGGGAAGCCTTGTGATGCTCTGTCTTCTCCAGGAGAGTGTGGCATTCAAGACAAAGCTGTCCATTAAGTTTTCTCTGTGCTGTCTAGAAATACTGAGGAGGCTCATTTGGGGAGTTATTCGAATAGAAGTAGAGCACCTAAACAACTGCAACCAGCTCAAAGCCATCAGCGGCCCACTAAGTGATCTTTTCTACTTAGAAGACGACGGCCAGCTAGAATGAAGGTATAAACTGCTGTGCATAGATAGTAGAAAGACTCTGTCTCTATTATGGGCTGTTTATATCTGTGCAAATGTCTAGTAAAAGTTTTGATGCCAAAAAGGTATGTATAACATTGGACAGTTTAATTTGTAATAAGGTCCTTACACTTAAATGTTTAAACACATTCTCAGATAGTTTCTGAACCAATCTTGTTTCTTCTGTTTACAGTTTGAATTAAATTTGCAAATTGCAGAGGTATAATAGATCAGCTATAATTAGCTCTACCCGCTGATGTGCAATGAGTTATACCTTTGTGTGCAATTAGAGCCAGCATGCTCTGATGATAAAGAAAAGATGAAAATGATTAATTGCTACTCATTTACCAGAGATCCATCCTAACATGTTTTGTAAAATGTTTAGTAAATATTTTCCAAGCTTACACATAAAATTGTGCCATTGATGCTATAGATGGGTTGTTCTAGAATAGAAATAGAGCATATCTAAAAAGATAAAAAGACAAAGAACACCTCTGTTCCTCTTCATTTAGCTACTAGCTATCTGAAACATAACTAACTAATAAATATTTATTGCAAATAAGAAAATTCGTCTGCATGTTTTTCAATTACCTCCTGCCACTCTTTAAAGGTATCTGCATTCTCTCTAGTGCACACAGCCGGGTACAGAGTATCTATTTTGTATGCATCGCATCCAGCGTTGTCCAATACTCCGCGCTCTTCTCCAAACCGTTGGTTGTAGTTGTTGAAATAGCTGTGGGACAGGAGAAGAAGAGAGCCTGGCACTTTGGGAATGTTTCTCTTTTCGGGCGTAAATACAGAAGCGAGATATCTTGCTATGTCTGATTCTTCCTTGGCTCTCTGTGCTGATAAAACAGCAAACCCTATCATTTTTCTAATCTGGTGGATCATGAAGCTCTGCCCATGGAGCACTACCTTGTGCCACACCACACCATCAAAAACAAGTTTCTCAACTGTAATTTCCTTGATGTATCTGTTTGGGCCTTTTTCTTGGTTCTGCACGGTAAAATTGTGGAAGTTGTGTGTGCCTTCCATCGACTTCAGAACTTTTGTGAATATTTCTGTTTTTCTGGATATGTTTTCTGCAGAATCACCCTCTGCGGTGTACGCGCTCTGAGGCACAAAGTACTCGTACACCCGAGACTCGCATCCTGCTTTTGCATCAAAGTTTTTTGTGGTTTCAACAATTCTATGGAGCACAATGCTGTGCGGATGAAGCACCTCCCTCAGTTTTTCTTCAAGATCTTTGCAGGACCGGCTCTCACCTATTTCTATTTTCAGAGAGACCACAAGCATGGCAGCGTGCACTCCTTTATCTGTGCGCGATGACCGTTGCAGCCCTACCTTCGAATAGTTTTCGGCATTTCTTGCTGAAATATAGCCCAGCCCGTATATTTCATCACACACAGTTTTTTCAATCGTGTGCTCTTCTTTGTTTATCTGGCTTCCCTTGTATCCAATTCCGTTATATCCTATAATTAGAGCCACTCTCTTTTTGCCCATTGGAAAAAATTTAATCGTTTGCTTAATTCAATTGTACTTGCATCCAGTGCACAGACAGTCTATCTCCATAGTTCTCTGTCTACAGCTGCAGGTAGATAAGAGAAACTGTCTCCACAGCTCTTGCACTATCTTTGGGTGTTTTTAGCTATCTTTACATCAACTGTCCCGTTCTCTTCCTTTATTTTGAATAGCTTGTCCTTAGTATTGTACACCACAGAGTCATTTATTATGTACTTCTGCACCTGCCCGCTGCTCACAATCATTTCTAGCGGTGACTCTTTGCATTCTAGCAATAAGCCTGCTGACTCTTCCTTAAAAACTCCTGCAAAGTGGAGAGAGATCGTCTCGTTATTCCTTCCAACACGATGTATGTTCTCTGTGTTGCATATTTTTATACTGTGCATCGCATTCTCTGATATATCCTCGTATGCATCGGTGTGAATCTGTGCTACTTCTGTGCTGCCATTGTGCAAGTCTGTTCTGCTTTGTCTTGCAGATGTAAATACCTTTGATGTCCAGCCCAGAGAGAGTGCGTCATTCAAGTCGCCCATAAACCGAACCGAGTAGTCATCTAGGTGCAGTGCAGGCATGCCTCTAAAGAACAGCCCATAGAAAGAAAAGTCGCACAAAATAACGGTTTTTTCCTTTTTCAGAACTCTAAGAATCTTGGCAAGACTGAGAGGCTTCAACCGCGCAGTGGAGAACAGAGTTGAGATTATGGTGGGATCAGAGACAAACCTATTTGAGAATAGGTCTTTCTTGATTTCGTAGAACTGCATCGTCTTTTTAAACCCCGGATGAGAAACCAGCACATTCCTGTCTTTAATGAGACTCAGTATGTGCAAAGCCATCTCCACCGAGTGGCTGAGTATGTCCATGGTAATTGCAAATGAATCTGTGCTGCTCGCCATTTTGGAAATATCTTTTGTCAGTTGCTGAATATCAGGCTTATCTTTGCTCACAAATCTATTCACAATGAGAGGCACAGCTGTATTCTGCGGCTTCACCTCCTGCGACAAAGAGCATCCTCCAGGCACTCCATACATGTACGCACATATTTTATCCCTTCCCTGAGCCATTAGATACATAACCCACCCCAAAGACACGCCTCCCGGCTGCGGTATAATGGACATGTACGTAAAAGGAACAATTTGGTTGAATTTGACAAGTCTGATTCTTCTGGCAATTTTTTTGTACTGCGAGATCTCCACTATTCTCGTGTGCGGCTGTGCTGTTCTTTTTTTTCTGCTGACTAAGCCCAGTGAGAGATAGTACTTAAGCCTCTCCTTCAGCTGCACATATATTGCATCTGTGAGGTAGATGGGAATGTTGCTCTCCACAAAAAAAACCGATAAAGACACACTATTAGAAAGAAATATTCCAGAAACATTTGCAGGGTACTCTCTGAGCACTTCAATTTCGATGTGCCCCCTGTCCACGATGTCTCCTATGCCTATATCAGAGTCCATCAGAACGGAAGGCGGGTCAAATAAAAGAGAAGTGTTTTCATTTTCCACGAGGTATCCGCTGCTGCTATCCTGCGCGCTGTGGCAAATGGAGAGTCTTTTGACTTTCATATATTAAAAAATTTCACTTTCGTTAGCATGAAGTATTTTGTCTCAAAAGAAGTTAAATTGGTGACAAAAGAAGAAATCTTTAACGGGGCGTGCACAAAAGATGGAGAAAAGGCGGGAATACAGGTGGCAAAGAATAGCTTTGAATCGGGGAAGGAGATCAGCGATATCTTGCAGAAGAATGGCACTCACTCGCACATACTGGCAGACTCGGATAGATGCTGCATTGACTGGGTGGCTGTCTCGCACGCACAGCCAGACTTCATAATAAAGCGCTCTTTCTCCTGCCCCCTGCTGAACACCACAAGAAGCAGAAAGATAGCACACACGTATCCTGTATATCAGTACATTCCAGAGCCAACTCTTCAGCTTAATAGCACAGAGAGCACTAATCAGTGCTCTAGCAGTACTACAGATGCTCTAAGTAGCTGTACTGTATATTTAGCCGTAGATGTACTATATACAAGCCAGTACGCAGAAATAAAAGAGCATCTTGAGAGCATCACACAGACTGCCATAAAAGACTGGAGCTACCAAGAGAAAGTAGAAGAGAACCATGCAATCTTAGTTCTCTCGGATAATGAAGGATTTATATCGTATTTTACAGAAAACTACAGCTGCATACTGCTTGGAAGAGAAACTCTGCAGAGCAGAGACAAGACCATGAAGCAAATAGAAAATGAAGTGTGCATGGAACAGAAAAGAGCAAAAATGCTGATATCAAAGATGGCTCTCGCTGACACTTTGAAGCGTGCTGAGCGGATAGGCGTGGTTTTTACGTCAGCTGATCACATGGATCTTATCGATGTGATATCGAAGTATCTTGACATGAACAACAAAAAGTTCTACCAGTTCTACATCAACGGGCTGAAGCCAAACAAGCTCGGCAACTTTGTAGGCATAGATGCATTTGTCGTAATACAGTGCCCGTTCTCCAGTTTTAGATTTGAAGAGAACATTATAGCGCTGAGACCGTACGATCTACTGCTGGCCTTTAGAAGCGAGTGGAGCGGCGAATACTCCACAAACTTGGAAGTAGCAATGGAGGAAATCACAAAAGAAATTGCAAAGGAGCAGAATAAAGAAGAGCTGGGAGAAGAGCAGACAAGCATGCTCCAGATAAAAAGCAGCATAAACACGCTGAGACTCGCAAAGAACGAAGTGTGCACTCGAGAGCAGGCACAGAGATACTTCCAAACGGGAGAATACATGAAAAGCGTATCAGGAATAATGATAGAAGAAAATGTAAAAGAGAATGCAAACGATGAACTCGTGCAGGGCTATTCAGGGATTCCCACAGAGTACACAAAGAAGTAGAGCAAGATATTGTGGTGTTAAACATGAATAAAGACCATCATCTCAATGCACAGACTGCTTTTCATCAATGTTTATATATCCTCACTTTATTGCAATAAATGCCAAAAATCAGAATATTGCCAACTAAAATAAACCCCAGATAAAATTTATTAGAATTATTGTATATAACCCAAGAAACAAAAATGAAAAATGTGTAATTTATTTCGGTACATCTTTACTTTTATACACCAATTGCTAGATCATGAGAATAAAAATAATTGCACTCTATGAAAAGAACAAATAGTAGAGGAATGAGTGTAGAAGAGTGATAGAAGCTAGTTTATTGGAATGGCATAATATATAAGAGCATGTGCACTGTTACACAGGAGCACTCAGGGCATTCTGAGTATTGACTTTCCTCCACTAGTTACACACAGCTTTTCTTTTCGTATGAGGCCGTCTAGACACCTTATTACAACGCCTTCACTGTAGTTTTTACATAGCTCTTTTATCAGCAGTCTGTACGGCTTGGATATTCCAATTGGCAGACTGTTCTTTATCGCTACCTCGACCTGTGTGAACTCTTTTATCCACTCCTGTCTGGGCATTCCTTCCACATAGTGCCCCATTGTCACTGCTTTCATCGTGCTTTCTGTGAACAGTCTTATGGCTTCTTCAATGTGCTCTGGTGTCACCACGCTTTCGAGCTCCATTCTTGCCAAAGATTCGCTTATTCTTGCAATGGCTTCCAGCTGTCGTACGGTGATGGGAATGCTTCCTTTTCCTGACTCTCGAGAGGCTCTTGCTGTTTTTCTTGTTTGGATGTAGAATGCCTGCAGTCTCTGCGCTGCCTCTTCGTCGATCATTGGGTTGATTGTCTTTGCGTACTCTGCATAGTCTCTCAGCTCCTCAATTGATATCTGCTCTTCTGATCCGTTGCTCTGCTCTCTGGCCTCCTCTGACGCATTAATAAACCTGCTTATCACGTGCTCTGCAATTACCTTATCTGTTTTCATCGTATCTTTGATCACAAATATCAGGTCAAACCTTGACAAAATAGTTACACCAAAGTCAATGTTCTCTCCAGGCGCCTTATTCTCGTCGTATCGGCCGAATATTGGATTTGCAGCTGCAACAACAGCACACCGCGAGTTAAGAGAGGTGACTATGCCGGCTTTTGAGATAGATATCGTCTGCTGCTCCATGGCCTCGTGGATAGCCACTCTGTCTTTCTCCTGCATCTTATCAAATTCATCAATGCAGCACAGTCCGCCATCTGCAAGAACTAAAGCACCACCCTCCAAATAAAAGTTTCCGTGCTTATCTTTGCACACAGTGGCAGTTAGACCAGCTGCACTGGCTCCTTTTCCGCTCGTGTATACGCCGCGGGTAGAGACACCTGATAGAAACTTAAGCAGCTGACTCTTTGCTATTCCAGGGTCTCCCAGGAGAAGCACATTGATGTCTCCTCTGATGCGGATGCCATCCTCAAACTTTCTCTGCACGCCTCCAAAGAGCGCACACGCCAGTGCAAGTTTTACGTCTTTGTGTCCAAATACCTCAGGTGATATGCTGTTAATTATCACTGATCGAGACAAACTAGTGAACTTTTTTGGGACATTTCTTGTGATTCTTTGTGCAGACAGTATTCCTATGTGCTCTTTGTTCACAGACATGCCCATAGCCCTGATAAACGGTACATTCATCTTTCCACTCCCCACTGAGTACACGCCTGTTATTGTCACTGATGCCCCTGGGATCACTCGGTCTACGAGCCCATCAGCTGCGCATATCATCAAGTGCCGTGCTATTTCTCCTGTTGGCAGATCATCAAATGTCTCCTGGACTTTTATGTACTGGATGTCCTGCAGCATGCTTTTCTCTGGCGATGCAATGAAGGTGTCTACACCGCTGCACGATTCGCACTTTCTGGGAAGCACTTCGTTCACTAGCTTTGTGTTAAGACACGTTTTGCAAAAGACGTAGAGAACGGTGGGCTTGGAGCACACGGTAGAAACAGATAGAACTATTCCCCTGACAGTTGATATCTTATTTATATGGGCAGCATCTAGCTTTCTTATTGGCGTAACCGTAGACTGCGACACTATTTCAATGTACCTTTCTTTCTTCCCTGGCTCGTTTATGGCTGTTCTGAATATTTCCAAATAATGGAGAGGCCTGCTCATCACGCTCTCAAAGAGCTTTGCGTCAAACATGCTCATGTGCTCTACTATAACTCTGAGCAGCTTTTCGTTCCTTGCAAGCTCTTCCCTGTATATGTACTCTGTTCCTATTCTAAATGTCTCAATGAAGGAGCAGAAGAGCCCCTTTATTTGGTCGTCTGATAGATGGCTCTCGTCGTTTGCTAGTCCTATTTCGTACGGTCTTTCCCTGCTGTAGTTCATTTATTTCTTTTTTCAATATTTCAATTATTTTTTATTGCAGCAGAGCAGCCATTTGGTCCTGCATATTTTTGTGCTCTGCATTAGTTCTGCAATTATAGAAGATCCTCCAAGTTTACGGTGTGATTCTACTGGTTTAATCTCTTGTGCAGACTAATGACAAAACTATGAAGAAAAACATAAGTGTAACTTTTGAACTTATAGACAGTTTAGTTCTTTATTTAACTACAGCTTAAGAGTAAATATCTGCGAGTGGCCCTTGGGAGGCTTTGCTACTCCAATGAGAGTATCTGCTGTTTCAAATAGCTCCAGCCTGTGTGTTACAGCAATGAACTGGGCGTTGATCTCCTGGAGTGACTCTCTTAGGGAAGATATCTTGTCTTTGTCCAGAGCTGCATCCAGCTCATCAAAGATGTAGAATAAAGACGGGTAGAGGGCATCTATTGACAGCAGCAGAGAAATTGCAACCATTGTTTTCTCACCGCCTGACAGATACTTAGCCTCTCTGAATGTTTTTCCAGTTGGCATCACGAATATCTGCGTGCCTGCAAGATACGGCTCTAGGGGATTTTCTAGGCCTAAGTGCGCTCTTACATGTCCTGACGGATTGTCTGTTAGCCGCGCGTAGTGTTTGTTTATCAGGGCATTTATCTTGTCAAATATTCCCAGGAAGAGACTAGCCCTTTCTTTTTTTATTTTCTGGAACTGTCTAACAACTTCATTCAAGATATTTTTCCTTTCTTCAGCTTCTTTCTCTAGCTGTACGTACAGCTGGTGTGTTTCCACCACCGATCCCTTCTGAGATAGGAATTTAGACACTGCGCCTATCTCTCTTTCAAGTTTATCAAGATCATCTTCCGCTGTATTGGTTGGTGCTTCTGAGATAGTCTCTTCAGTCAGTCCTTCCTCTGCCATGTACTGCTCTATCTCTTCGATTTCATCGTCTAGCAGCACTATCTGCTCTTTGATTACTTTTGTTTCTATTTCCAGAGATGGCTCCAGTTTCTTTGATAGCTCCAAAAGAGCGTCTTCTAGCGCTTTTATTTCTTCGTCTAGCTCAGCGGTGCTCTCTTTCTCAGACTCTACCTCTGTTTCTCCTCTCTCCTTTGGAATGCTCTCCTGAAGGTTCTGCAGCTGGGCCGTAAGATCTTCCAGCCTGTTTTTCCAAGAAACTTCTTTTCTTTTTATTTGCAGCAGCTTTCTATCAGATGACGATGAGTCCACTATTCCCTGGTCTTTAGCCTGTTTTACTATCTCCATGGGAAGTCCTGCATTTTCTGCTATCTTCTCCACCTGCTCTTTTATGTCGCTCTCCGCCTCTTCCAGCTCTTTCTGCGCATCCTCCAGCCTTTTTTCCATCTCCACTACTTTGCTTGACTTTTTGTATGTAATGCTCGTCCTTTCATTCGATGCAACAGTTCTCTGATTTTCTATTTTTATCTCTTCCAATATTCTATCTCTTCTGTTCTCTAGCTCTCTTATCTCCTGGGCATCATTCTGCATCGATATCTTTCGTACCATTCCATCTTTTGAAATAACTATCCCGTCAAGAGTGACCACTTTTTCTTTTGTATATTCAGGCGATCCTTCTCCCAAATAGATCAGAGCATTGCCGCATGCATACGAAATTATCTTCTCACTCTCACCCTGTACTTCTCGAGATAATTGAATGACATCTCTGCACCGTATATACCCAGATGGAACATCGCTATTTCTTCCAGCTGATGGATTGTTTTCATCGCCTATATCCTTGCTATTGTATCCTATGTTCAGTCTGTTCAATGGCAGAATAGTCACCCTTCCTGCTCCAGACTGCGAAAGGCCGTTGAGAATTGGAAGCACGTGTTTCTCCTGTTCTATAATAATCGTATTTCTTTTCGCGTAGAGAAGTGCATGTATTGCACTGCTGTATTTCTGATCTGCAGCTGATATGAGATCAGTCACTCGCCCAATAACCTGCGGAATGGTTGATTTAATTCTGTTTATGAGATAGCCCAGCCGAGAACTGTACTCAGCTTCTTTTACTCGCGATACTCTGCTGGAAAGGGCCTTAAGACTCTCCAAAAGCGACTGATTCAACTGCGATAGCCGTGTGTTGCTATTCTCCTCTTCTGCTTCCATCTCTTTTTCCTCTCTTTCCTGCTGCTCTGTCTCTTTTATCTCTCTTTTTAGCTCATTCACTGCTAGTCTCAGCTGTAAAATGCTCTTTGAGTCTTCTATTCTTTGAATCTGTGTGAGTGTTCGGATGAGAATTTCTCTCTGATAGTGTTCATTCCATGCAGGATGGCTCTTCGATAGACTCTCAGCTTTACTAATCGCCCAAGCGCAGTCATCTATCTGTGCCTGTGCTTCAGATATCTTCTCCTGCAGCTTCATTTCTTCTTCATGCAGGCTTTCTATGTCCCGAGCTTCTTGCTCTTTTTTTCTCATTTTTATGTCCTGCTGCTGTTTCGCTCCTGCTCTGGCTGCTCTAGCTTTTATAAGCGAAGTTTGAATGTCTGCCATCTCCTTGTGAATTTTTTGTGATGTGCTGCCTTCTGTTTTCTCTTCTATTGCAGCTAGTCTATCCTGCAGATCTCTTTTTGCGTCTCTGATAAGAATTCTTCTTTTTTTTATTTTTGAGCTTGCGAGTATCCTTCTACGAGATATAAGTGATCTGTGCTTGGTTTGCATCGATACTACCTGCTCGTACTCCTTTGCTGATGTTTCTGCTGTTCTCTTTCTTTCCACTATCTCATGGTACTCTTTTGTCAGAGTGTCTTTCTGCTGCTTCAGGTCTTTATACTCGCTTTTAAGCAGAGATGACCCTGATATTTTATCTATGAATTTGGTGAGATCTTTTGGCGATTTAATCAAAGACTCGTTTTGCGAAATAAGGAAGTTCCTGTGGACAGTGGAGATATTCTGTGATTCAAGATACGCGTAGTAGTCAGACTGCGAGACCTTCGTTTCCTCAATATAGAAAAAGGATGCTTCATTCACCAGCTCTCTTTTTATTCTTGTAACCACCCCGCTTTTCTCCCTAAAAGACAGCTCTACTGCTGTGGGCGGTGGGCTATCTCTGGCAGGAAGGGTTCCTCTGATTTCCGAAGGGCTTGCTCCGAGTACAAATAGAAGGGCATCCACTAAGTTACTTTTTCCTGCTCCGTTCGGGCCTACTATGCAAGTAAACGGCGAGAAGGGAATGCATTCTGCTTTTGAGTATGTCTTGAAAGAAAGTATCTTCAAATTAACAATGGACATTAAAAATGGAAAAGAGAAAATAGAAAATATTTATTCTCTCATATACAGAAGCAAATCCTAAAACAAAAAGAAAAATAAAATTCATCCGTAAATAATTTAAATTAGCTGAGTATGTGCACCGTACACTTTTATTTACTTAGATAAAACATTTTAGCATACGATATCCCTCCACTGTCTATTGGCTTGCACGCTATTATTCGCTCTTCTGTTTGAGTTTGATCCTTTGGTAGAGCGCCTCTGTGTCTTCTTTTGAGGGCGTGCACGAAATTGTAGTTTTTTCTGCGGAGGCAGAGGAGGACTTACCAGGCCTCTCTATGTTGGACTTGTCTATCTTTGAAAATCTCCCTAGCTCAGCTTCTATTGTAATTTTATCCATGGCCAACTCTTCTTTTGCGTTTTTCAAATGCTCCCACATCGTATTGCTTATCATTCTGGCGTAGAACAGAGAGTATAGCACCTTGCACTCTGTTTCTATTTCTTCTTCTTTTTCAATAAGATACGTACTAGCCTTGATAAGTATCTTGTACTGCTCCAATGGCGAGATATCTGATGACAGCTCAAGGTACTCTTTCAGATACTTGTTGTCGTACAGAGGCTTTATGCTTTCTTCGGTCTTTCTTCCTCTGCGGATGTAGAAAGATATACACAACGGGATAAGAATGCCAAGTGCAATGAAAGCTAGCATGAAAATATAAAAAATAATATTAATTAAATGCTACGTATCCATTTATTAAACAGATTAGATTAAATGTCCACGGACACCTTTGCAGAGTTTCAAAGAACTCTTATACTGGGGTAAGCAGTATCTCTATCGCTCTAGCGCGAAGAAGAGTCTCGCAGTCAAACCCAGGGACAATGGAGGTGATGATGGTCTGGGCTTCTTTGTAATCACCAAGCCGCAGTAAAATAAACGCACGGGCTATTTCCATTTTTGGATCTTGTGATTTGAGAAGAAGGAGGTTGTCTCCTATGGGGAGAAGGTTCTTTTTGAAGACCTCGAAGAACTTTCTTTCTTTCATTTTCTTTTCAAAGCACAGACAAAATATCTCGAGAATCACTTCAGTTTCTGCGCTGCTCCATATTGTCTTGTTAGAGTACGCCAACTCAAGAAGATCCATTGCCGTGTTGAAGTCTCTCTCTGCAAATGCCCTGTGCCCCAGCTCTTCAGTTGCCCTGAAGAAACACACATTCACTGAGTGTCCTTCTTCTTCCTGGTCTTGTTTTTCAGTTTCCATTGCCCTGTACAGCGCAAGTGCCTCAGTGAAGGGAAGACTTCGCAGCTTTTTAACCATGGAAAAGTGCTCATGTTTATGCAGTGCAGAGTTTTTGTCCGGCTCTTCTTCTTTTTTTTGCAGCTCACTCTTTACATCAGCATTTTCTCTTAAAAAAAGATCGATCTCCAAAACCCCCTCCTCTGGCACAGTTGTAATGTCCTTGAGCGATTCAGCTATCTCCACCAGATCCAAATACTCGGCATCCCAGGCTGTCTTATTCCTATCGAGTATCTGCATGTGTTTTAAAAGCTTTCTAACGTACTTTCCTATTCTGGTTTTTAGGAGGTCTTCTTCCTCTTTTGTGTGTATAAGAGAGCTTTCTCTTTTCATTCTGCTGATTATGTCAGAGTAGTATCCCTGCACGTTCTCCTCAAGCATGCAGCTGATCAGATACAAATTGATTCTGTGTTTTTCTGTTTCTGAGAGATCCTCTATCTTTTCTATTTCTAGCAGCGTTTCTCTTCTTTTCTCCAGATTTTCAATCAAGTATGTTTTAGTTATTTCTTCCAGATACTTCCTCTTCTCTTTTTTCTCTTCGACCAAGTTAAGCACTACTTCTGTCTCCTGGTACTTCTCCAAAAACTTGCTTTTCTTTTGTTTAAAGATGGCGGGCGTGTCTTTCTTTTCTTCTACCTCAGCAATAAAATCAAGAAGAATCTGCGGAAGGCCTTTCTTCGTGAAGTGTGCTGAGTACTTTGTGAGTTTTTTGAAGAACTGCTCAACGTCCTTTGCCTTTTTAAACGTCGTTTCGTTGCATATTTTTGCTATTTCTTCGTCCTTCTTTTCTTTATTTGAAACAGCGGGCTTATCTTCCTCGCTTTCGTTGTCGAAGTCCAGGCGGGCTGCAATTGCCGACGATACTTTCTTCTGCGGAGCATCCTCCAACTCGTCGAAGAACTTTGACATTATAAAAAAAGAGAGAAGAAACAAAATATGAACGACAGAAAATAATTTACGCTCTCAGAACAAACAGAAAAAGACTCAGCCACTGGAGAACAGCCCAAGCCGCTCAGTAAAGAGTATCTACCAATGAGTGTACACAATAAAATCAAAAGACAGATAAACAGTTTAATTTTACTTTGTTAATTTACTTTTTCTTTTCCTGTACACTAAATTATTTCTGCAGAGCCAACAGCAGCTCTAATAAACACTTTAAATTTAAATTTTATTTACCAATAGCTAAGTTTACAGTTTGTAAATTATTTAGTATAGTCTCTGATAGAACAGCAAAAGATGGAGATGATCAAATGAAAATAAAAGAGAGAACAAATCAAACAAACTGTATTTATTTATGCAGTCAAGCACACCAATAGCTCATACCATAGCAGATGCAGAGCAAAAGATCGAATGCAGCACAGTAGCATAGCACTTTCCTATTCTGTTTTTCTGCTGGATCTTTGCTTTCTCGCCCGCATGCCTCTCCCCACCTTATCTAGTGCTAACCCAATGATTCTTCTTGGAATCAGAGCAGTGAGCAGACTAAGTAAATAGTGCGGGAAGTACGGGTATGTAATGGAGGCAGAGCCAAAAGAGTGGATGCATGCTTTTCCATACGCATCAGATGATGGAGTGAAGATGTTAGGGCGTTTTGCACCTGAGAGCTTCGAGCACACAAGGCCTGTCATTAAAAGCTCAAAGTGGTATCTTGGTATTTCCGTTGACATGGACTCTGACCACACCTGCAGAAAAGCTTTTGTTCCAGCGTACACCTGCTGAAACGGGCTGGGCATAGACCCGAGCATAGACCCAGTTGACAGCACGTACTTTTTCTCAGAGGGGAACGCATCCCATGCAAGATACTCCCGAGTGATTTTGAGCGTATTGATGATGTTCACTTTGATTATTCTATCGATGTCATTCTGAGTGTGCTCCATGAAGGCCGTGGGCTTGGATGCATTTACTCCCACATTATTTATCAGAATGTGTGGAGAGTATTTCTTTACCCCAGATAGAACATTGCTGAAGTCGATCTCTTCATTTTCAAAGTCAATCGCAACTATTTCCACTTTGATCTTTGGGCTGAGCTCTTCTTGGAGCTTCTGCAGCTTCTCTGTGCTTCGGCTGATAAGCACAAGGTTTACTCCCTGCGCAGCCAGCTCTCTGGCCATTCCCAGGCCAATTCCATCTGTGCACCCTGTGACGATGCCCCATTTGCCAGCTAGCTTTTTCATAACTATCTTATTGTGCATTCTCCGGTACAAAACCAGGAATATTTCAGCGAACAGAAAAAGACTCAGGTTCCCAAAAGCCAAAAAGATGGCCCCAGTGGCCAGGCATCTGATAAAACACCCAAACATACGAAAAATAAAAATGAATTGTCCACAAGTAAATAATAAATTGAAAATCAAATCACAAAAAATGAGCAGCAAATAGTGGGCAATGCTCTCCTTGAAGTGAATATTTAGTGCAAAGAATAGACACAACAACTCTCGCAGTAGAATGAATATTTCTGCAGAATAGCAATTAGGTAAATAGTTTACACAAACATTCAGCAGAAGTGCAATCCCGGCGAGTGAGCACACAATGAGCAGTGCACTGCATAAAAATAGAAGTATCAGATAACAAGCCAAAGATAAATGCTAAGCAAATTGCAACTAGTGGAAACTCTGTATGTGCAGAGAAGAGCACCAGAATGACAATCAACAGCTATTTCATAACTCGAATGTATTTATTTTGATCTTACTCAATCTCAACCGAGTACTGCCTAATGGTGCCGTCAGAATATCCTGCAATCAGCGTGAATCCATCAATCCAGGTGATGGAGGTGCAGGATCCTTTACAGTCTTCTGGGTTTGGTATCTCCAGGATAACGTCTCTCTCAAGAATGTCCCATATCACGATTGATGTGTCGGTTCCAGCAGCAAGCCAGTAGGCAGAAATAGCAAACCCAAGGCAGTGCACAGAGTCTCCAACGGATATTTCGCACTTGTTGGATCCCTTCTCCTTGAGATCCCACAGGAGCACAGACTTGTCTCTTCCTGCAGTGGCGCAGAGGGAGCCATCAGGGCTGATCACCAAAGCATCGATGATGGATGCATGTCCCTTCATTGTGCTCTCTACTTCTCCGGTTTCTATGTTCCATGCTACGATGGCGCCATCAGTGTATCCGCATATGACTACCTCTGGCTTCTTGGGAACAGCCTTGATCGCTGTGATGGAGGCTGCAGGGTTGTCGCTTCTCTTCAGCTGTTTCTTCAGCTCCAGGTTTGTGTTCCAGATGTTGAGTCCAGGCTGCTTTCCTCCTGTGAAAATGTACTCTGATGATGACTCTGAGTCAGCTGATCCTGTGCTGTGCGTGAGGACGCAGTATGGCTTCTCGTTGTGCGAGACGTGTTTCTTGTTCTCGCTTGAGTTGCTGGGCCACAGTCTCATGATGCTATCAGTGCCCACTGAAATGAGATACTTTCCGTTATTGGCCAAGCTGATTCCACTGACGAATCCGCCGTGGCCTTCGTAGAACTTAGATAGCTTAGCAAGCGTTTCTCCGGTCTCTCCTCTTACAAACTCCCATCCCTTGATGGTTTTGTCTCTGGATGCGGTGTACAGGATTGGCTTTCCGTCCTCCTCTCTTATCTTTATGTCTGTAATTCTTTCGTGGTGTCCACCAAACTCCAATTGTAATTTTGAAGAAGCTACTACACTTGTCATATTTGCAAGGGCGTAAAAAATTTAAAATATTATTTACGTTAATTTATTCAATTACTGCGCTGCTGCCCCACTTTCGCTGCTAGACAGAAGACACACTGTGCACACTGGATGCACTGTGTTTTCTTGTGCAGAAAGTAAGTTGCCGAAGATATCGCATAGCTTGATTTCGAATATTTTCACATTCTTTCTGCCGTTCTATTTTTATTTTTGCATTTAATTTTCGCGCCTTTGCTATCTTCCTGTTCTATTCGGGCTCCAGTGCACAGCTCTGCTGCTGAGCTGAGAAATAACGGCTATGTTGAAAGAGTCTTCATTCTCTTTGAGATGAGCTGGCAAAGAGACTTCACCACCCTGCACTTCTCACCGCGTATTCTGAAGGTGCCTGTGAGCCCCTCCTCTGATCGAATAACTGTGGCATTGATGAATATCTCTGTGCCCTGCGCAGTTGTTGTGTAAATGTTCTTCACAAGTATCTCTGGGGAGGGAGTGTCTGTGCACGCTATCACCTCTCCCTCCTTTGCTCGCGTATCGATGACTGTGCCATTGATTGCCTTAGCCACCGACTTAATCATCTTCTGCGGGGTGAGCACGGGATCAGAGAGGGAAATTGTGTACAGATTCTCCCAAAGGAGAGAGGGCCATCTTTCTTTGAACTCTTCCTTTGCTATCTTCTTGGCCTGCAGCATGTCCGACATATTGAACACAATCTCCAATAAATTCTGTATGAAGTAGTTGTCTCTTCCCACTTTTCCTGCTGTGATAACGCCTCCTATGTACCCTGTATCGGACTCTTCCATTATCAGCGTTGTTTCCAGGGTGCACATCATGTGCGGCCGCAGCTTGTCCAGTGCCAGCACACTCATCATTTTAATATTTGGGCTTGTTACAATGTCAAATTCAATATTTTCCAAAAGCATGTCTGTTTGGTTTACCAAAAGAATGTCAAGAGATATCTCCGTGCGCGTGGTTGTTATCTGGCACTCGCAGTAAAGAGGGTCAATTGCGGATGTCAGTTGGAACACGTTCTTAAGCTTGTTCAGAGACAAAGACGGTTTTTCCTTTGCAAACTGCTGCACCGGGCTTATCTGGTCTTTTGAGGATTTCTCGCGTATCAGAGAGAACACAGGCCTTGCGTATATGTCCTGTACTACTCCGCTAGAGCTGTTCGATCTGCTATCGCTGTGCACTTCTTTCTGGGCTTTCTTCTGGCTCTTTTGAAGTTCAAGGGCTTTTTCAATGCTCCCACTGCCCAGAAGGTTGGAGAGCCGCAGGAGAGCAACCTTCGATGATTCGTCTAGGTTAAGAGACTTGTACCCCACTGCATACGCCTTAAGAGCAGTTGACATGATCTCAACGGAAAAAGCCTTTTTTTCTTCCTCTGTGCAGTCTTTTAAGTGTCTGCACATATCCAGGAGAAACGAGGCAATGGGCACTCCCGGGAATATCTTGGAGACATCTTGCTTGCTGCTTTTCAGGCTGGGAATTAGCCCGCTCTCTGACGATGAAAATGCTTTGAATATTTCCTGCACTGCTTTCCTAGATGTTTCCTTATCCGCGTGCTTGGAGAGCAGGCCAAAGACTCTTCTAAGTATCTTTCCGTATTTTATGCAGGGCAGTCTACTGATGATTTGCAGCACGGTTTTGCCTCTCGTATTTCCAATAAGAGCCAAAAAAGCGTCTAAGTACTCAGCTGCTTCTAAGGCGAGCTCGGGAATCTCTATGGAGAGCATAGAAACCACCAGATCTACCAGAGGAGCTGTGTACAGCTTGTATTTGCTAAGAAGCTCCTTAAGAGCCTGCAGGAAAAAGATCTTATCTTGGCTGCCCACAATGTCTCTGAGATCTTTAACGGAGGTGTCAGATATACCCGAGAACAAAAAGGTGTAGAGCTCTCTTGCTTCAACAATTGCAAGTATTTCCATCACGAATTGGAAGATGCTGCGCGCCAGGCGGATGTTTACCTTTGCCACTGCTGGCGTGATCATATGGGCTATTTTTAGGCCCATCCCTTCGAATGCAAACTCTCCGCGCTTCAGTGCGCCCTGGCATGCGCGCACTATCTTTCCCTTGGTCTCTGCATCGAGGTACTCATTGGATATTTCCAGCAGCTTTTCAACGGCTTCCTTGATTACGAGCTCTTTCTTTCCTATTTTTACGAGGAGTATTGCCGATTCCAGCTCTATCGCCCGTGACGAAGATCTTTTGTATATCTCCATAATGCGCTCTGCGTCGTTCATCTTTTCTGCGCTCTTTAGGAAGCACTCCTGCAGGCCGTCGTGTGCGGACTCTTTCAGCTTCTCGTATATTTCATGGATGCTTTCCGCTTCAGCTTCTTCAAGGGTCTTGTACCCCTCTGCCGAGCATATGGGGTCTCTCTCTGTTAGGACTTGTTCTTTCAGAAGAGGAATCACATCGGCAAATATCCCAGAAAGCTCTTTATTTTTCAAAAGACCTCTCAGAGAAACATACACAGCAGTTCGCACAAACGGGTTGGTGTATGTGATGTTTTCAACAAAGGGCTGCTTTAGCACGTCAAAGATTGCTGCGCTCTTCAGCTTTCCAACTGCCCTAATGGCGCGTGCTCTTACGTGCTCGTTCGGATGGTTTAAGTGCCCTCTTATCATGTTGCATATCATAAGTATCTCGTCTCTTATGTTGCCTTCGGAGTCCTCAATGTCGATGTTCTCCAGGTAGAGATAGAAAAGAAGAATCAGCTTCTTATCTTTTGTATTTGGGATAACCATGGTCAGAGTCAAGAGGAGGCTTTCGTGGTTAATTCCCATTCCTGTCTCTTTCACTATCTGCCACAAGGCATCTATTTTATTTTCATCAGAGCCTCGCGTAAGAAGAGCCTTCAGATTGTCTTTACTTCTCATCTCGTGTAGGTCTCGGGAGACGTACAGCATTCGGCTGCAGGTTGTAGACATATAATTTGCAAAAACAGAAGAATATTTATATTTGCAATTATTTTGCACTATGTACACTGATGTACACTATAGTGCAGAACGAACAGAGGGCCCAGAGAGCAGATTTATCTACACGTACAAGACACACGTCAAAGACAAAACAGAAGCAGGAAACAGAGGGAAGGGCATTTCAAAGATAGTGATCCACGGGATTACGCAGCAGACAAGAACAAAAGAAGTGTACGATATTTCCGAGAAGTACGACATATGCGAGCTATTTATTGATTCAATTGACAGCCTGTTCAGATGCGCGCAGTGGCAGATACACTCTATTCAGCTGGATATGACAAAAGAAGCGCCCATCTTCAACAAAGGAGCTATTTCAACGGGCTTTCATGCATCGCTGTACTTCAATGTGAACATGGAGGGGTATCTCCGCCCGCAGACACGAAGGGCGTGGATCTACAACGTAAAAGAGCTTCTGCGGCTCTGTTCTAAGAAATACATTATTGTGTCATTTGGAGAGACTGTGATGGAAGAGCAGGAAGTGCTGGAAATATTTGCAAAGTTTAAAATCAAGAAAAGCGTGGCGACTAAGTTCTACACAACAAACATAGAGAACATGCTGATCCAGGCAGCTACGAAGAAGTTTGCGTTCAAGGGAGTGATCACTCCAATGCAGGAGCAGGAGTCTTCTTTTAAAAAGATGATATATAAGGCAACAAAACCCGTTGCAAACATAAAATAAACATAGACTAAGCTACTCCATCTATTATCTGCACATTTGAGAAGACCGCCTTGCTGTACAAGAGAAATTGCAGGCTACTCTTTTTCTTTGGGCACAGCACACAGTAAAAGTGGCAAATAAAACAGCAAAAATATGCGCTAACCGGGAATCGAACCCGGGTCTTAACCTTGGAAGGGTTGCGTTCTACCATTATACCATTAGCGCACAGGTGCTACCGCTCTTTCTCCTCTCTCTCCTTGCAGACTGGCGGGATATGTGCCCGCCTTTTTGTCCTATATATCGAGCGACTTCTTTTTAGAGAAGATGGGACGAGTGCCATTTGAGGAGAAGACAAACGAGGAGAGAATAACAGAGAGAGAAACAAAGAAGACAAAAAGCGAGAGAGAGGCAGTGTTCGACTACCTAGCCATGGTAAAAGAGCAGACACGAGACTACAACCTAAAATACGACTTGGAGCTGTGCATGGAGACCCTCCAGGGAAAGGAGAACATGGAAGTCAGAGAGCTGAAGGATGCAGTGGTGGAGCTGTCCTCTGAGAACGAGAAGCTTGCTAAGCAGTGCGATGTTCTCCAGATGCAAATACTGAACAGCAGAACCATGTAAGCATAAGAGATACTTATCCATCCAAACTAAATAAACTCATATTATATAATCTGCTGCAGCTCCGTCTTTCTTCTTGCCAATATTTTCATCGTGGAGAGAAACTCAGTTCACTTGCAGCACTGTACCACTCACATCCATCAGATTGCATGCAAAAATTTCATTAGCTTATCCTCCCTTCCCTTTGATCAAGAGTATTCTTATCCAGTAAGACTCCATTGATGCTCCAGCTGTTTAGTCTTTTGTGTTTAAAATTAAATCTGCTTTTAAGTGTCTGTCTTTATTTTTCATTCGATTTTATTTCTCCTTTTACTTTTCTCCTCTGTTTACCAATGGCTGAGTCTCTCTGATCTCTGAACAACAAATAGAAAAAGAAGAGAAACAGCAGTAAATGCAGAGACTGGCCAGCTGATAAGAGAGAAGTTGAGATAAAATATCAATTAATCTTAAAATGCGGATATTTTTGCACTCTGCTGGTTTTGTGTCACATTGCGCCGAATGTGAAACACCGTCTCCATGGCAAGCAATACAAAAACACATTTAACCAAGCTGAGCCATACACTCTATGTGGACAGACTACAAACTTCTTCTTTTTATTATACTCTTCACTGCATCTGCAAAGTCTTCCGTTGTCATCTCCCCAGACTCCAACGAGTACCAGGTGCTTCCCATGGCTGCACTCAAGGAGACGCAGAACGGATGCACAGCACCGACAGGAATTAAGCCAATAGATAGCAGTAAAAAATGGCTGGGAATGGTGCGAAAGGGAGGGTGCCCCATTCTGACGAAATACAACGTGCTAAAGGATCTTGGAGCCTCAGGGATGCTCATACTCGATGGAGACGGCGTGGAGTACACTGCAACTGATCACTTCCACGTGGTCTCCATCGAGATGGCGATGTACGACTCTCTGATGAAGATGTACGAAGAGACCAACAAATACCCCTCAGTGAAGATAGTCCACTCCTACAGGACAAGCATGCCCATTGTGCAGATACTGTACATCATATTCCTTGTGCTCATGATCTTTGTCTTTCCAAGCCTTTTCGAACGGCTCGAAGAGCCCCAGATAAAGCTTGTGAAGCCAAAAGAGCTCTCGACTGTGTCGATTAAAACATACAGCGAGGTGCAGGGGGCAGATAGAAAATACGAGGAGTGCCCCATTTGCTTTGAAAAATTTGACCAGACTGATTTCATTCGTACACTGCAGTGCAAACACTATTACCATGGAAACTGCATCGACCCCTGGCTGCTGAGCAGGAGTTGCAGATGCCCAGTCTGCAACCATGAACTATCTTTTGCATGATCAATCAATTTTATTGGAAAATATAAAATTTTAATTTCTTGATCAAATACAAAAAAACAATTGATCACATTACAATCAGCAGAGGATGATAAAATATAAGAAAGGTGATGACATAACATGTGAGAATTGTAAAACAAATATAACTCCATTGTGGAGGAGGAGCGAGACTGGCAACTATTTGTGCAACGCGTGCGGGCTGTACTTGAAAATACACAAGAAGCACAGGCCAGTGAAGTTCATGAGCAAAGAAATAAAACACAGACAGAGACAGTCTGGCCCAAGGATGCTTCCCGACGGGACAACAGAAGGATACGAGATAGCATACAACGAGATAGGCGTCCAAAATACCGCACACATCAAAGAACACTCCTTCGAAGATTGTCTCGTAATAAACTACTCGGAGGAAGAAATAGACGCGCTCTCTGGGCTGGTTATGCTGACGGGGATGCACGGCTCAGTCTGAAGAAGCGATGACTATTTCTCTGAGGACTCCGCTGTCCTGCGATATAAATGTTCGATCTGAGTGCGATAATCCTTCTCCTTGAATTCTATCCTTACAAAGTGTGTGTAGCGATTCATTAAGTAATAAAACATGGGAAGCTGTGAAGATAATAAATAGAGAATGCACTGAGTATATTTTTAGCACTTGCTCTTTTTCTTTGTGCTCCAGTGGGAGAGCATGGAGGCGTTTTCCAAAATGAGAGACGATCATTGGCTCAATTTGAAAGTCCAGGATAGGGAGCATTCTGCTTTCGTAGATTGGAACAAGACGGGCTGTGCAATTCTCCACTCCTTTTTCCACCGCTGAAGAGATGGAGAGAGCATCACCTGATTTTCTGCTGCACTGCATCTCTACTTTGAGTATTTTTCCAGACTCCATTCCCAGATAGAGAGAGTCTTTCAAGCATTTTATTACTGTGCAGACATCATCTGACGGGATTGCAGCAATAAAAGTTTTATTTCGCCCGTAGTGGCAGAGATCCTTTGAGTTTTCAACTGCAAAAGCACCGTGCGATGTGTGGCAGTGCGGGATGAAGTGGTTTTGCTTGTGCTGCTCTATCCGCAAATTGGAAAGAGTAAAGTATCCCTTTGGAGTAAATATGTATACAGGAGTGTGCTCTTTTCCCAGCAGAGATAAGAGCTGTTCCCAGCCAGATTTACTCTTGCATGCGATCAGAGTGTCTATGGCAAGAGAGTCAGATGGCAAAAAAACTTGGGGTATCTTAAAGATGGAGAGGAGAGTGCTTTCTCTGTCAAGCCACGCGTATATGTAGTGTGCAGTGCATGTGAACAGAATGCCATGGGAGATGCTCAGCCCAATCACTTTGTCGTTATGGTTGTACGATATGCAGTGGGCTATTTCACTGTTCTCGCTTATTTGCATAAAAATATTATTTGCTCTCAATTTCTTGATCTTCGCGCTCTGTCTGTTCTGCATATTCCCTTTTAGGAGCTTTGTGTGGTAATGAGTGTGTGCACACTAACTGGTTTGCATTCTTGCATGGTGATTAATAATTTGCTGAAGATGCATTGGCCAGGAGCAATAAATATGCAATTGCATTCCAGAATAATTTTTTATGAGCAAAGAGAAGATGCCGTGCTTCCTGCAGAGCATTCAGCTTGTCAACTTTATGTGCCACGACAATTTACTGGTGGAATTCAGCAAAAAGATAACCTGCATAGTTGGAAACAATGGAAGCGGAAAATCAGCCATTATGGTTGCTCTAGGCGCACTGTTTGGCGTGCGTGCTACAGCCATGCGCGGGAACTCCTACAAGCAGTACATCAAAACAGGAGAAGAGTATTCAGTGATAAGAGCAACGCTGTCCAGAAAAGAAGCAAACGGAGAGATAAGTACGCTAGTGGTGGAAAAAAAGATAGCAGCTGAAAGCTCTCGGATAAGAATAGTGCTGAATGATCAGGTAGTTGGAAAGACGCAGGACGACCTAAACTCGCTTATTGAGCAGCTTCGGATAAATCTGAAAAATCCTGTGTGTTTTCTGACGCAGGATCAGTCTAAGAAGATCCTGAAAGCACACAACCTCAAGAGCATATACACCTTCTTCAAGTCAGCAACGGACATATCTCGGATAGAAGATATCCATGTAAAAGACTCTGATCTGATTGCATCAATAAAAGAGACACTGGAGAGAGTGGAAATGCGGAAGAAAAACAAAGTGAGCATGCTGAATGCAATAAACAATAGACTCGAGATGAAAAAGATAATTGTGAGCACAGAAGAGCAGATAAAAAAGCTGCGAGTGGAGCACGAGTGGGCAAAGGTCACGCAGCAGGAGAAAAAAAGAAGCGAAACAGAAAGGGAAAGGGAGATTGTGATGAATAAATGCTCAGCGCATCTGCAGGAGAAAAGCGAGCTGCTTAGCCAGATGGAGGCAGTAGCTGGGAAAATCGCATCTTTATCAGAACAGCGCGCAGGGCTTCTAATGAAGAGACAGAGCCAGCAAGAGAAGGTGAAAGAGAGCATAAAACAGAACGAAAAGAAACAAATGGAGATAATGAAAGAGCTGGAGCACTACAACTACGAGATACAGCAAAAGACAAAAAAAGTGCAGAGAATTGAGCAGGTGGCTGGAAAGACAGCAGTGGGCCTGGATAAAGACGGCCAAGAGAATGAAACACCAGAAGAGCTTGAAAAAACAAAAAGGCCACTGGAAGAAGAGTATAAAGAAGCCAAAGAAGACCAAACAAAATTAGAAGTGCAGAATGCGCAGATAGAAGTAACAATAAAAAAAGTGCAGATGGAAATGCAGAGCACAGAAGCTGCAAAGCTCAAAAAAGAAGAAATACTGCAGTCCTACAAATTCAACAATCCAATGAAGTTCTACGGGCCTGCAATGGAAAGAGCGGTGCAGGATATAAAAACAGCGCAGATTGAAGCAACTGGCCCCATTGGTCTGGGCATCCAGGTGAAAGACAAGAAATGGTCAAGAGCCATTGAGGTGGCCCTTGGAAGCTGTGTTTTTGGGTTTATAGTCCACACGCAGAGCGATAAGACAGCACTGGAAAACATTCTGATGAAAAACGGTGTAAAAAGGTACCAGATATACCTGACAAAAAGACACAGCGAAAGAGAGAAAGACAGGATCCTGGAAAAAGCGAAAAGAGTAGCACAGAACATTCTGAAAGAGACACACTCTGTATGCAGCTCTCCCATCTCAACTGTTCTATCGCAAATAGAGGATAACGATCTTTTAGTAGTAGAGCAGCTGATTATTTTGCTTGGAATCGAGAAAATAGGGCTTATAGACAACAGACAGGACGGATACAAAATTCTCCAGAAAAAAGCAGGTTTTGACTTTATTCTCACGCCCTCTCCTGACAGAATTCAGTACGTGGGAAACAGTCTGAGCGACATGCGGTGCACCGTGCGAGATAAGCAGCTGCTGGTATCAAAAGAAAGCGAGCAAGACCTTCTGAAAGACATAGAGCATGTAAAAGAAAAACAGGCAGAGATGCGCGAAAGAATAAAAAAGCTGAGAAGCGAATTGGATACAGTGCACACTTCACTGCAGAAAAATGAAAATGCGCGAGCTAGGATAAAAAAGAGCCTGGGCGAGATAGAGATGAAAATTAAAAGAGCAAAAGACCTACTAAAAGATGACCTCGAAATAGAGTACAGACAGTGCAAGGAAGAGCTTGAGGGGCTGGAAAGCCAGAGGGCATCTGTTCTAGAAACACACAGAGAAGTTAGTAGCGCGCTAAAAGCAAGTCAAGAGAGGCTAGCACAGATACTCGAAGACAACAAATATGTGCAGGAAGAAGAGGACTACAACTACAAAAAAAACGCAAAATTGTATGCACAGGAGAACGAGAGTGTAAGAGGGAAAATGCAGGAAACAGAGATATTGATAAAAACTCTGCAGAAGAAGATAGATGAGATGAACAACCACCTGGAAACCATGCACAGAGAGTGTCTCTTCGTGAAAGACCATGCACTGGAGCTATCTAACCAGAAAATACTAGTTATTGACAAGGATCCAGAGGAAATAGAAAAAGAGCTGATCAATCTTACGGCAAAAGCGTATGCATACAGCACACAGCCAGCTACCTTTACAGAAATGCTAAGCGACCCAGACTGCACTGCACTATCAGAACAGGAAGAAGAAAAGCGGCTTGAAGAAAAAAAAACAGAACTTGAGGGAGATATTTCGAGAATCGATGTCATTCTGAAAGAGAACCTGGAAGAGATAGAGGAGATAGAGAGAGGCACCGCAGAGAGAATAAGAAAGAGAGAAGAGCTGAAGATGAAGCTGGCTGAAGACGGGGCAAAGAGCTTTTCCGATCTCATGAACATGCGAGAGTACATGGGCGAGCTGGAGTTTGACCATCTAAAAGAAGAGCTAAACATAAATGTAAAAGTGTGCGATAGCTCAAAAGGAAACAAAAACACGCTGAGCGGAGGAGAAAGATCATTTTCAGGAATCTGTTTCCTTCTTTCCCTCTGGCCACTGATTAACTCACCGCTCAGAATTCTTGACGAGTTTGATGTGTTCATGGACGGACTGAATAGAAAGGCAGCACTTAACTTAATATTTGAGACAGCTCGGGCGATAGACTCGCAAATTATCATCATCACACCTCTTGGCGTGTCAAACCCTCCCTCTGACATATGCGAAGTCATCACACTCAAGCCTCCCATCCGGTAGAAACATTTTTACAAGAGTAGCAATCGAATATTTCTCGTCATTTACTCGATTCTATCTAGTGCAATCTCCCCAGAAATGCATACAAAGAGAGTAGTGTGCACAGATAAGCAGCAGAATGTCTCACTTGTTCTTTAAAAAAGAGACAGATTCACTGCAAAGATAGTGTAGATTGCTTCTATTTCCAAATGGAGTAATAATTTTGAATAAAAGATAAAAGATTTATTTACGAGAATATTCTGTTATGAATGTGCGCAATGAGCTGCTGCATTGTATTTTCACTCATCAGCGCCTCCGACTCGTGCAGGATTCTTCTGCGGATGTCCATCTTTCCTACTGTCTCAAACTCAAGGCCCTGCTCTTTCACAGCTTTCTCCTCCTCTATTCTCTTCTTCAGAGAGACTCCCAGCTCTTTTATGAACTTCTTCCGCGTCCCTGCCTTCTTCTCAAACTCTGCCACGCTCTCCATCTTCAGGCAGTCTGCCCATGTCTTCTTGTGCAGACTCAGAAGCATATTCTCTTCTAGCTCGTTTTTTTTGTACTGGATATTGATGGAGTAGTAGTGTCTGTTCAGCCCGTGCAGCATGCTCACAAGCGTGGGCTTAGTGAGATACCCAATGTTCGATGTTACCTGTCTTGGCTCCACTCCAGTGATTGATTTCTGCATTGGAATTAGTCTAAATGCATCAATAACGACTTTACCTCGCACGCTCTGAATTGGATCAATCACCACAGCTACTGCCCTTTTAGAGAGCTGCTCGAAGGCTGATTGCGTGTTGATATCCACGCTTGACAGCCAGCACCCAAATCCTGGATGGGAGTGATACCAGCCCACCACGCTCTCGCCTCTTCCTGTGATCTTTAGCATATCCATCATTTTGGTCTGGAACACAGGATCAACGGCTTCTACGCTCACGCCTGTACCGCTCTGCGGCATTGCAAAGACATCTGTTACGCGTATTGTGTACTCATCAACAAACTCGCCAAGCATCAGGCCCATGACTTCCATGGGCACTCCTGCTCTCCCGTGTTTCAGCATTTTTATCAGAGCGAGCGATGAAATCTGGATAGTTTCTGCTGCATCTGGCGTATACGAATCGTCCACCAATCTTGACTGGTCCCACATGAAATACAAATAAATTTTAATTATAAATACGAAAACAAAATGAATTACTCGCGCACTCCTGCCGCTCTGAGCACAAAAAGAGCGAAAAACAAAAAAGAAACAATAATTGAACACATCCAGCTCATAAAAGAAAAAAAAGAGAGCAGCGAAGAATGTGCACAGCTTATTAAAAAGCTCTGTCCCCATGTGAATGCGAACAAATACTTAAAGGACACTCCTAGGAGATGCGAAGAGAGTGAAAAAGATAGCGGTAATACATCAGAAAAAGAAAACTCTGCCAGTTCTATAAAAGATAGAAAATGCCCAGTTTATCTTGCAGTTATTGAAGAGAGCATTTTATATGCCGATGTGCTATCCCGCGAGAGACTAGAAGAAATAGTGCACGCAGTTCGCGAAGAGGTCTCTATGGCCGACTTAGTGCACATCCACAGTACGCTCTCTAACGCTTTGGTCTCTTCTAGGCGCTACAGCTACTCAGCAGAGTACGACAGATGGCTTGTCTTATCAGCTATAAAAATAACGGAAATATCAAAAAATGAAGAGCACGCGATGGAGTACTTCCCTGCAATAGTGGAGAGAATAAAAGAAAGCACAGACGGGTTCAGAGACAGAGGCATCATTCTCAGCGACTATCTCACACAGTCTGAGCTGCTGCACCAGTCATCTGAGTCTGCGTACTTCTATAATGATATTCCCTCCAGACCCACAGTAGAAGAGGAAAATGACAGCTTAGATGAGGAGATGGATATCTCCCAAATAACTACGCTTGCAGAGTTCTACACAATTGTAAAAGAAAGAACATTCAGCGCAGAGCCAGAAGAGAAGATAAAATGCACAGTCCTGCAGCTGCCAAGTTTGATTTTGAAAGAACCTGTACGGAATGTAAAAAGATACAGTTTAGAAATAATGGAAATACTTGTGTCAATTGGAACTGCAGAAGCTGCAGACTCTGTGTGCTGCTTGCTCCTGGTGGAAGATGTAGCCTATGATGTATTCCACGCCGTCTACAACAGAAACAAACACTCTTTCCGCTTTCGAAATATTCTTGTCGCATGTCTTACGAAGATATCAAGCACCCTGCGAAAAGACGTATCTCAGCGGATTCTCAGCAGATATCTTGGCCACGAGGAACACTCCGAAGAGGACAGAAAGCTGGGCATAGATGTTCTGAAAAAGTGTCTTCTACAATACCACGGATAAATATGCGAACACATTTTTATTTAAATGTCTGAAATAGAAAACTCCATTGAAATCCTCCAGGAGACAGACTCTGCAGACGATATAGAGCAGTTTCTAGCAAACAATCTCGAGGAAATAATAGACTACGTGCAGCTTGCATCGTACAAAGAAGGACAAAAGTCGCGAAAGCTAGGAACACTTGACTTCATCAAAGGAGCATTTTCCAATCGATCTATCGCGAATAGGCTGTGCACAGAAAAATACATCTTTGGCCTCCGAAACATTCGCAAAAATAGCCATGCAAAAAAAGTCCCAGACGGGGTAGCCTTCGTTTGCTACGAAATCTACACAGAAACAATCAAAATGCTCCTGGACTTCATGCCTGAGCAGGTGATAAGCATCATCTACAAGCATCCTTCTCTCTGCTACTTTGAGCAGCTCATAAAAAGCGCAGACTGCAACTCAATTGTGGAAATGTTTCCGTGCTTTTTCTCTCTCAATGGAGCGCATTTTGAAAGATGGATACAGCTGCTTACGTCCAAGAGCATTGTGTCTATGATTTTTAAATACTTTAACCGCCCAGGAAAGCCGCACAAAGACATCCAAAACCTCTCCAAACTTCTCTATCTCTTTGTGTCTTTCACCGGCACTGTTTTTCGAGACTCTGCATCGATGGAGAGCATGGGGATACACTACACATACTTCTACAGAGAAATAGAAAAAAGAACACACCCTCTTCTCGACACAATATTCCTGGGGACTGACTCGATAAACAGAATATCCTGTCTGGAAGTCATAAGGGAAATGATCCGCACCACAGAATTTCTTCCAGCAGACACGAGCGTGTTTTCTTTTCTTTACAGGTATCTCACACACTCTGAAATACTCAAAGAATTTTCCAAAAATAGCCACGAGCCACACACTGTGGTACGAGTGATCTATCTCATCAACACGATAGCAGCCACCATTCGGTTTAAGTCAGTGCATACACTGAGCTTTTTAAAGTCTTCCAGCTTTTTGGCACACACTGCTATGTATCTACACACCACCACAACTCACACGGTGACAAATGAAATATGTGCTCTTATCAACGAACTGATCTATGTGGATAAAATCTTTTACATGGAGCCCATTATAGAGCTATGCCAGGCAGTCAAGAGCCACACTTTTAAACGAGCTATCCAGCTGTACTCCACCTCGCAAAAGAGACACAGCCCGCATGTCTCTGTATCAGACTGCATTACACCTGTTATATACATTCTCTACAAGCTGTACTACATCTGCCACTACGAGTCCACTAGCAGAAGCAGAGAAGCAAAAACTCTCTCAAAAAGATTTATTGTAGTTGATGAAACCACAGACTCGTACAAAATTCTGCAGCAGCTGGAGTTTCTGCAGGATGAAAGTGCGTATTGGTACATCACCACCAGAGTTGTAGAGCACGAAAGAAGGCTATCTCTGGAGTATTGCAGAGCTCTCCCAGAAAGACAGCCCAATGCAGAACAGTTTGCAAGATACTTCTGCGAATACACAGCTTCTGTGCTCCCAGCATACCCGCCATGGCTATTTCAATAGAAGAGAGAAAGTAAAGTATAAAGATGTTTACTGCTGGTGTTTTCATGTCGTAATAAGTTCTTATAATAAAGTGTGTTTAAATTAAAAATATTCTGCTACCTTCTGCTTTTGAGAGTGAATGCATGGGATCTTCTACATTAGTCCACATAAGATAGATCAACCATCTTTTTATTACTTTTTATAGTTATATATCTATAGCTGCTAGAGTAGTAAACTCTAAGAACACAATTTATCTTATTCACATGCATGGACAGATGTTTTTATCTGCTAGAATGTACAGAGGATACTTTGCAAGACCCAATAGCATGCCAGAGCACAGAGACATGTATGCACTGATACAAGAAACAGAAAATCCTGCAAAAACAGAGAAAGTCCTAAGCAGGCTGTACTTTCTCCTGGAGTACATGCAACCACAGGAAACAGCTAGCCTTGATGTATCGCTAAATAATTTTGGTGTCTTTGATGTCTTTTGGGATATCATAAAGTGCAGCATTATTTCCGTCTTTATCATTTTAATGGGCATCCTTAGATGCCACCTATCATTACGGCCTAAACTCAGAAACTAGATCTTTTATTATGCAGGTCTTCTCTGAGATGGCAAAGAACATCTCTAGTTAAAATATACTCACTTAGCAATGAAATAAAATTAATTGTCCAACTTTCAATAATAAACTAGTTGTAAATAAATAAATGTTTATTTTTTATTTTAAATAGCGTTTACATTTTCTTTTCATCCCCAAAACTCTACACATACATTTCCTTTATTACTCTCTACTAGTTCTTAGCTAGTACACCTTTTCAGCTACAATATATTTCCTTATAAGGTTTATCACATACCAAGATTATTTCTCACATCAATCACCACACTCTCGGGTTATTCATCCTATATTATGCTTTCTCTGCTGGGCATCTCTACTACATTTAACACTATCACAACTTGGAAACATAAGAGAAGAAGAGCAAGCGCTATACACTGAAAATGATATTACTGTGTGAGGAGCAGTGCACACATTGCATAAAAACAACTCAAGCCTCTTTGCTCTGTTTTAGCAGATATTTCTGCAAGAATAATAATGCCTCTGCATTGTAATAAAATTTTACTGTGCTTCACTAATAAATTTTCTTTTTAATTTTGACCCATGGCAGCAAAAAAAGTCGACCCAAAGGCACAGCAAAAGAAAGGAGGCAAAGACAAGCCAGCAAAGAAAGTGGACACAAAGAAGTGGACAAAGACAGCAAGCAAAGACAAGCAGATAAAGGCTTCAGTGATCACTGAGGACATCTTCAACAAGATAAAGAAGGAAGTACTGGGAATGTCGCTAATCACCCCAGCCACAATATCCGCTAGACACAACTTAGAAACAGCAGTAGCCAAAAACATTCTCGAAGAGATCGTAAAGACCGGTGAAATAGAAGTTATTGCCAAGTCGTCATTCGGCAGAGTCTATGGAAAGAAGGAGACCAAGGAAGTCAAGGAAATTAAAGAAGAAACTGTCGCAGCATAAAATAATAAAATGATTTTACTTTATTTCTTGGCTTATTTCCCTTTAGCAGATTCGTTTATATTTTCACTCTACTTCTTGGACTTTCCCTTGGACAGAATCTTGTTTTTAAGCTCCTGTTCTTGCCTCTTTCTTTCTCTCTCTTTTTCCTGGAAGAGAATGTCGTGCTCGTCCAGCTCTTTTTCCTGTTTTTTGGCTGCTTTCAGCGGCTTCTTCTTGCCTCCCTCTCTGTTCATGCAGGGGAGCAAAATAAAAGAAGAGAAATAGACGAAACAGCCTGCACAAAAGAGCTCTGAAGTCTCTGAGCTCGTAAAAATAAATAGGCTTTAAAAATAGATTTATTTATAGCCCACTGTTTCTCTTTACGGCGGATCTGTAAGGAGGAAGCCAGTTAGCTGGGATAATCTTCTTTGTTTTGTAGTATCTAGATAGTCTGCTGATTCGGGACTCAACAAGAATCAATCTGTATTTGGAGTCGATGTCCTGCTTGTTTGATTCTAAGTGTTTTCTAATGCTGATTGCCTTCTTAATAAGCGCAGATAAGTCTTCTGGAACTTGCGGTGCTAAGTTGTTCTTCATCAGAACCATCAGCAGCTTTCTGCCAGAGAAGAACTTCATGCTTCCTATCTCGTACTCGTCTCTGAGGATTGTTCCGATTTCAGACATGGTGAGTCCTTTCTTTGCGTAGGTCACTATTTTTGCCTCTATTTCATCAACATTGGCGTCCAGCCACTCTGGGCTCTCCCTCACGTATGGAGTTGTTGAGCCGGATATTCCTTTACCTTTACTGTGCATGCGTCCCATTCTAGTTTATGACAGGGGATAAATAATTTTACTAAAAAATTAGAAAATGAACAAAGCAATAGCTATGGGACAAAAACTGCTGAGGAGGTTCTTCAAGGCAAAAGAGGGCCCCATGAAAAAAAGCGAAGTGCAGCTGGTGCTGAAAAACATCCACATAATAGTGTCCACGCAGCAGGAAAATAGAAGAAAGATGCGGAAAAACCAGCTGAGAAAGACAGATCTCAATCCTGCAAGAAGAAAGAGAGCGGCAGAAAGCATCAGCAATGAGCACAGAGAATCTGCTGCGGGAGATGAAAGTGCCCCAGAAGTAGCCTCCACTGAAAAGATAGAAAAAACAGAAGATCATCATCAGAGAAGCAGCAGCATGGCACAGAGCAATGCTCAAAATAGCACACACAGCAGTATAGAGAAAAGAGCCAATAGCTTGCACACAAACTTCATTGCACAAAATGAAAAAAACAGCACACAGCCATCTCTAGAGACAGATTCTAGTCTGCAAAAAGTTCACCAAAATATAAATAGTTCTAGCACAGCAGATAGCTTCAAGCAATTTTCTGCTATAAATCAGCTAGAAAGTGCGAAGAGTGATAGAGTGCAGAGCGCAGAACAGAAGGCACCTATGTTTAACATGACTGGGTCTCTGAGTGAGATACTAAAGAGCAATGCACTTAGGAACACGTCTAAAGAAGAGACAGCAAGTCAAAAAGAGACAGAGTCTTTGCCAGACAGCATGAAAGATAGCTTAGAGTTCGATGAAAAGTCAAAGTCCCTTTACACGTTTGAAATAAAAGAGCAGGAAAAAGAAGAAGTGCAGGGAAATGTGCCTTCATACAGTTTTACTTTGAAAGAGTAAGAGTTCAAGAATTTGCAGAATGTTCGGTACAGTTTAGTGTACAGCAATCTATGATAAATAAACAAATGTTTAATTGTGGCTTGTATCCATACTATCGATCTCTAATAGTGTTTGTGGCCGTGCTCTCCTCAGGTTATTCTTCTGTCATTATGCATCATATAGCATTTTAATCATCTAATTTAGACATGCAGCTTTCAAAAGATCAGAAATATCAAGAACAGACTCTTTTAACACAACATTTATTTTATGTATATCTTTATACGAACTTTGCATTCAGAGCTCCAACTATCCGTACTTTAAGAAAAAACTGCACATAGTTAATAGCTGAAAATAGCCAAGAATCTTAGATAGGCTAGTTTCTTATCTTTGGCTGGAGCTGTCTGTACTTGAAGGCTCCTGTAACTGCTAGAATGCATACAGGAGGAATCAGCACGCGCAAAACAGACATGGCAATGGATCCCAGTGTCACTTTGTCAATGAGACTAGACGGATCAAGAAGCTCGTGCATATTCAGCTCCTTTTCCATGTCTCCTATGTACATTATCCCCCGCTTTTTCTCTATCTCTTGAATGATATCCATGCTCAGACTGAGTGTAGATTTAGAATCAATGTATCTTGCTAGGCTTTCTGCTCCTTCCACGCTGTATATTGTTTCTCTGTACAGGCGCATCTTTGTCAGGAGCTCTTCATTGATTGCAAAAGGCCCCAGCTGATAGAAGGTTTTTAGCACATACGAAAATACTGATAGCAGAAAATGTTTGAACTGAAGCCCCTCTGTTTCGATCTCATCGGCCACAAGGCCATCCAAAAAGCAGGGCTTCTTCTGCAGCATGCTGATTCTTAGATCGTAAAACGGATGGTGCTCTCTAGCTATCTTTTTCATGCTAAGCTTGTTGAGGTCCACTTCTCCCTTCATCATATCGTTGATCAGTGCGGCTGCATTGCTATCCAGAAAACCTGAAAGCGACTCAAGCTGCAGAATTATTGATTGCGTCAGTAAAAGCACAGCTGTGCCCACATACATGTACACCTTTGAAGAGACTGGCATCATGTGAATAGCCAGAACGTACAGCCCCATCACAAACGAGCTGACTGCAGAGACAAGCACAATGTCAAGCATATTTGGCACAAAGTACGCTTTTATATCGTCCTCTACGAAGGAGCTGTAGAGCAGATAGTAGGAGACTGTGGAAAAGAAGAAAGCCATGGGAATCTTTCTGCTGCAGATCTCAATGGTCTGTGCAACTAAAAAGTCTCCCACTGTAAACTGGCCCTCTGTGATATTTATTTTGCACAGTCTGTAGTAGTCAGTGTTTGTCAAATTTGAAAACAAACTCACCATGCTTATAAAGGTAAGGGCGCGTTCTGTTTGAAAAAAGTAGATAGCCCCTGAGACCCACTTTGCGTTCACTACCGTAGTTAAACATTCTTTTAGTGTCTCGATGTAGTCTGAAGAAGAAGAAAATTCTTGCGAGTCTAGAATGTCGATTATTGTATATATTGGATCGAAGAACATTTTTTTCAGAAATCCGTTGCTGTACGACATGATGGTTTTTTCGAGGATTATGCAGCCAAGCATCAGAACAAAGAGCCAAAAGGTGTAGTAGATAATCTCATAGAGGATGGAAGACCCTTTGAACCCTTTGTCAAAATAGAGCGATCTGTTTAGTATTTCCTTTACTCTGATAAAATTTACACTGTACGAGTTTGTCAGAAACACGTTATCCTCTCCTCGCTCGCCCTCCCTGCGGCTGAGAATCTCCTGGGTGAGTCTGCTGAGCTTTGCAATGTTTTCTCTGTCTGTTGGATTTTCAGGATTATCCGCACTCAGCCGCATCAGGTAGTCTATGAACAAAATATTTTCATTGAATTCTATTCCCCTCTGCTGAAAGTACTCCTGCATCCCTGTGTACGGTCCTGAGTACAGAACAGTTGAGCTGTGCATGAATATCACCCAGTCGAACATGTTCATTATCTCAATGGATGGCTGGTGGACACTGACAACGTTTGTTGTCCTGCTGTTCTTCATGAAGCGCAGAGTTTTCTTGGCTATTTCTGAGTCCAGGCCTGTCAGCGGCTCGTCCCACAGATTAAGCTCTTTTTCGCTGATAATTCCAACAATTGTCATGATTCTTTTCTGCTCGCCCCCTGACAGCTTTGAAAACAAAGTGTGCTTTGCTTTGCTCACTCGAAAGTGCACAAGAAGGTTTTCTACTATTTTTTTGTCCTTCCCGTAGCACCTGGCAATCGAGCAAAGCAAAGAGTGTACGGGTATATTTCTGTACTGGGTTACCTCCTGCATGTGGTAGTTCACTCTTTTTACCCACTCTTCCGCGTTTCTTTTTACGAGAGACCCGTCTTTCTTGTATATGCAAACCTCTCCGTATGTTTTGTGGCTGCTCGAGCACCGCCCTGACATACTTTCAAAAAGCGTGGATTTTCCTTCTCCGCTAAGCCCCATCAGGGCAATGAGTTTTCCTTTTGGCAGCTCAAACGAAATGTTGTGCAGAAGGGGAATGTTTTTGCCTGTTTTTCTGGTGTAGTTGTTGAACTTGAACAGAAACTGGGCGGGCTTGCTTCCACTGTTTGCCTCTTTAGAAATATTTTCTTTTTTATTGGCTATGTTTTTAACACTCTGCTCGGCATTTCTATCTATTTTCTGTGAAGTGCAATTGGGTATCATAGTTTTTACTCTATTTTTGTAAAAACAAATATATATTTTTTTATTCCAAACATTTGTTATTTGCAATAATCGATTTGTTTGCTTGGTGATATGAGCCATGTTGTTTTGTTCTGCTAAAAATCTCTCGGTTCTCACTCCAAAGGAAGCTCTATCTCCAAGATATACATGAGTGCATGGATGCACATTAGTCATAAAGATTATTCTTCATTAAATAAAGCCTAATCTTTTTGATTGTGCATTGCTCTATTGAAATCTAAAGATGGTAGAAGTGTTGTTCTTCGAATATCCGAGTTTTTTAAAGTACATCAAAGATTTGTCAATCATTAGTGTTTTATAGCACTTGTATTGGAACATTAAAGAAATCAGATAGCTTACTGTTTCTTGGATGAACATCTTGGCAGAAACTGCATAAATCTGTAGTCCAATAATATGCACCAATTAATTCAGTTCTTTAGTGATTGAGTAGTTGTAACTGCTACTGATTGATCAATAAAATTTATTAATTCTATAAATTTTATAAATTTAGTATTTTTACGGGGGCTATAATGAATAACAAAGTAGAACTAAAAATAAAGGTATACTTAGATCAAATGATGCAACAGTTTATAGAGGCTCGAAAGAATAATAATGATGAAAAGTTAACAGACGAGAATGTTCTAGAGAGTATCTTTGATAGATTTATAATCATACAAGAAGATGCCAATGACAAAGAAAGTGCACAGTATGCTCTGAATATATTTAAAAAACTCATTTACATAAATTCACTAAGTAATCCCACTTGTGATAGTAAAAAGTTTTTGAATGGGCTGGGAGAGACATTATTTACTGAAGAAAACAAAGCTAAGTTTTACATAACAAAACTAGTGAATGAAGGAATACAACACATGGCAACTGTTGCACCACAATATAAGATTAATGGAGCCAACTGTATAGAAGGAGTAAAAGAGCTTACTGAATATACAATTTCAAGTTTTTTCAGACTGAATTCTATTCATAGTCATACAATAACGCTTAAAAGGAGTACAGATAATCCTAATTTAGATCAAATGCTGAAGGAGCATTCTGATTATTTAGATGGGCTTGCAGATTATATTTCATATGAGAAACTATTTGACTCTGCAGAAAAGCTTCAGGCGATTAAAGAAAATTATTCAGGTGATTTGTACACTTTAGAACAGCTGTATACTAGAAGAATAGACAATGTATGTCTTATGGAGCACGGATTAAAGCTGTGCAGGGACATGGAAAGAGGAATTAGAGATGATTTTATAGAAGAAGAACTAAAGCTGATTGCATCTGTTGTAGCACATGCTAAAGAAATTAAAAAAGAAAGAGATGCATTTTACGAGATATTAGGAACACTGTGGTGCATGACAAACAATAGCATCTCAATAGAAAAGGTAAATACTGATGGATCAAATGTGCTAGATATAGATGACAGTTTAGAAGGCTTTATGGACTATCAAAAAAATCTAAGTCTAGTTATAGATGGTAAAATAAATGAATTAAGAGAAGAGAACCCGAAAATTACCAATAGTATAATAGAAATATACAAAAAGCACGAGAACTGTTTACAAAGCTCTTTTTCCAATGAAAGAGAGTTTTATGTAGCAAAACAAAAGCTTGAAAATGCCCATAAAGCGGAAATAGATAGGCAGAAGTTGTTAATCAGAAAAATAGACGAATTAAGACAAGAGAGGTCTAAACTACGCGCAAGTAGTTTAAAATACATATATATGCAGATATATCCATATCAAAGAGATTACATAATAGAAAAAATAGAAGAGCATGCAGAATTGCAGAATATGCAAACAAAAGTCAGAAAAACTTTCACTAAGAAAAAGCTTATGTACTATACACTTGTCTTTGTGTTCTCTATTATTATTGGTAGTTGCATCTCATTGTTGCTAAGGTCTCTAATCCGCCAGTTTTTATCTGGTAGATACAGTCAAACAGTATGAAAGAAAAAGATGTATTTGAGAGAAGGTGAATCATTTACGCCAATACAACCAGCTAGCCATGCAAACTACAACACATGATATACTAAAGGAGACTAAACTTTCTACACCTAGAAATGTGCAATAATCAAATTATGGCTATCTATTGCTACTACTATGAGGAATCTTCAAATAGGCTCAACTTCTGATAAATGAATAAATGCATTAGCAAATCTCACAATAAACCTAGAACTTTTTAAATCCTTTATATTGCAGAAAAGATAAAAAAGAAGCATTAGAGACTAAGCCACTGCCGCAGACCTATTCAAAAGAGCAGCAAAATGCAAGAGAAATACACAAAGCATGAGAACTGAAAAGATAAAAATAAAAATAAAAGAGCTTAAAAAAGAAGTCTACGCAGACAGATGATAAACAAACACGCTAGCCTTCTAGCCGTGCCAATTGCTATTAATAATCTCCAATCCATTACCAATACCAACTGTATCCTCAGCAGGCCACCATGCAGCCTCAATGATTACCATGTCTTCATCTCCTTTCTTCTTTTTCATCGCAAGAACAAACATGCAGCAGAGACCACGGCAAGCCAGCAACCGAGCTGCAGGCTCATGCCGGTGTGTGGGCTCTTCCGCCAACGAGTAAATAAGTTAAGTCTCTTTATTGCGCTAGTGCTAACGCCAGATAAGAGGTAAGAGCTTGCTAGTAGCTGCAAATACTAAGAGTATTCATCGCAGCAATCACCGTGCGCCTACCATCTTCTTCCGCCTCGGGATGATCCGCCGTTTCCTCCGAATCTTCTATTTCCTCCGCCGTAGCTGCTTCCTCCGCTGCTCCCTCCGCGGGCTGCAATGGCGCTGAGCTCTGAGGGTATCTCCTGGTTGGAGTCTCTCAGGATCTCCATGTACTTCCGTGCGTTAGCCCTGTCGTCCTTGGGCGAGAAGAAGGTAAGGGAAAGACCCTTCTCTGAGTTTCCTCTGGCTGTTCTTCCTATTCTGTGGATGTAGTCTTCGCAGTTAGTGGGGAAGTCGTAGTTGATCACAGCCTTAACGTCCTTCACGTCAAGTCCTCTGGCAGCCACATCTGTTGCTACGAGGATGCTTCTCTTCCCTGCCTTGAAGTCCTGGATGATTCTGTCTCTCTGGTTCTGTGCCTTGTCTCCGTGGAGGGCCTCTGCGGGCCACCCGTACTCCTGCATCTTGTCCACGAGGTCATCGCATCTTCTCTTCTGGTTGCAGAAAATGATGATCTTTGGGTTCTGCTTCTCGTCCCCTGCGACCTCTGTGAGCACGTCTGAGAGCACCTTGTCTTTCTCCCAGTGGTCCACGATGTGTGTCTTCTGCGTGATCTTGATGTTAGCCACGAGCTCTGCAGATCCGATCTTCACCTGGATGTAGTCTGTCATGTAGTTTCTTGCCAGCGACTTAACCTCTTTGGGCCATGTGGCGCTCCACATGAGTGTCTGTCTGTTGGGGTTTGTCTCTGGGATGATTCTCTTGAGCTGTGGCTCGAATCCCATGTCCAGCATTCTGTCTGCCTCGTCAAGGACAAGGAACGAGACTCTGCTCATGAACACGGCCTTCTGGTCGTACAGATCGATGAGACGCCCTGGGGTGGCGATGAGAATCTCTGCTCCTCTTCTGATGGCGCCCTTCTGTGGCCCAGAGGGGACTCCTCCGTATACAGACACGGTTCTAAGCCCGAAGAACTTGGCGTATTTGCACGCCTCCTCTTCTATCTGCGATACGAGCTCTCTTGTGGGGGCAAGGACCAAAACGATGGGGCCATCGCCTGGCCTGAGGGCCTTCTGTGCCTTTGCGTGGATCATCGCAGGGAGAATGAAGGAAAGGGTCTTTCCAGACCCGGTGTTTGCCACTCCCACCATGTCTCTTCCGCTCAGAGCCATGGGCCATCCCTGTGCCTGGATGGGGGTGGGTGCTGTGTATCCTGCGCTCTTGAACTCCTTCAGAATGCTTGCAGGGAATCCAAAGTGCTCAAAGTTCATGCATGGCTTTGGGATGTTGTCTCCTGTGATGGTCATCTCTGCGTCCTGTCTCAGCGCATCTACCTCCTCCTGTGTGAGCTTGGACTGCTCTGCGTGCTCTACGTAGAACTCTTTGTCAAACTCCACTGGACCGTTGTCCTTTACTGTCTCTCCAAAGCCGCCTCTTCGCATTCCGCCCTGTCCGCCGAATCTTCCGTTTTCTTTTCTATCACCTGATGAGAAATCTCTTCTTTTGGAGTCGCCTCCAAATCTGCTTCCTCCTCCGTAACTGTTACCCATTGTTAGAAAAAATAAAAAATTTTTTATTAAATAGCTGCAGAAAATATTTTATTGCTTTTTCTCTAACTGCGCTCCTCGTATTGCCGGTACTTTCTGTTTTCAAGTTTTAAGTTCTTCTGGAAATTGTTTTTATTTTTCTGGGAACGGGCAACAGCCTAAGCATTCACTCATCTACCTACTGCAGTATTTACTGCCTGTGAAACTCTTGTAGATAAGGTATTGAAGATAGTTCCAGAACATCTATATCTTCCTATGGTTTGAGCAAGGTGTAAATAGGCTAGGTAAAAGTGTGGCTAAATTAAATATCTGTCACTTGGATAGAGCCTCTAGAACACTACCACAAGTCTAGTACAGCTTTTTACACTCTCCAGTTCTTCACATAAAAACTTTTGCCCAATTGATAATAGTAGTGGAGTCTTGCTAAGCCAATGGAGCATCCTGTACTACGCAGATAAAATAAGTTCAGTACTTTTCTATTGCTAATCCTCTACTATTTGAGTCTTAATGCTATCTCCAAGGTAGCACAGATCAACTACCACAGCCATCATAAATACTGTAATACTACAAATACTTGGACATATACACACCATCTATTTCGTATCCTAGCTTTCTGTAGTAATTTCTCGTCCCAATCCCTGAGATTATTGCCAGCTTGGAAGAGTTGTGCTCTTCTCTTGCTATTCTCTCAGCCTCCTCCACGAGAAGCCTGCCATATCCCTGGTGCTGGAACTTCGTGAAGTCTTTTCCCTTCACTGGAACCACGCTCCCGTATACGTGCAGCTCTCTCACTATCGACACGCTTCCCTCTGTGAGCTCTGGCCGGAAGGTAGAGGGCCCGCACCTTCTCAGCCTCAACAACCCCACAAGGATATCCTTTGCCACATCTTCATACGATAAAAATGTCTCCCACCCGTCACTTGCTGCGTAGTCTCTTCGGACGAGCTCAACCTTCTCTGGGAGCTCGTTTGTGTGTATGTTATTTATTCCCACCTCTCGTGTTCTTATGTCTCTGCACGAGAGCCCCTGCTCCTTCAGTCTGTCCAGCACTATTTCTCGTATGTTCCCGTGCTCCACCCCTGAGCTCACCAGAGTCATTGGGATGTCCCTCTGCACGCGGTATATGCGTATCCAAGGGGGGACCATGATGAATATCTGCGCCAGCAGGTCAATTAGCTCATTTGGCGAGTAGTTCGTGTACTTCCCGTTCTTCCAGAGCTCGTACAGCCCTGTGCCTCGGATCACAAGGGTGGGGTATATCTTCAGGCCGTCTGTTCGGAACCTTGGGTTGGAGAAGAACTCGTGGAACTGCAGGATGTCTCTCTCCATGTCTACATTCGGCAGATTAGGCATCATGTGCGTAACTATCTTGTACCCCGTGTCTTTAGTGAGCTTAAAAGACTCACACACATCGCGCACAGAGTGTCCTCTGTTTGTGTCCACTGCAACATCCTCAAAGACACTCTGCACGCCAATCTCCAATCGAGTGCACCCGTACGACAGAAGATCATTCAAATGTCTCTCCATGCAGAAGTCAGGGCGTGTTTCTATGGTTATGCCTACACACTTTGACGTGCTTCTTTCACTGAAGAAAATAGCCTCTTCCAGAGTGTTTGATTCTCTTCTTGTGAGGGCATCATGCAGCTTCATCACAAACCATCTTCTGTACGCTCTATCCAGGGACATAAAAGTGCCTCCCATGATAATGTACTCTACCTTATCCACACTGTGCCCGAGCATAGAGAGCTGCTTGATTCTATCTGCGCTCTGTCTGTACGGATCGTATCTCCCTCTGATGGCGCGCATGCTCGTTGGCTCGTATCCCGTGTACGACTGTGTGCTGTACTCAAAATCAGAGTCAGGGCCTCCGGGACAGTACACACAGATGTTTCCCGTGATTGCAATGTGCGGGCACCTGTGGGGCTTTGCCATCACTGCGACCACTGCAACTCCTGAGGCTGTTCGCACAGGCTTCACGCGGAGCCTTGAAATAACCGCTGAGTCTTCTTCAGAGACGGTGGAGAGTATCTGCGAGAGCTTTGGGGTGTCTTTTAGGCCGTGCTTCTTGGCCATCTTTTGGACTATGTCTTTTATTTTTATTTTGTTCTCTGTGTCGCTCTTGATGATTGAAACTATCTCCGCACAGGCTGCATGCAGGCCAGCTGAAGAATTCTTTCCACACGTTAGTTCTAGTGCCATAAAAATTTTATGCGTGCTCATTAAATAGCCCGCAGATAGAAATAGGAAATACGTCTATTCTTGAACAGCTGCCTTATATGGTAAATAGTACAGCTGTTCTAGAGCAGACTAAGGGTATTTTCTGTGGATATTGCGCATATTCTCTGAGTCTAATCTTGCCAACTATTTATTTATTTTTATTTTTACTGTACATGTTTAAGTCAGAGTGGCTTAGTCGCAAATTAGCAGACGGTTTGAACGCGTGTCTTACAGATATGCCAGCTGCTGATAATAATGCAGTGTTTGGGGCAATAACTGCTTATTTTTTCGGTCTGATCAATCCGCATTTCTCCAACAGATTTTTCATTCGCGAGGTATTCAATATGGTGATGGGAGTGGTTGTTCTTTCGTCTATATACAATATGCACAACTTCCTGCTGATTCTCTCGGGCGCTCCTCTGAATTTGGTCCTGTCTTATGTCCCTGCAAAAAATAAGAAAACTCGGACAAAGATGTTCCTGATTTTTAATCTACTATATGTGCTGGTAGCATATGCCGTATACGACACCAAAGACACAAACCCGTTCCTGACAATATCTGCCTTTTTTATGAAGTATATATACATTAGCATGGAGTATGTGCCCAGGAGCAACGGATTTATGGGGTACTTTGGATACATCTTCTTTGTTCCAGGGATAAGATACGGTCCTGTGATGTCGTACAGTGCCTACGACAGATGGCTCAATGCAGGGTATATGTACCTAGCAGAAACATGCGAAAAAAAAGAGATAACAGAGTTTATCGGGAACACAACAGATCCAAAGACAATAGAAGACAGAAAAGAAGACTTTGTCATGCATAGGTACAGCAAGCTAATAACAAATTCTGTTGGGAACTTTGTTTCTTCCATTGCCTTCATCATTGCCTACAGACAGGTAGAGAGTGTGTTTATGAATGCCAGCAGAGCACTAACAGGCCAGATGGGATACTCTTTTGAGCTCCCCATCTTTTACATGTACAGACTGTTCTACATTGGTGCTCTGTGGGCATCAGAGCAGGCTGTATATCAGATTGGGTTTATAGACAATATGAAGAACGTGAAGATAAGCCCTTTCCTGGCCTTCTGGAAGAACCAAGACCTCTTTGGGCGGTGGAACATACAGGGCCACAAGTTCATGCACAGATTAGTCAGTTACCTATCGGAGAAAGACAAGAAACATGATGGAAAAGAGACTAAAGAAGAGAAAAAAGCAGAAAATGATCTTTCTCAAAAGCCGTTTGACCTAAAAGAGCACATAAAAATATCACTGCTCTCGTACACCCATCTGCTCTTCTTCCCTGCGCACTTTGGATCGGTGTTTCTGTCTTTAGTCCTGGTGTTTATTATGGGATTCGTTAAAGAAATGCCCGTGGCCATGGGCAGTAATGAAACGTACAGATTCATAGAGCTTTTGGGCGTATGGATTGGCCGATTGTTTGTTTTTTCGTACTTTTTGCTGCCTGCTGTGTCCTCACCCCGAGAGACGCTTTGGATTTGGAGGAAAGCCCTTGCCTATGGACACTTTGCGTGTGTTTCTGGGATTGTTGAGAAAGTGCTAGAGGAGAAAAACAGAAGCTTGCAGGATTCAGAGATAAAGGTCGTTCCAGCAGAAGAAATATCCTCAACCAAAGAAAAAACAGAGAAAAAAAAGGATACAAGAAAAACAGTAGAGAAAACCACTGAAAAAGCTGAAACTAGTGCATAATAAAACGATGCACACTAATGCGCATAATGAGTAGGATAGTCTCTGAGAAGTAGCTCTAGGAGTAAAAACAACTTAAATCCCAAAATGGAAGTTGAAAAGTAGAGTAGTCTTTGCTGTCTTTTATTCCAATCAATAAATCAATCTTTATCTTTATCTAGTATTTTCTACTGTATGCAAATATCTGTACTTTCATTCTTTGCTTTTTTTAAATAATTCTTTGCTCTGCTAAAAGAAAATGTACATAATCTTACTACTCGCAAAATTAAAACACAAATAGTAGAAAAATAAAATGAATACATTTTAAAAGCAAATAAAATACTTTTATTGGATATTTACGCTCTTTAAGAGAAATGGATAAGATGCTCTGAATCTTACTGGATGGAGAGAGTGAAAACAGAGACAGTTATCTAAGCAATTGATATCGATCACTCTCTACGCCTGCTAATCACTAAAGAACCTGTGGCGCAGTGCTTCGTCTGCACTGATCCTCTCGGATGCCTTCAACAGAAGCATCTTTTCCAGCAGATCAAATACAGAGCTAGGGAGCTGGTGCTTCCCTGGATTTGCTATCTCTACTACCTTTTCGAATGGCACTTTGGGATGCATGCATGCCTCTATGTTGCTCTTCCACACTCTTTTGTAGTGCTTGGCAGCTTTTCTCATTTCGTCATCTCCAAAAAGAGTGCCCAGCTCCACCATTGTGTTAATGTCATCTTTGGACGTAAAAAAAGGATACTTTCTGCAGAGGAGAGAAAGAAGGATAACGCCAGCACTCCATATGTCAATTGCAGTGGTCTGTGACTCAACGCGAAAGAGAACCTCAGGAGCCTTGAACCCCCGTGTGCCTGATCTAGAAGCTGACATAGATGGCCGCGAGTCTCTGATCAAGTACCCGGGTGCTCTGGAGGCAATGGGCTTGCTGCTTCTACTCGCTGAGTGCGAGCTGAAAAAGAATCTTCTTCTTTTTTCTTTTACCTCTTCCTCTGTTTTCTCTTCGAGCTTTTGCGATAGCCCAAAGTCTATCAAGTATCCTGCTTTTGTTTCCAAGTTGTACAGAAAGTTGCTTGGCTTGATATCTCGGTGTATGATGCCCTGGGAGTGGACACCCTGCAGGGCTGTGAGCAGGCCGTACATGTAGTGCTTTATGTCCGATAGCGTGGCTCTTTCCACGATCTCCTTAAACTCGTTCATTTTTACGTACGGAAAAACGATAAAAACATCTGCATCTTCTCGCACTATCTCCACTATTTCGATGATGTTTTTCATTCCCTGCACAGACATAAGAAATTTCAGCTCATTTGCGATTCTTGTCGGGGAAGTTGTTCGAGTGACTTTTTTAATAGCCAGTTTCCTGCACGCATCTCTGTCTTCTGCGAGGAATACGGTGCTAAAAGAGCCTTCTCCTATTTTCTCGATGACTTTGAAGTCTTTACAAAAAATTGTCTCGTCCATTTTTCTTTTCTTTTTTCATGCCCCCAGTAATAATAAATGGTCGGAAAGAACGAAAAATCTGGATTAAAGAGAATTTCAAACAGATACAAGATGACCGCCGGAGTGCAGGTTGGTTCCGTTATCAACTGTGCAGACAATGGAGGAGCAAAAGTAGTAAAAATCATTGCCGTTAAAGGAAACAGGTCTAGATTGAACAGACTTCCATTCGCAGCCCCAGGAGATGTCATCGTTACGTCGGTTAAGAAGGGTAAGCCAGACATGAGAAAGAAGGTGGTGCCAGCTGTGCTCATCAGACAGAGAAAATCATGGAGAAGAAAGGACGGAGTGTTTATCTCGTTTGAAGACAACGCAGCTGTGGTCATTACAGCAAAGGGAGAAATAAAGGGAACAGCCATCTCCGGCCCAGTTGCAAAAGAGTGCGCAGAGCTATGGCCAAAGATCTCATCTATGGCATCATGCATTAAATAAATATATCTCTTATAGGAAATTACAGCTGTCCGTTATTTCAGTGATAAATGCTGCATGCAAATAATTTTCTTGTGGTCTACTTAGACAACTTCTAGTGACTTAGTAGCAGAGTATAGTACACTAGCAATGCCATAAGTTAAAAAAAATAAAAGAAAGTAATGAATGATGAGCAATTAATACATTCATTTATCCTGGTGTGTGGCTATTTATTTTGAGAGATCTTTGTGATCTCAGCGGTGTCTATGAATCTTTAACGTGTTTTATCTGGCAAGTGGGAGCAAGAAAGACCAGTAGATATCCATTGCCGAATTTGAACTTATTTGGAGACTTTCTGTTAGATCAAGATTTATCTATACTATGGTACAATAAGACATGCAATTCAAGAAACTAGCAGAGTATAAGCGTACAAGCAGAGTCTTCTGCAGCCATTAGGAACTAATTTTAATTTTCTCGTTTATGGATGGCAGTAAAAAGTGTGCAATGGAAAGTGCAAAAAAGCAGAAAATATCCGAAACAGACGAAGAGTGCGCAGAATTTATGAAAAAGTTCAACTTTAGCTTGTATGAAGGACAGAAGCAGTTTGTGAAAGACGCGGTCAGAATAATAAACAGAAATGGTCTTGCAGCTCTTGAAAGCCCAACTGGCACGGGAAAAACTCGCTCCATTCTTCTGGCCGCAATGTACTACACAAAAAACAGCTATTTTCTCCCAGAAGGCATATCCCAGGAGAACATGGCTCTACTGAGAGATCTGTACAGCAAAAGCACCAAGCACGTGGTCTATGCATGCCGAACACACAGCCAGCTTGAGCAGGTTATTTCAGAGCTGAAATATTTGAACAAAATGGGAAATATGAGCGTAAAAGGAGTGGTTCTTGGCTCAAGGAAACAAACATGCATCAATCCCAGAGTCAACACATCAAAAGACATAAACAATCTGTGCCGTCTCCTCGTTAAAGACAAAAAGTGTGTATATTACAACAATCTTAAAAAGCCAGTGGAGAGCAAAAAAACAGAAATATCGATAGAAAAAGCCGTAGCACTGGGAAAGGAGTGCGGTGTGTGTCCCTACTTCTACCTGAAGAAACAGGCAGCAAGTGCTTCTATTATCATTCTCCCGTACTCTCTACTGCTAAAACGAGACTTCTTCAAAGAGATAGGGATAAACAAGGCTGAAACTGTGCTGGTCATAGATGAAGCACATAATCTATACAATGCCGTGCTAGAAGAGTACACTGTGCAAATTCTGTATGCTGATGTGGAAAAGATGCTTCCTTTCTACAGGAGTTATATGGATAAGGCGAGCGGTTTGTTTAAAACTGAGCTGCTAGAACTGTACATGTTTATTGAAGGATTGTGTGGATACATTGAGAAAACAAAAAAGGAAATAGAAATAAGCTCAGAAAGTAAGAGCGTAAAAGAAAAAAGCAAAATACTCAATGTAAATAAATTTCTGCTAGAATGCGAGATAGATCACATCAATCTACTAGATACAGCAGAAACACTGAACAAATACACACTGGCCAGCCGCATATTCCCAATACGAAGTGAAAATGTGCAAAATGAAAATGAAGACACTCTCAACCGTATAGGGAAATTGTGCAAACTGTTGGGAGAGTGCGAGAGAAACAGCTACATTGTGATGGACGGAGCAGCAATTTCTTTCAAGAACATATACCCCGCAGAGTATCTGACATACCTAGAAGACATAAAGAGCATCATCACAGTTGGAGGGACGCTTTACCCTTGCACAGACATAAAGCTTTTGTTTGACAGAGAGGTAGTCCAAAAGTCCTATCCAGCGGTGTGCAAAAATATAAAAGTGGATATTTGCACAGACTATCTATTTACATACAGCGACAGAACAGAAAAACTTTTGCATGCATACGATCTGGCAAAAACATACCTCAAAAGCATATCCAATGGAGGCGTGCTAGTTTTTGTGCAGTCAAAAGACGCAATGTCAAGGCTAAAAGAAGAACTTAATAAAAGAGCAGAAAGAGAGGATGTGCCAACAGAAAGCGTGTTGTTTGAGGGTGATATGCCACTAGAACACTATAAAAAAGTCATAGACAGCGAAAGAAAAGCCATCATGTTCTGTGTCATGGGAGGTAATTTCAGCGAAGGAATCAACTTCGGAGACGATCTTTGTCGGATACTGATTGTGTGCGGAATTCCACTGCCAAAGCCAACGAATGAAACAGCGCTCATAGAAAAGCACAGAGGATCAGAGTACTACATTGAAAAGGGCATGCAAACAGTAAATCAGACCATAGGAAGAGCTGTCCGCAGCAAAAATGACTACAGCTATGTCGTATTGCTTGATAAAAGATTTGTAAAATACAAAACAAAACTGTCTCCATGGCTGCAGCCACACATAAACATTACAAACAGCAGAAATACCCTGGAAGACATACCTGCGCAGCTTAGAAGATGGAATCTAGAAAACAAAGAACAAAGATCCAGAGAGTAAGAGGCCAGTTAATAGATGTATTATATGATTGTTTAGTAATTTTTATCTTTCTTCCTATCTCCAAAATTTAATGAATTTTATTTTGTGCTAATTGCAGCGGTTTAATTAACTCTATCTACGAAAAGACTGAAAATACTTAGCTGCACAACTGGTGCTAGAACGCAGAGAAATGTAATATGGTTTATTCTAGTTAATCCAAGCCTTGTAGGCACTATCTATAGATAATAAAATAAATATGATTTTCCAATGATTAGTGATCTTTCTTTGCTCTCTAGTCATATGAAACATTTTCCTTGTCTTCTTCCAGAGAGCTGCTGATTGAGCTGTACCCAGTGCCCGAGGATTCTTCTTCATTGCCGCTGTCCTCGGTGTCTGAAGCTTTCTTTGTTGACCGTCTTCTGTTTTCCTCTTTCTTTCTTCTTACATTCTCCTCCTGCTGGGCTCTGCGCTGCTGCTTTTCTCTTGCTCTCTGCTTTATCACTCGCTCTCTTTCTCGCAGCTCCTCTGGGGTCTTTTCTATGTACCTGTGATACACCACATCGCCTGTGCATATTCCCCTTTCGATCTTCTGAAGCTCCAGGCTCATGGATGGCCCTATCTCTGTTAGAGACAGCTTTACCTGGTTTGCTGCTCCGGGCTTCTCTTCTTTTTTGATGAGATAGTTGGTGAACAGATAGTTGTTGTCGTACAGCTTTTTAACAACTATGGCTCTCGTTGTCAGATGCGACACCACTGCGTTTTTCTTTGTTTCTTCAATCAGCTCTGTGATGGGGTCTGTCTTGTCTATGTTGATTGGAATGATGAAATATCCGTTCATTCTTGTTCCTATGCCCAGAGAGCTCTTGAATATGTCCGCGCTGTACATGTACTTGTTGATCTTAAAGTAGAATGTCTTTCCGTTCTCCTCCTGCATAGATATGACTTTCAGATTGTTGTGCTCTTCTGATTGCGAAAATGCCCAAATGTGCGACGCAGAGAAGTGCTTAGCGAGCTGGACGTAGTCCTTTATCTTCCACTTTCTCTCCTCTTTCAGATTCTTGGAGACCCCTGGCTCAAAGCACGCCCTGCACTCTAGAACCAGCTTTGCGTAGGCTGGAGTTACTTGTCCGAACTTTATTACTATTTTATTTTCTCGTCTGGTCATTGCAAATTTTTTAAAAATAATTTAATTAGTACTTATTCGCAACGGCCGCTCAGTGCCACCTGTTCATATTAGGTAGAGAATAAGCATTATGAGAGTAATAGTCAGCGCAATGATAATTGTGTTTCGGCCGTCTTTGCGAATCTCCTTCATTGTCCGAAGAAGCTTTCCTGAGAGAATCTTGCTTTTCTGCTCAACCTTTTCTGTCTGCTGCTCGAGGCTGTCGAGATGTATGTTGTGCTGCTCGATCGCATAGTGCACCTTGTGTGCCTCTCTGGTGAGCATTTCTGTCTTCTTTTTTATTTCTTCTTGCATTTGTTTTTAAACACAAAAGCGTTTTATTAGTTTCAGAATGAAATTTTTTAATGAGCTGCAATGAATGCAAATTACGGCCCGCTGTAACTATCCGCCCATCCAACAAAATGAAGTTGTGCAAAGAGTGCTTTACATCTGCTATTGAGGAAGAGGTGCATTCCACCATTCAAAAAACACAGATGTTCAGCACGGTGAAGACTTTGGTAATTGGAGTCAGCGGAGGAAAAGACTCCACTGTTCTGGCGCATATCATTAATTTGCTAAATTCAAAATACAGATATGGATTAAATTTGAAGCTACTGTGCATCGACGAGGGAATATCAGGATACAGAGATAAGTCCATAGAGGTAGTCCATAGAAACGAAAAAGACCTATCTATCCCGCTGAAAATACTTAGCTACGAAGAGCTCTACGGACAGACAATGGACACAGTGGTGTCCAAAGTAGGAAGAAAGAGCAACTGCACGTACTGCGGTGTGTTCAGGAGAGGCGCACTGGAAGACGGCGCAAAGTTCCTCAAAGGAGAGATGATAGCAACAGGCCACAATGCAGATGACATCGCTGAAACAGTTCTTCTGAACTATTTCCGAGGAGACATGAATCGCCTCGTTAAATGCACGCATCCAATAACGGCAACAAGCAATCCCGATGTAATTCCCAGGTGCAAGCCACTCGCAGGGGTGTACGAGAAGGAGATAGTGATGTATGCATTCTACAACAAGCTGCCATACTTCTCCACCGAGTGCAAGTACTCCCCAGGCGCATTCAGAGGCTTTGCAAGATCTTACATCAAGGCGCTTGAAAAGATAAATTCCCAGGTGATTTTGAAAATAATCAAATCAGGAAACCACATCCAAAAGCCAGCATATTTTATGAAGAGCAAGCCTTGCATTGCATGCGGAAAGAACTGCTCCAGCACCGAAGGCACTTGTAAATCTTGCCTCCTCCTTAAGTCCTTATAACAATTACACTCTGCTACGAACAATTCGAATTTATTATCAGTAAATCAGTTATACCTAACATTTTTTAAGTTTAGTATTTTAACAACTGCGCTGCAATTATGTAGTCTAGCGCCAACAGCATCAAAAGTTTGGACAATCTATTGAATATTTATTTCAATTCGAATTATAACGAATAAACATCTGATGAAGAGTCTCTGGAGCCCTTGATGGCGCTCTCGTGTGCCTTGAAGTTCAGCTTTATGGAGTCTGATATCTCAGAGAATGACTTCCACAGCTCTCCTATTCTGGTTACCCGTCTGTCTTTAATACTGGTCCATATGCTTATTCTTGTGTAGTTCTTTCTTGGCGAGAGAACAGCCCCGCATATGACCCCGTTGAGCGAAGTGTCCACTGTGGCGTCTGATATGATGAAATCTTTTGTTATCCCATTGGAAGATCTCACAATAACAGACTCAGAAATGCAGAAAAGCAGGGTGTTCAGCCATATCTGCGAAGACGGCACTCCTGCAGGCAGCTCAAGGACCCACTTTCCGCCGTTTGCATTTCTTTTGTCCTCCCACATGGGAGCTATTCCGTTCCGGAAGAAGTGAATGTTCGAGCTTATGGGAAGAGAGGATACATCTCCAACCTCCTTCACAATGCTCCAAAAAGTTTCAACGTCTGGGGCTACTCCCAGCTTTTGCAAATTGTCGCTCCAGTTGTCTGCGTTCACATACTTCTTCTCTTGAAAGTCGTACCAGAAAGTCCAGTTTTCGTTTAATCTGTGCCGCGGAGTTTTAGTCTCAACTTCCATACTCATGCTGTGCAAATAAAAAGTTAAAATATTTAATAGGACAGTTTAGTTTTACATGTTTCATTATTTCAAAAATAATTTTCTATTTCTTGCATGGCGGAAGCTGCAAACACGCGTCAATCTCATCTATTTCTTTTAGCTTTAAGTCCAGCAGCTTTTGGAAAAGAAGACTGCCTATGGAGTTGTTCTCCTCTCTTACTTTTTTCAAGAGTTTTTCAAATCCATCTACTCGCTGATTCGCTCTTTCTGTTTTTGCAATCATCTTTTGCATTGTCTCTGCAGCTGCACCGAGTGCTTCCAGAGCCCAGGAAGAGTGCGCTCTCTCTTGAACATCTAGCAGAGACTTTATTTGTGTTTTTAGTTTTGTATTTTCGCTGCTCAAATGCCGAATCTGCGATATAAGCTTTTCTGTTGTCTTTTCGTCTGCTGTTGACTTTGGAGTTAGTTTTATCTTCTTTGCTGCTGATAGGAAATTGATTGTGCTTTTTGTTTCTGTCTGGTCTTCTGGCTCCACTGTTCCAATTATCGCAAGATTCGAGTCCTGGCTCAGCGAGTCTCGAAGGATAAAAGTCAGCTTTGAGTCTCTGTAGTTTATGTGTCTAGCTCTACTCTCTGAAGAAAGCGTGCTTATGATCCGGCTAAGGTATAGCAAACTTCTGTTTATATTGCTTGTCTCCAATGACTTATTTGACAGTTTCTGTTTTTTTACTGCATACTCGCTGCTATCACTCGCATTTTCAAGATCCATCTTTTCAGAGCCTGCTAGATCTACAAGGGTGATTTTTGACTCTATCATGAACCCTTCCATCTCTTTCACTATGCACATTGTGAAGATCATGTGGCTTCTGCTGCTTTTGCTGTTTATTCCGTTCGATCCAGTGCGCCTATTTTCAGATGCTTTCTCAAAGACCTGCATGGCATCCTGCTCGCTTTGGCACTCGACTGTTCTTACTCCATCTAGCACCACGCCGCTCTTCCCATCTCTGACGGTCAGTGCACTTTCTGATACTAGATCAAATATTTTTTCATTGTACACCTCCACAACAGATATGGAGAGCGAGCTTACCTTCTTATCAAAGACTTTTCTGATGCTTAGCGGTATGATGCCGGGATGTGCAGGAGTGCCCTCCATTGTGTATGTTTTTCCGCTTCCCGTCTGGCCGTATGTGAACACTGTCATGTTGTACCCATCCATGCACATATCAATCATAGGTGAGATGCTTTTGAAGACTGTTTCCTGCTCAAAACCGTAAAATATCCTGTCAAAGTCATACACGCCCGAAGTGTCCAGAACAGAATGGTCGGAAAAAGAAAAAACGCCGTCTCTTTTGTCGCCCTTCACTCTCAGAAATACTTTTACTCTATCCATATGGAAAAGTTTTAGAAAAATGAACAAGAATGACATTGCATTAAAATTGTACAATGAGTGGAAAGAGGAAAAAACATCAAAGAGTTTTCTCGACGAGCTGCCCATCGACATTTTAAGGATAGAAGTGCCCGAAGTGAAAAGGCTGTACATTCTCTTCTACTTTGCAATGTCCAAGAAAATGTATGCAAAGACCAGCTCAAAGTATCTGAAGTACTTGGAGGGCTTGAAAAGCTTTTCTGGGGAGAGCAAATACAAAAGCGAGTGGAGATGGCCTGTGACCGGTCTAGACCCTGTAGCAATAGCCAATGCATCGCCTCTGGAGATAAAAAAGTGTCTCAGAAACAAAGTGTCCCTTGCCACAGCAGCATCATTGAAAAAGCTGGGAATATACGTTACGGAAAACGGAGAAATACCAGAGAGATACGATGTCCTGACAACATTCGACTGCATAAGCACGAAAAACGCAAATCTCATTATGTACTACGCGTGGGCGCGCCTAGAAGACATTCCGATCTCAGAGTGCATGGTTCGCGTGCTGTTCAGGCTGGGATGGCTCTCCGATATAGGCATTGAGTCTATAGTAGATATAAAATACTACACAAGTGAAAGCTCACCTAAAAAAAGAATACTGAGAGATACCATCAAGAAAATGTTTGCATTTAACACATGGAAATATGCGAGCATGGGATTCAACAACCACGGGGAAAAAGTATGCAAGATAAAGCCGCTGTGCCAGCAGTGCAGTATTAACGAGATATGCCCCTCAAGAAGAGTAGACAGAGAAGTGCTCACATACATGGACACGCTGCAGAAACAGGGATACTTCCCCAAAGAAGAGTCCAAAAAAGAAGATCTGCAAGATGAAAGCAGTGAAAGCGATGAAAAAGAGCTGATGTCCTGCTCAGAGTCCAGAGAACAAGACCTTTCAGACATCTAAATCAGACCAATAGATAGAACAGTGAATAAATACTTAAACAGAACAAAACGAATATTTACTAATTTATTGCAGAGTTGAAGTAAAATTTTACATGCCAACAGAAATAGTAAAAGTTGAAGGCAATTTAAAAAAGATAAAAGAAGCATTTGATAGAGCACCCGTGCCCTTCCCCACCGAAACAGTGTACGGCCTCGGGGCAAGTGTGTGGAGAGAAGATCTGATAAAGAGGGTTTTTGAGATAAAGGGCAGGCCATCGGATAACCCGCTGATTGTGCACATTTCATCGCTGAACATGCTCAAAGAGTGCATTGAAGGAGAGATTCCTGAGATATACACAGAGCTGATGCATCTGTACTGGCCAGGGCCTCTGACTCTTCTATTTAAAAAGAGCAAAAAAATATCCAGAACAGTAACCGGTAACGGCGAATACGTGGCCATAAGAATGCCAAACCACAAAGATGCGCTTTTGGTGATAGACCACCTAGAATACCCAATAGTGGGGCCATCTGCGAATAAAAGCACAAGGCCCAGCCCAACAAGAGCTGAACACGTTTTAGAAGATCTAAATAACGAAGTTCCATTGATAATAGATGGAGGAGTGTGTGCCCAAGGGGTTGAGTCTACAGTCATAAATGGCCTGCACAGCCCTCCTCTGCTTCTACGGCCAGGCGTCATTTCTTTCGAAGAGATCAAAGAGCATCTTCCAACAATAAAGATGCTTTCTGAAGAAGACAAAGACCAAGGAAAGGCATCGCCTGGGACAAGATACAAGCACTACTCCCCTACAGCTGTGGTCACGATGGTGCAGGGAACAAAGAGTGATGTTCTGCAGAAGCTGAATGGCATTGCAGGAGAGAATGTGGGATTTATGCTGCCTGATGAATTTATAGAAGGACTGGCTGGTGCAGAAAAAAAGAATATTTACTCATTGGGAAATACTGCTAAAACAGCTGCACAAAGACTGTTTGATGGGCTTAGATACCTGGATAGACATGTACAAGAAATATATACGGTAGAGCTGGAAGCATCTCATGAGGGAAGGGCGGTAATGGACAGACTCAGCAGAGCAACCAGCAGATGGATGTAGAGCAGTTGAGCAGAGTGAAAATGTTTTTAACTGCTCTCACAAGCTAGTTAAAATTGCTTGTGCTGAAATTGAAAATAATCTGCCCAATTAACATTTCTGTCCATCGGTATTAGTAGATACGCTCATCTCTTTTCAAGACAGATACAATAAACATAAAGTAACTTAACACTCAATAAAAAGAGAATTTAGTACTGTTCTGCTGTGTTTTAATAAAAATTTGTAAAGTTGCCAATAAATAAAACACGTACACAAACTGTACACTATTGAAACAGAACAATAAAATATTTCAAGTAATAATAGGTTTGCAGAGAGCTAACAGTTTCTATCTGCAGCATATAACAGAGAAAGGGTGCTCAGTGTGGAGAGACACTGTCTGGTGTTCTTTTCCAATTTAGACTCTTGAGCTATATTTAAATTTAACATGAAAATATTTGCAAATCAGATGAACCACACAGTTACACTGCACTTTCCGTTCAGAATAGATGGATACGAGTACAAAGCAGAGATCCAAACGGCAATGATCAGAAAAGAAAACATTGTTACGTTCTCCTTGCCATTCAGCGCACTGGTGAGCGTCAATTCAGAAAAAGCATACACTGTTTTCTACAGCAAAATGGAAGAGAGCGAGGTATGCACAGTTTCAGTGGAGTTCAAAAGCATCAACGACGCGATGGCATTCTACGAAGCCCCCGCTGTCCACTTGAGCTACAAAGAGATCGAAGAGATCGAGTCACTTGACAAAAAGCTCGAAGAAGTCTCCGATCTTCTCGAGGAGACAGGAAGCTCCTGGAAAAAGCGAAGAAAGTGCTCAGAGCCCGATGACGACGGGTTCATAACAGTATAAATAAAATAGACACAAAATATTTTTGCATTGGCAGAGAGTGATTTACATTTATTATTAACACCAGCTATTTTCTATTCGCTATAAATCTGCGCAGCTCTTTCACATTGGTGGATGTAATGAAGTCGTCCTGCTGCAGATATCTAAGCCTGTTCATTGCAAATGCAAAATAGTCCAGAGAGGCTTGCTTCTTCTCTTTGACTAGCATTGCTATAGCCCATACAAACCAATAATAATGAGAAACTGATCTTACTTTTTCTATTTCTTTCAACACTTTATTAACTGGAGCCGAAATTCCCTGCTCTTTGAGGTACGCTTTCAGAAATATTTTTGCATACTCTGTGTGCAAGAAGTGTTTTTCTGCCAGCGGTGCTCCTCTTTGTCTGTAGTTTGTGCACGCTTCGTTGAAGAACCCGGCAATGTCAATGGATGGAATGTTGAGAGAAACATGCTCAAAGTCTATTATAACCACTTCGTTCGTAGGAAGGAGCAGAATATTGCCGAACTGCAGGTCGTTGTGGCACACCTTCAGCGAGTTTTTGAAGATGCTGTTACTGCACAGAGTTTCGATTTTCTTCTCTATCTTTTTGCATATTTCAAAGAATCTTATGCTGCTTATCTTGCTCGCCACCTTGTTCTTCTGGTCTTTAAGCAAATTTGCATAATAGACATTTGCCCCGGGTGGAGTCTTTGTGCTGTGCATTGCTGATAGCTGCTTTGCTATCCCTTTGAGCACCTCTGGATTTTTTAGAGAGCTTTTTGTCATCACCCTGTGCTCAATGTATTCGTCAATTCTGTACTTTGAAGTCTCAAAAAGGACTTTAGGTCTTTCAAAATGCTTTTGCCACTTTAGCTCAAACGAGTCCAATGTTATGTCTGATAAATACTCTTTGTACAGATAGCTGTTGTTTTCACTGGATACCTTGAACACAATATTGCTGTATCCCAGGCCCTGCCGCTCAGCACTCAGCTCAGACTCCGAGCATCCTAGATAGTGAGCAACTGCTTTGATGGCCCTTTTTGCCTTTCCTTTAGCCCCTGCAATCTTCATTTTTTTTATTATTATTGAATCACCTCCCTCTTTCATCCAATGTTTATAGTGCGAACAAAGTTATTTATCCAAAATTAAAGACAAAATCACTAAATTTATCTACTTTATTTCTGTCCAAGCTACTCGCTCCTGTCTTCTCTTATCGTGTATCCTTCTGGAACCAGAAGATTCTTTTTTTCGTACGCAGAGGTGTGCACGGGATAGCATCCGAATACAATTTGCATGCTCCTCACATTTGTTTTGTTATTTGAAATAAACACATTTATTGTGTTAGCGGGCGGTATCACAATGAGACCCGAGTAGTTTTGATCTGACGGAAAAACCGTTGATTTGGACACTTCCGTGATCACCTTTTGCATTGCCTGCACAGTTTCAACAGGATACTTTCCTGCAGCAGTTTCTCCGCTCAGCATCACACACCCTGCGCCAGATAGCACGGCAAACGATAGATCAGTTATTTCAGCGCGGGTGGGGCGCGTTGAGTCTGTCATGCTCTCCAGTATCTGCGTGGCCACGATAAACGGCTTTCCCTGTGCTCTGCACTCCTTAGAGATTTTGCACTGGATGGAAAACAGTCTGCTGTACTCTACTTCTATCCCAAGATCGCCGCGAGCTATCATTATCCCGTCGGCTTCTTTCACTATCTCTGCTATGTTGTCAATGCCCTGCTGGCTTTCAATCTTTGCAATTATTTTTATTTCTGTGTTGTTCACTATTTCTCGGATCTCTTTTATGTTTTCTTTTTCTCTGATGAAAGACGCAAATATAAAATTGGCCCCGTGCTCCACCCCAAACAGAATGTCTGCACGGTCTTTCTCGCTTATGCTGGGGAGCGATAGTTTTGCATTTGGAATGTTTACGCCCTTGTGCGATGATATCTTCCCTGGTGTTTTGACACACGTGAGTATTTCCTGCTTCTCTTTGGACACCTCTACAATCTCCAGATCTATTTTTCCGTCGTCAATGTATATGTTTTTTGTGCTGCTGTTTAGATCATCGTATACTCCTGCATGGTCTATGAATATTTTGTTTTTATTGCAAACACTCTTATACTGTGTATCTGTGGTAAGCACAACGCGGTCGCCCTTTTCAACATAAACCTCCTCTTCAAAGACTCCTGTTCTTATTTCAGGGCCCTTTGTGTCTATCGCAATGGCCAGACTACTGTATGCATCAGAATTGCGAATTCTGTTCAGCACATCGAATGTATCCTGCTGATCTGCGCCATTTCCGTGGCTGAAGTTAATCCGAGCAATGCACATTCCGGCATCTATCATTTTTTTGATGGTTTCTTCGCTGTTTGAAGAAGGCCCCAGTGTGCAGATAATCTTTGTAGGTGCCACACATTTCATAATATTGATTTTGGATAATTATTAATTATTGAAATTTAAAATTAATTTTCATTCTTTATTGCAATGCCTATGCACGCTCTCTTTAAGACACTTATAGGAAAAAGAGTAAGAATAGAGCTTAAGAACTCCCTAAACATCGCAGGAGAGCTCTCTGACATAGACACGTTTTTCAACTTCAAGCTAGCCAATATAGAAATAGAGACAAATCCGTTAAATGTATCGCTGCTATTCAAAAAAGCCAAGAACATGTTCATCAGAGGGTCTTCTGTGAAGCTCATATGGATCAGCGAGGAAAATGTAAATATACATAAGCTTGAAGATGCCACAAGAAAAGGCATGCTGTTTAAAAAGCTCCTGTTATCGGAAAGAGAAAAAGAAGAAGCCTCCGTGCAGTAGCCGTACTAGAATGCAAGAGAGCTATTATAATAAAACATCCTTGCAAAAACAACAGAAAAATAAACAGAATGCTAAGCATAGATAAGTAGGCGAGTCTTATCAAGTGCCATTTAGAACAAAATAATAAATTACCTGAATTATATTTATAAGATTAAACTATGTCTGCACACATTCTCTGCACACTCTAATCGGATATAAAATGGCTTTTAACTACAGCATCTTAGTTGGGCTATCGGGCGGAAGGTTAGTTAGGCTGCTAAACATCTCCTTAAGATTGACTTTTGTATTTACGGACAGCCCAAATATCTTTTCAGCCTGGTCTTCATTCTGCATAAGCAATCTCCTTGGCATAGAGGGGCTGTCCACCCACTTCTGTTTATCAAATTTTGGGTCTCTGCCAACTTCATCGTCGCTGGAGTCCATCACTGGGGAGAATGAGGGTTCTTTTTTTTTGTCCGATGCTATGCCGTTATCTTCTTTTTTTTGGACTTTGTCTTTCATTGTTTTCAGCAGCTGATTCAGCTCAAATGTTTTTTCTTTCAGCTCTTCTGGCTTCAGACCGACAAACGACTGATTTGGCCTGTCCATCCGTCTGGCTACTCTGGGCGCTGTGTAGACAGTCTGAGCTTCTGCTATCGCTGGTTTATTATTGGACTCCAAGTATATTTCGTCTTTTGAGGGCAGCAACCGCTCAAAGCTTTTCTTCTCCTTTGCTTCTTCTATTTTACTGTCATCCACCGTATGTCCCATTGAAAGGGTAGATGATAGATGAAGATTCTTGCTAGTTTTCTCTATCTCCTGGGCTGTTGACTCGTTGTAGGACTTCTTAACGCCCTGCATTCTGTTCGATGTGTGTGCATCTCGCTGCAGTCTGCTTGTTTCAGCCGTGCTTATTTTTTCTTTTTCATTTTTCTGTGTTTGTCTGGTGGTATTTTGCTTTTCTACACCCATCGGAGAAGAAAGTTTACCTGGCATAGCAGGCTGTGGCTGTATATACTCTTCTGTACTGCGCTGGCTGTTCGACACGTGAGTGTTCCTCTGCACAAGAGTCTCTTCAGCTTTTTCTTCCATTTTGGCATTTTCCTTTTTAGCGGTTTTTTTTGTCTCAGTGTTAGCAGTGTTCATATTGTACGACCGCACATCAGCAATAACGGAGGGCCTGTACACTTCCTTAGCAGAGTACAGCTCTCTGTTTGCAAGGATGATGTTGTCCTCCTGTGCTGAGCTGCTAGTCTGCTCTTTTTTCTCTTTTTGCACTGTGATGACAGGTTTCTCATTCTCTTCAGACTGTGCCTCTTTCTGCTGGCTTTTTTGTTTATTTTTTTCTGCATACTCTTTGCTTGCATTCTCTGCAGATTTCTCACTTTCCTGGACTGTTTTAGCACTCTCTGTAGGACCTTTTCTCTCCTGCTCTTTTCTGCCCTTTGTGCTACCCTTTACTTCTAGCGGGCTATCTTCGAATAGTGGTGTTATCTTTTCTTCAGCTTTATCCATTGCAGAGGAAGGCTTGTTTGTCTGTTTCTTCTCTTCTATCTTATCCTTAGGCAATGTTTTTTGTTCCGCTGGTGCTTCTACTATCTGCACCACTTTCTGCGGTTTGTTTGTCTCAGTGTTCAAATTTTGATCGTTTTTCTCTTTTTTATTTTCTTCTTCTGGTACATTGCCAATTGGTATTACTAAGCTGTCCTGGCCAGCCTTATTCCCTATTAAGTGCATTTTCTCAAAGATGCTTAGGGGAGAAGGCACTAGTGGCTCAGCAGAAGTAACGGTTATTTTTATGTTATCCTCATCTTCGATCTTCTCAACTTTCTCCTCCTCTTTCAGATCCTTGCTCACCTCTACAAACTCGTTTTCCACCTTTTTCTGCTTTTTCTTTCTCTCTTTCTTGACTTTTGCTGCCTTAGCAGGCTTTGCAGCTACTTTCTCTGTTTCTTCTTTCTTTTCCTGTACTTTTATCCCTGGAATATTCTCTCCTACTTCTTCTTTTACATTCTGTTTGGCCTCTGGAATATTTTCTAAAGATGGTTTTATCTCCACTTCTTCGCTCTTCACTGTTTCTGTCTTTAGATCTTCTGCTGAGGACTTTAGTGCAGCTGCTTGTTTGGCAGACTTTCTCTTCTGCGGCTGCCTTTTGGCTACTTTCTGCGGGCCCCTCTCCTCAGTTTGTTCTATAACTACCTTTTTGGTCTTTTCTTGGCTTGGTGCTTTAGACTTTGCTATCTCTTCCGTCTTTTTATTCTCTGCCTTGGACAAATCATCAGGCAATTGGGCTGCTATTTTCTGTTTTTTGCTTTTATCTGCAACCTTCGTAGTAGGCAATCGCTCCTTTTTATTGCTTGGAGCTATTTTTTCTTTGGGCTGTGGAACAAGTAGTTGCTCGCTGTTTGTCTCGTTCTTCACTTTCTTCCTGCTCTCTGGCTTTCTATCTTCCTGAGGAGCTGGCTCTTGTGCTAACTTCAATTTTTCAGCACTTTCCTTTTTCTTCTCGTGGATCTTTAGTATCGATATGCTCTTTTCCTCCTTGACGTACTCTCTCCACTTCTCCATACACTCCTGTACTATACTGCAAGAGTCAGCTGTGCTTTTGTTTTGCATATTTTTATTTGCAAAGAATTATTTTTCTATATCCCAAATCCTCTACCAGAATGGCTGCAAATTAAGCCACAGCAAATAAAAACTACTTTGTTTATACTGTGCGCTTGCATATTACAATTTTAATAGATATTTACAAGAGAATTTTATTAACTGTAGAGTCTAATGCATGCAGTGTGTAAGCTGTGCCAGATTATACCTATTTGAGATCATCTGTGCTCAGCATGGTAAGACAATCTTAAGTGCATTTATCTCATTCACACCAGCTCTCTCTTATCTCCATCTATTACTTAAAGCATATGTTTTAGTATAGATATCAAATATGATCGATTTCTTCCAGATGCTCTATTGCTATAGAGTGCTATGCTCTGCAGTAAAAGAGTGAGAAGTACGAGCCCGGTAGGTGCTGCACTGTAAAATAAAATGGGATGAAATTTGTTAAAATTATTTGTGTGCAGCATTCATAGCACTTTTGCTACAGCTCCTCTTCCTGCCATTGCAATAAAACAAATTAAACAATCAGAAAGAAGAATTATAAAATATAAATACAGAATATTTTTAATTTTCAAAGATGAAAATAGGGAAAGGAGCAATTCAGAGAAGAAACGGCCTGGAGAGAAAAATAATAGGCTTTCTGTTTCTGGTTTGCATCAGCATGTTTTTGCTCATATTTTTAGTGCCTTTTCTGGGGTCGATATTGTTTTTGTCCGGGATAAAAAAGAATCTGAACAATATAGTCATAAACCAGCTGGATCTCACACAGGAGGACGCAATAAACATAAACATGGGGTATCTGGGCGGCTCTCCTCTATTTAGCATCCAGGCAAAGGATGTAAAGATAGGGCTGTCTACGTCCAGAAACGAGCAGCCTCTTGGATACCTCTACAGCAACAAGATCGACATACAGAAGAACAAGGAAACAAGCATTGCGTGCAACATGAGCTATGCAGTGCACAACAAAAGAAGAGAAATACCTGAAGAATTCCTGCTAAAGATTGAAAATCATATTTTATTTACTTTCCAGGGAACGATCTTTTTCAAGATAAACAAGAGGCTGCCGGGCATTAGCATTCCCGTGGTTTTTCCATACACTCTCGGTCTTTTTATCGGTAACAGCCAGCCCAAATACGAAAAGCTAGTTGACAGAGTGAAAGAGCCAGGAGAGAGCCTTCCAACAAAGGAAAGAGCCAGCCTTCCTATCAATGTGCTCTGGTATAAGATGGAAGAGACTTTCCAGAAAGTGGTGCTCTTCGGCGCCTTCGAGTACATAAATATGCCAGCGTGTGTCTCAGCCAATCTGCCGGCAATAGGCGTAAATATCTTCCTGAATGGAAGCGCAATAGGCCACCTAGATCTCAGCGCGCAGGAGCTTGTGAACGGAAAGCCAAAAAACTCTCTCTCTTTCAAAATAACACACACCATTGAAAATATCATCCATCTGCGCCGGTGTTTGGAAGACTACTTTGAGAAAAAGGTGCTGGAGCTGACTTTTGACATTGAGAAGATGGACACGCAGATGCATATGCCCTTTTCATTCCACTACGAAGTCATCAAGCAAATTGCCAGTATTTACATAAACAGAATTGTGCGCTCAGAAGAAAAAAAGAGTATGCAGATAAAAGACACGCCGCTTTTTGAGATGCAGATAAACGATGTTAACCACAACGGATTTGTATGCAGAATGGTGTTTAATGAAGAGATATTCCCGTACACAGGGATCGCAAAATGCATCAACTCGGGGAATCTGCTCGATGCGAACATTAAGCTCGTTTTGAACGATGAAACTACTCTGTGCGGAACTGCAAGACACTACGGAAGGGCAGAGCATGAAATCAACAGCAAGGCTGATGCTGTGGACGAAAACTACAGGAACTCTGAGGACTATTTAACGATCTGCTCAAGCGTATTCTTTCCCTTCAGCTTCAACAGCACCGAGAAAGTGCTTACCAAGCTGAAAAAAGAAGGCCCCATTATTAGAAAGGTGGAAATATCCATTGACAAAAAAAGTGACTCCATTCTCAACATTCTTCTCTGCAGCCTTGGGCTTAGATGGCGGGAGAGCAAGGGGATGTGTGTGGGATTCACGTGGATAGATCCTCAATCATTGAGCCAGGAGACGAAGCCGCACTGCGCAAACTACAAAATAGACGTGGAGCTGGCAGAGGAAACAAACGCACTGTACAACCTGCACAAAAGAGATGAAAATAGTGAAAATAGCGATGATAGGATTTCGTACACACTTGAGCCTTCTAAAACACACAGAAAAGAAGAATACGCGTCCAAAGCTGTTCCATTTATAAGGGCAAAGATAGACATGGAAAAAAAAGACGAAATAGAAAACTTTGTGCGGGTGAAGTGGTCCCATCTGAACATTGTCTACAGCTACAGGAGTGTGCCTGTCACAATAGGGTTGATTGATGGGTACATCGACATACTCGCAGGCCCATCTACCTCCGAGTGGAGCATAAGAAGCGATAAGCTCCTGGAGATGTACATGTTTATTGGCCAGCACTTCACAGCTAAGACAATGACAAAGTATCACAACCCATTTATATACATCTACAACAAAGACTTTGCAGATTCCGTCTATACGATGAATCCCATTTCCATAAAAACAAATCTCTCCCCGCCTGACAGCACATCTCCATCGAGCGATAACTCTAACCACTTAGACAGCATGATATTCAGCATAATAAACAACACCTCTACAAAGATTTGGTCAAGCAAAAGGCTGTGCCAAATCACAAAAACAATAGGAGGATCTCTGCACATAAAAGAAACAGCGCCTGTGAGCAAAAAGAAAATGAATTTGATCAACCGCCTGCTGAATATCAATATACACATTCCTGGCATCTGCATCGTAGCCAAGAGCCAAAAGACCAACATAATAGGAGGTATAGTGAAGAGTGAGCCTGCAGTAATCAAGCTGTCAAAGGTCTCCACTATGCCCTTTTCTTTGACAGCGCACTCAAAAGAAGACTCGAGGCTGGGCAGCGATTTTAAAGTGCAGTTCAGCGAGTTTATGCTCCTGAACATGTCTAAAATGGATTTCATCGGGGTAAATAACAGCTTTTTTCCCCTCAGCCGAAGCGCCAAAATATTCACAAAAATGTACTTCAGCTTGATCAGCACGCAGGACGAAAAAGAGAACAAAACAATGAAGAAATCGATGAGCCAGGTGCAGATTGGGAAGGCAGACATGCTTAAGAAAAAGATCAATTTGTCCGTAAATATGAGCATGGAAGAGAACAACTACACGACCCTGCAGAGCACATTTTTGTACGGAGGAAGCCCTCTGATAACAGGCGAGCCCTCTGGCACATATGTTGAACGCGTGCTAAGCTTGCCTGGTGTGTATCTTAGAGTGTTCCATGAAGACAAAATGATGGTGCATTTTGATCTGAACTACGACATAATCTACAAGACAAATGAGACAGGCACTTCACAGGTCAAAATGATCATGCAGGTGAGCAACGACATGTTCAACGTGCTCACAGGCTCCCAAAAGCCCTCAGGAAGCCCAATGGAGTGCAGGCTGGGGTACATAAACAGCGAAGGCGTGTCATTCCAGCTCTTCAAAATGACCGATCTTGACCCAAGAGAGACGTATCTGCATGGAATTAGAAAATGGTCAACGCACTTGAAAAACGATAAAAAAGCCGTTAAAACTCAGAAAAAACAGAGCATGTATGATACCTTCATTAAGTCAATGAGCATAAAGCTAGGATGCATAACAAGCATCATAGTGCAGAACGGAGACATTCTCGTGAACAATAACGAAAAGAGAGAAGACGATGATCCGTTGCAGTACTTCAGCATATCAGCGAAAAAGAAAAAGCACAATGACTCGCTGCTTCTGCAGTCCATGTACAGCACGCTGTTAAACTCCAAAACAAAATTCACTAATATGATCAAATTCGAAGACAGAGACCTAAAAACAGACAGAGTTAGTAGCACAATAGAGATGGACTCAGGGTACAGAAAGCTTACAAATGTAGATGACTACAGCAGCATGCTACCAGGGCTGAACTGTGTGAACGTGAATGTTCCCTTCACAGCTAGCAATGGAATACTCGATGAATTCAAAATAGGAAAAATCTTTTCTCATCTTATTGGATCGCTTGACAGCACAAAAAGAGAGATAGGCGTAGACTTTCAGCTGCAGAACTTTTCCATATGCCAGCTGACCTGCAGCAATGCGCTGAACACAGACCCCATTATTGTTCTGGTCAATGAGATGGTGTTTACGCACAACGAAACAATCCCATTCTCCGAAAACAGCGAATCAGAGACAAAAAACGACTTGAACAACTGCATCAAAACCAATCTATCGTTTATATTTCCGCATCTTTTCAGCGTGTCCTATGAGTCTCAGCCCATGCTTGAAATGTCTCCCCCTCTGGAGTTTATAAAATACTCTCTCAATGAATGGAACAGCTCGCTCCACGCGAATTCTGAACAGAACCAAGAGTCAGGCGAAGTCACATCGTTCATCATGAACACAATCAACAGAATAATCTTTGGGGTGAACTCGCTTAAGCAAATAATTACCTCTGTGAAAGAAAATGTGGGGCTTCTATTCTCGATAAACTATTACTGCATAGATAAGAAGTGGAAACCTGAAGAGATGAAGAGCATAAGAGGCGTGAGAGAAAGAGAGGTATACGGTGCGCTAACATGGTCTGCCCATACTGAGGTAAAAGTAGCACATCCAATCACGCAAAACTCTCTTTGTCTATTTGCCCAGTACAAAGACACGCCATTGTTCAGCGCCAACCTAAAAATCAGCAAAAAAGAGCACAAGTTTACACACGCGCTGCCCCTTTGGGTGTACAACAATACTTTTGACAGACTTATTGGGAAGTCGTATGGACACAACTCCATAGAAAAAACCAAAGAGGACAATCTTTGTCTGTATCTAATTATTGAGAAGAAAGTAGTTGGGTATGTAATGCTGAACAGAGCCATTTTCGACGAGCTGATCTTTGAGCATCCAGACAACAACAACTCCTATGCGGTTGGGCGTAGCATAAAGAACATGCTCTACCCGCAGCTTATAGCAGTCATAAAGTACATTGTGAAGTCTCTCAGCAAAAAAATAGTCAGCCGAAAAAAAGACTTATACGGCCACAATATAGACGCATCCCAGCTGTTCAATCTGCTCAATGAGCTCAACAATATGAACCTAAATGCAAACACAATCACCCGGCCTGTTGTTCATAGTTCAATATAAGCAGAATGGTCTTTTATTATCCAATAAATAATTACTATCTGTTTTCTTTTTCAAGGCACACATTATGTGCACATCTTTTTATTAGCAGACAGTCAGCCGCACTAAAAACCTTAGAGAGCGAAGAAGAGGAAGGTGTGGTCATCTCTTTTCTCCTCCGCCCATCCATAAACCTCGTCTATGAATCTGTCACACAAAAAAGACCAAAATCCTCCATTCTACTTGGAATAAGTGGTTGTTATTTAAATCCTTCAGCTAAGACACTATTTGTCTATTGTGTTCATATCTAGCACAGATGAATAAGCAGAGTTAGATATAAAATTGTGAAAAATAATTAGCCTACACAATAATTAGTTGGCTTTTCCTTGTAAACAGTGTCTCTAGATTATTTTTATTTTTAATATACCGAAGTACGCACCATTGCCTAAACCGTATACTAACTTTCTTTTGCCAGCTTATTATGCAGCACTGTTGGCTAAAATATATTCCATTTTTAAATGTATTCCTCTACATTGCAAGTGTCTCCTCGCATAAATAAAATTAAAAGAGTGCACATTGCACAGAAGGCACTAAGCCTGCTGTCTCTGCAGATAGTATGGAAGATGGAACAACGCAATGCTTGATACGGTCACGGTAATGGATACTAGCTTGGAAATAGACATCTCTTCGTTAAATTGGATAGTAGACACAATCGATATAAGCGTGCCCATAGCCAGAGTGATAAAGACACGCATCAGAGTTGTGTAGTGCAGAATAATGTAGCCAAAGAGAAGGCTGTCAAGAGACTTGATGAAAGAGATAAAAAGAATACTGTTCATATGGCTAAACCGTACCGTCTCATTCGTTATCATAAAAGCAATCACACAGCCCAAAAAGGAAACAGCAGCACTCGTGATGGAATAGTTCACAGCGTTCTTCCACTTACTGCCAACTTTGTGCATGACGTATTTCTCAAAGTATATACCAGAACATGCTGAAACAAACGGCAGAGACGCAGCCACTGCATAGTCAAAGTACGATATTACATCCAGAGTTAGTTTGTCGCCCTTGTAGATCATATTGGCTATAAAAGGAACAAATATCCCCAGGAGCAAAGTGCACTGCGAAAAGCTCTGCAGCTTCGTGTACTTTTTCTTGAGAAAAGCCGTTGCCATGATGTACACAAAGAATATCTTGCTCTGCGAAAGAATCTGGAGGATGATGCTCGTGAACTTCTGTCCAGAGTAGATCCACGAAAAAGACTGGAACGAAGAAAGAATCCCAGAGATAATATACTCTGGCATGTACTCCGTTGTTTTGTACCCCTCGAACCAGTACCCGAGTAGAAAACATACAACTGCCTTGATAAACTCGGTAAGGCCCCCAACAAAAATGCGCTCTGTGGAGTTCAGGTCTCCGTTTTTCTTCGTGAAGTAGAGGGTGAGGTACATGACTGTAAAGACCGCTGTCGACAGCTTAGAGATTTCCCACAAGCTTCTTTTCTGCATAGATGTTCTAAAAATTTTTACGAAAAAAGAAAAATAAAATGCGCATGCCGGGAATCGAACCCGGGTCTCTCGCATGGCAAGCGAGAATTATACCATTAAACCACATGCGCTCGTCTTTCCTCTCCAAATAGAAGCCTTGTGGGGGCATTGTTTGTATATGAAACACTCAATTATTTTTTTGCATATGAAGATGCAGCACATGATACAGTCGTATGCCGACCGGTCTGTGGGTCTTGTGAAGCACCGGTGGGCAGTCTTTCTCGCGTTCCTCGTGGTGTTTGTTTGGCGTGTTTTGTACACGGGGGGATACAGGCTGGTGGCGTACTGTCTGTTTTTGTACTTTCTCCACTGTTTCATAGGATTCTGCACGCCGATAGATAGCGAAATACCGGATCCTTTTGACATAGAAGAAGAAGACGCTCCCATGCCGAGCCCCATCAAAAAAAGCGGCGATGAGTCAAAGCCGTTTATCAGGAGGCTCCCAGAGTTTGAGTACTGGCTGCAGTCGCTCAAAGCATGCATGGCCGGGGTGGCTGCGACCTTTTTCCCTGTGTTCAATGTCCCTGTTTTTACGCCCATTCTCGTTATATACTTTGCAGGCTTAGTTTACCTGACAAATATAAAGATAAGAAAGCATATGGAGCGGTATAAATATAATCCATTTTTCAATGCTAAAAAGATATACAAAGGAATTGTGGACATGAAATAAAGCTGCTTGTCCTGATCTCATTTATTTTTGCGCTATGCTCTTTATCTTTTGCAGGATACTATCACATAGATCATCACATCCCACCATTGTATTCTGTTATTCTTTGCTAAGTCTTTTCACAGACTAATATCATGAAAGCCTTTGGATGAGTTCAAGTTGGACGGATATTCCTGGATTGCCTCTTGTGTTCGTAAAAGCTCAGCAGAGATCTCTTAAAATTGACTAGTATTATGTTAGAGTGGCTGAGTGTGCCAATTATTCTTTGACTTTTTGGTTTTTTATTCTTTGGTGTGTGGTAAATGTGTACATATTTTCCAATATTTAAAATTTATTATTAGCTTTACTATTAATCTTTTCTGCGCAAGTTTTTCTTACGTATGGGACACTGTAGACTATCTGCCATCGCATCTTTTGCATATTTCTACGAAATCAGTGGTAAGCGATGCGTTGCCTACAAGAAACCCTGATAGACTGTTTATTTTTAAGAGATCCTTTGCATTCTCTTTCGTTACTGATCCTCCGTAGAGAACTCCTTTTATTTCTTCGCCCATCTCTTTTTGGATTGCACTCACCACTTCTTCTATTTCCTGGTTGCTGGGCACCTTTCCTGTTCCTATTGCCCATATTGGCTCATACGCCACTACTACTTGCAGTGTTTTATCTGTTTTATCCACTACTTTCTTCAGTATGGACAGTCTTTTACTGATTATTTCCATTGTTCGTCCTTCTTTTCTCTCTTCTTCTGTCTCTCCCATGCACAGAATCACTTCCAGCCCGCTTTCCAGGGCGTATCCCAGCTGGGCTTCTACTTCTTCATTCGTTTCCTGAAAATATTTTATGCGCTCTGAGTGCCCTACTATAACAACCTCAGCCTTAGCGTCTTTCACCTGGCTGGCACTTACTCCCCCCGTGTATGCTCCTTTCTGTGCGTATGCGCAGATCGTCTGTGCTGCTATTTTGTACGAAAGATTGAACTTGCTCCTTGCCTCCATCAAAAGAGTGTATGGTACACCTATTATCACTTCCGTGTGTGCGAACTCTTCCCTGTTCATCTCCTCAGAGATTCTTTTGACTGTCTCTGCAGTTCCATTCATCTTCCAGTTTCCTGCACATATTCTCATTCAAAAACAAATAATTCTCTTCGAACATTATTATACTCCTTGTCTCTGAATTACGAGAGACTATGAAGATAAATCCGCAGAAAAGGGAGAAAAAGACGCACTGACTATATTTTATGGATTTATTTTTAGTTTATTAAATCATCGGCTTTTGCGTATAATAATTTATCTGCTTCTCCGCTCTTTCTTACTTGTCCGGACACTGACAGGATTACATCTCTTCCTGTGTATCTTCCGCTCTCGTTCAGCACGCCCACAGTGTAGACAACACTGGACTTGTCGTGTGGTGCAATTGGTCTATTCATGAATGCGCACTTTCTTATTCCTCTTTCTACTGACATACGAGGGCTATAAAAAAAAATACCAAAAAACATCCGCATGACCCAAATTGCAATAGTTCGAAAGAGATAGAAAAATGTCTACTACTCCGCAGAAGATGCTCTGTGTGTGTTCTAGTGCAGGATAAAGTGTTTGTGCTGCCCTTTGAAATTCTAGTGATTTCATCTTAAATTGCACACTGCAGTACATTTTTTTATGAAACCACTGGAGCTCTTTTGTCCGCAGTGCAAAAGTAACTCCTACATAAACCCGGGAATGAAGGTCTTTGTCAGCCCCTGCTACCACAGTCTGTGCGAAATGTGTGTTTCCAGGCTATTTTCAAACGGCCCAAATAAGTGCCCAGAGTGTGGAATTTCTTTGAGAAGATCAAACTACACGAGCCAAACATTCGAAGACGTGGGCATAGAAAGAGAGTGCAGAATCAGAAAGATAGTCATGACACAGATAGGAAAGTCTCTAGAAGACTACTCAGACGAAGAAGACTATAACGATTACCTAGAAAAGATTGAAGAAATAGTTGATGAGCTAGCTGTGCTCAAGGGACCGCGGGAAGTAACCCAGAGACTGCAGGAAATAAAAGAAGAGTTGGGCCTTTCTACAGTGAGACACAGCCCTGTTGAGCCTGCAAAGAGAAGAAAGACGGAAGAAGTAAAAGAGACAGTGCTGGATGTTTGTGTGTCTACTTTGGAGTGTTTCTATCCATCAGCAGCAATAGAGTACGATACAATCCCGCAGCACATAATTTCAAAGATTGTACGAAATGACTTCCAGAGCTACAAAGCACTTGCAGATATAATGATAAGAAAGGCATCAATGTCGCTAAATCTCAGCAGTCTATAAGACAGATGAAGAAAGGCTGGAGAGAGCAAAAGATAAACATATAAACTAGATAGAGAGTGTATCTTATCTCTATTGTGTTTTATTATACATGGGATAAAAATAAACTAGCCACTAACTGTCTGATTTTTTGTTATTTACATTCTATGAGATTTGATGTTCTATACTAGCAATACTTTACCAAATATAGTAATTATTGTGATTCTTGTAATTATTTCTGTCTGCTCTACATGGTTTGCCCTATACAGTGCTGGTGTTCTGCTCTATTTTGTTTTTTTGAGCATTCTATTCATTTATGTTGAACTTAGATGGAGTTGAGTGCCCCAGGAGACACATGATGTACAGGAGGAAAAGCACGATGAGAAGAACGCCTACCTCAGTCTCAAAAAGGCCTGATCTGATTTCATTGTTAATAAATAGCAGCATTGTTGAAATAATTGTAAACACCAGTGAGTACATCGTGGTTCTATCCAGCAGAACTAGCTGGTACACTTCTTCTCTTAAAAGCATTATCAGGGCTTTCTGAAACAGGAAAATGTGTATAGTGATCGAAATAGCCAAAGAGAAACACAACTTGTACCTGCCCATTCCCACTCCTGTGGATACTACCACGAGAACAGGAAATGCCAGTCGGAGGGTGTTGAGCATTATGTACCCTGCGGGAGTGTTGATCATCCCAGGAGAGGTAGAGAGAAGCAGCATATAAAATTTCTCTGAAATACTTTTAAGAAGAATACACGTGCATAAAAAAGTGTACGCATTTTTAAACCACTTATGCTTTTTACTTTTTAGCGAAACAGAAGCCCCGAGGCAAAAGAGAACTATGCACAGTATTTGCGAAGGATACCTTTTCTCAAGAAAAGTGTAGTACACTAAATTGCCCATTGCCAGCGAGGAGGTAAGTATGCTCAGCCAAGGCCTTCTGTTTCTCTCTTCTGATCCAACCAGCACATTGTCAAAAACAGTCTTTAAAACTGTCTGTCGGTCATCTTCTGCAGGAAATACTTGGATATCGTTGTTTTTTCCCTTTTGGATGAATATAACACTGTAGAAGGCGTAAATTGTAAAGAGAAACGTGCTGCCGTACGAGCTGAGTATGTAGTACACTCCTAGAAGAGGAGAAGAAAGAGTGCCAAGGCTCTGGAAGAAAATAGTGTGTCTTGTGCTGCTTAAACAGACTCTTTCCTTTTTGGGCTTAAAGAGTATACAGATACCAGAAAAGACCGTAAGGCTTAGCAGTGCTGTGTTGTGCCACACTGCTTCTCTTATTTTTATGTCTCTGTGCACAGTGAACACTGGCGAGTATAGAAGAGCAAAGACAAGCAGCAGAGTCTTGCACCCAAGGGTTGGCAGCTGCGCTTTCGCTGAAATTCTGTCTAGTTCTCTGAATAAATATGTGTATGTAAGGAAAACACTCGTGTAGATAAAGAGTAGAATTGCAGAAACAAAGAAGGTGTATGCCACTACTGGGTGTTCGTCAGAGGCTACTCTACCGTAGAAATCCAAAATACTTTTCATCTATTTCCCATAAACAAATAATTATAATAATTAAATAGCTGCACATTCATTTACAGCCTTACAACTAAGATTATTATCAAGCTATCAAAAATAAAAACAAAAGAACAAAATTGAGCCAAAATATTCCTATAAAATTGCCAATAGAGCAGAGTAGATACGTGTATATCGAGTATAATTATTAATTTTTGCTCCCAAAGATGTATTTAGTAATTTCAGTAAATTTTATCTTGGTTTTATTTCATCTGCAGCGCTCTCTATGCAGTTGGCTGAAGATCTCTGGAGGCTCGTAAACAGTAGACGGCTTAATTGCAAATTATTTTATTAACAGAATGTGTGAATTGTATGTACACTACACCTCATCTACATCATTTACATCTATGCTTCCAAAGGTTCTTCTTCGGCAGCAGAATATATAAAACAAAGAGAACAGCATAGAAAGAAGGAAAAACACAACCATTGGGAAAACAATGAAGAAAATCAAAGGGAAACTTCCCAAAAACAGGAGTAAACACATAATAACCAGGATAAAGCTCAAATGCGCTGTCAAAGCTCTTTTCCAGGTTTCTGCTTCGTCATTCGACTCGCTGCCGTTAGGAGAGTCAAGGAGAGCCAGGAAGTCGTTCTGTGTTCTCTCCAGCTTGAAAATAAAGTAGTCGTCAGGGTTTACGACATTTCTCTTGAAAAACTCTCTTGTTCCCGATTTCACAAGAAAGTCTCCATCATTCGCAAAATAAATAGCTCTAATTCTCAGTTTCTTATCTGTGCTTATCGATACCTCCTGCGGATGTGCAAATGCCTCAAATAGATCTCGAGAAATGGTCCGAAGCTCTGGCTCTTTTTTTGTGTTTAGTTTGTCTATGTACGACGTGCTATTCCGAGTTGCCGGAAGCACTTCACTAAATGCCTTCATTTTCCCCTTTGTGCTCTCCTCTGACGGATGGTCGTACTCCTGAAGCGCGCTCTCCAATGACCCGTACCCTATCCTGTAGTAGTACACCTGGCCCATAATAAACATGTTGTTCATTGGGTTTCTTACTTTCATCCTGTGCAGGAGGTGTCTGTCTGCCTCGTACTTAAAAAGTATTTTGTTTATTTCAAACGCCGAGTAGTAGTAGTTGTACAGAGAGTTTGCATTCGTAGGGTCAGAGGTGGTCACCTTTGCCAGGATGTACTCTTTTCCAGCCTTTAGCGACTCTGTAATCGACTTTCTAAATGACTCCAGAGTAAATGGCTCGCTCTCTTCGGCATCAACGACATCCAGGTGGTATGACGCCTCGTGAAATGTGTTTGGTGCGCCTGTTATTAGCACTTCCATATTCATGGCTTCTGCTCGAGTGATATTTTCCAGAGCACCCTTAGCCAACATCTTTTTATGAAAACAAATAGATAAATAAATAGAAATAGTAAATAAAGAATGGAGTGTAGAGCTAAAGTGGTAATTCTAGGGAGCTGCAGCTCGGGGAAAACAAGTTTGGCTAAAAAGTTTGTAAACGGAGGATTTGATCCGAACCAGCCAGCAACCATTGGAGCAGCCTTCCAGACAAAGCAAATAGATAGGGACGGCGTAGCCATTCATCTTGACCTGTGGGACACTGCAGGACAAGAGAGGTACGGGGCAATAGCTCCCTTGTACTACAGGGATGCCAACACTATTTTGGTGGTGTACGATATTACCGATAAGCTTAGCATAAAAATTGCGCAGCAGTGGTGCTCGGAAGTAAGAGTGAAAAACAAAACAGCATCACTAATTGCCTTTGGGAATAAAACTGATCTGCTTTTTAAGACAAATGAGTCAACATCGTTTGTGAACAAGGGGTTCTCAGATGCAGGGATGGTCCATCGGCTCAGAGAGATCTCGGAGATCACTCAGAAATATTTTGAGTCTTTTGAGATTGACCACTTCACTGGGTCTGCAAAGACGGGAGAGGGTGTGGGCGCGTTGTTCAAACATATCTCCAATAAGACCACGTACAGCGAAAGAATAACAGCTGTACCTGACGTGTGGTGCTGTTTTTAAGGTAATAAATGCTTCTTAAGACTCTCAGTTATTCGTGAATTTAAGCTAATTTGGATGCTGCTGCAAAA